GCACTGTAGCAGTGATGACAAAACACATTGAGATGGAAGTGGGCAATACAAATTCTAGGGAACCATGTCGCGTACCATCAGTTCTTCTATATAGACTATCTATCAGGACATTATTCTTTCGACAAAATCCTTCAGCAGCCTGAATAAGAGTAGAAAATTATTCCACAAAAAAATATCAAGAGCCTGTCATGAGAATAGAAGGAAGAAAATCAAAGAAACAAAAGCCCTTCAACAGCATTAATAAGAACGGAGAAAAATAATAAACAGTGTGCAGTTTTTGTAATTTAATGGAATAGATGTTACTTTCAGCATGACTTTCTGCATACTTGAAGTACCTTACCATTTTCTTCATAAGTGATATGGAAAGCCCTAAAAATAAGCAATAGCAGAAGAGCAGAGGAAAGTCCAGCTCCTTTTTGGATAGCTAACCTTAGTGGGTCTTCCTTCTTGGTCAAATGCCTTTGCAACAGGTGGACCACGTAGTTCAATCTCTTCCTCCATTTGCTTCATATTAAGATTTTCAACAACAACCTACAAATCAAAGAAGGTCTTCTTATAGATTCAGACCAGAGTAAAGCATGTTAAAAGAATTGTCAGTTACCAAGCATAAAAGACGCATTACCAAGATATATCTTCAATTAAATATGGTGCATCATTATGTGATTTCTTTTTTGTATTTTCAGACAGTTTTATCTACCATTCCTACTAACAAACCTATAGGGAACCTACTGATTAATATTAGATATCTCTCCATCATGTGTTTTGCACTTGGTAGACTATTATTACAGTTTGTTGTTCTGCACCAGGCCTCCGGAATGTTAGGACTGGCCAGCTTTTCCAAACACACACCTAGACACAAGAGATGCATAACTGGCAAGAATATATGAGGAAGCTTGCGATAGTATAGAAACAAATGTGAGACTTCGCTAGGAAAAAAAAAACTCATGTGAGACAACAAAGGTTAAACTGATACCGCTAATCTCCTTGGTGTCCCATAAGAGCGTACTTTCCCATGGCTCAGTCTTCGTTTCTCCAATATTTGAATTAAAGATTTCTCCAGCTGGAGGATGTCAAAGATTCAAAGGTGAAAAAAGCAAAAGTCATTCCACCTAGAATTGAAGTATAAATTCCATAAAAAAACAAATATGACCAAAAGGTGACATCATTTTGCCAATGTTAGGTTCAAAATTCTTCTCATCTTATAAGGGTGAAGGAGGAAGTTTGGTTTACCTGTTTGGTTGCTTCTATCACATCATGAGGTGGCAACTCTTCTGTTCCTATTTCAAGAACAAATGCTCGTGGCTGTCCGACAACTCCCTAAACAAAAAGCACCAAAGATAAGTAAAAATGGGTGTGCTTTTGCAGAAGTTATGACATAAGCCATCCACACCCATTGGGTTCAAATATTAAAATAACACAAGTAATAGTACATGGTCATGTAAATGAAATACCTTTCTACTAGGCTTTTCAGAGACATGAGGATAGATAAGATTAGACTCTTGATAAGTGCCCAAAGGATAACCGAGGTTCTCTCTTGTTTTCACCCAAAGCTGAGCACACTGGCGAGCAAGACTGCTCAAGAGCATCGACAGTATGAGAATTACATCTTAACTTTACGTAGAAGCTAGAAACAAGAACAACTGAAAAAAGTAAAGCTAATAACTGGTAAATAAATAAATCAAGTCAACAAAACCAGGATTCCATGATGAGAAAAGGCATAGGGAAAAAAATCAAGGTATGTAGGTCCACACCTCCGCATGCGACCAAAATATCTTGCACGCTCGGTTACACCAACAAAGCCTCTAGAATCTAAAATATTAAAAGCATGAGAGGCCTTCAGAACATGATCGTACCTAATCCATTGCCAATCGAAGGTCAGCTTGTCAATTCTTAACAAATAAAACATGAAAGCCAAGAAATGAGTGCATCAATCAAACATACGCAGGAATAGGAAGCCAAAGTGATAATAAAGAGCGAGCCTCTTCTTCAAAATCATCAAAATGCTTTTGAATGTTATCAACATTTGCATGCTCCAAATAATATGCACTCATCTCTTTCCTGAATCAACAAACCAGATATATAGTATTGAGCCTAAGCATATAATTATTTATAATCAATAAAAGACAACAGAAATATATCACGAAATTGTTCTACTTAATGTAGTAAAAAGAGGATGGGAAAGAAATGGCACATTGCAGGCAAGATGCTAAAGAAGAAGAAAAGGTACACAAAGCTCCTAGAACTTTCAAGAAGATACATACTCATTCTCAAGGAATAGTTCTCCATATGTAATTCCTTTAGTGTATTGTATATTCTTGAAATGATCTACACCCTGTCAAAACATCTAAATCAAAGTAAGGTCAGCTCTTTCAAAGGGTATATGATCCAGTAGGGTAGAAAATATTCGCAAAAGAAAGTCCACTAAGATTTATACGAGACTCTGAACATAAAGGGTGCAATATACACAATCAACAAAATCAATAGGTAGTTTGTTAATCGTTTGCTCATCTTCTAACTCATAAAAAACTACTAAGGTAGATAACAACACTACTAGGCTCACCTGAAGAGACATGAGGATGCGTTCAAGTCCATATGTTATCTCAACAGAAACAGGCAGCAATGGAAGGCTTCCTGACTACAGTAATTAGCATTAAGAAAAACTGTCTTAAAATTTTCCAAGGATTAGAAGGGGATAATACACACATCAAGTGTCAAAAAAATACTGTGATGCCAAAGCAGTCAACATAATGCACTAAAAATATGTGAATTGTTTTAGCTAACGCCTGTACCTGCTGAAAATATGTGAACTGTGTTATTTCCATGCCATCCATCCAAACCTCCCAGCCTAATCCCCACGCACCAAGAACCTGTCCATCAATGGGAAGAAACATGAACAAGGTAATGAATTAGAGATATTCAGTTGCAATTATGATGACTTAACCAGATAGACTTTTTTAAAGGAAAGATCATTATATTGAAATAACGATCCGGCTTTTTGTAACCAGATACACTTTGGTTCAATGATTGCATTGGTTGATATTTTAAGAAGGAAAGAGTAAAAGAGGAGGAACTTCACTGGACTCTCCCAGTTGTCTTCAACAAAACGGATGTCATGTTCACGGACATTGATACCTGTGATGCAAACATTTATATACAACATTTTGTATTCACAACAATGTATTAGGAAAGGAAATAAATAAATGAGAAGGTAGAAACAGAAGAATATCGGCGTGCATTTTATGATGAAAAAAAAGAGAAAGCAGTAGTGAAATACCTAGTGCTGAAAGGCTGTGCAGAAAGAGGTCTTGTGAATTTCCAGGGTCAGGCTTCAAAATTACCTATCGGAAAAGAAAGATTAAATAACGGAGGAAGGCAGCAGCAATGAGCTAAATATATAGGATGGATATGGTATGGTAGAAACATTTACCTGAAATTGAGTATGACGCTGAAGCCTATTAGGATTGTCCCCATAGCGGCTGTCGTCGGGTCTTATACTTGGCTCCACATAACTAGAAGAATAATACAGTGAGAAATGGAGGAGTAGTCCAGAATACAAGGAAGGGAAGTCTTCTACTTACGCAACGTTCCATGGCTCGGGGCCTAAAACCCTGAGGAATGTCAAGGGATTCATGGTCCCTGCTCCAACCTCTGTATTGCTGCACTGCATGACGGCACACCCCACTGAGGCCCAGTAGTCCTGGAGGCGCTGGATGGCCTGCTGGAAGGTGAGCACGGAGGAGGAGGAAGGCCCCTTGGTGGCGGCGGAGGCGGAGACAGAGACTGGGGAGGGAGCATCACCGTCGGCAGACGCCACGGCGGATAGCAGGCGGCGTCGTCGGCGTGTGCGAGAAGGGGGGGAGGTTGGGTGGTGGGAGGCGGCGGCAGGAGAGAGTGAGGAGGAGAGGGGGAGGAGGAGGAGGGGAGGGGGAGCCAAACCCGCCATGGCTACGACTACACTGGACCTGGACCTGGACGGACTCCAATCCACGACAGGATAAGCGGGAAGATGATGATGATGATTATATTCATTCATTTATTTATTTTAAAGCTTTTCTTATTGGACTATCTTAGTATTTTGCTCCAAGGTTTTAATAACAAAATTCTATTTTGCCCCAAGGTTTCAATAGAGAATGAAAAACGCTAGTATCTTTTATGTATTTTAAGTTTTTATATTGCCCTAATAATTTGAGTTTTCCCCTTTCTAAAAAAACATGGAATACATGCCTTGAAAATGGTGCCGAAAACATTTTTTTTGTCTTCCCATTTGAAAACACGGATTTATCTACTCGATTGTATAGGGATAAATTAAGTACTACTACTTTAAAAAATAAACTTAACAAAATACTCTATCCGTTTCACGTTGCTAGACATCTCCATTGTTCATTTAGATTCACTAACATCCATATGAATTTATAGGCACATAGTCCACGAAACATATATATGTAGATCAATGTGAAATGGGTTAGTCTAAACATCGTGGTAGAAAAAAAAAGGTGTTTTGAGAGAACGAACGTATTTTCAAAGGCGTAGAGCAAGTGGAAAGTATTCCACGTAATAATCTGACCAAGTCGCCGAAAAGAACAGTTGCCCTACAGTCTAATTCACCGCGTTGCAGTGATTAAAATTTCAGAACAATCATAAGTGTATTAATTGTGTGAATTTGCACAAACATATACAGAAGTTGAAATACCAAAATAATCAAAGACGTCAATAAACAAATAATCGGTTGGAATTGTTCATCATGTACTAGTAATATTTTTTTGACTGAATGTACTAGTAATATAACTTGCCTATATGAATGTAGGATGAACCTGACATTGGATTCTATATAAGTTCTGTACAACCTTAGGAGTATGTGCTTTTGTGTTTTTTTCTGAATCATCGCAGCACGAACGTTGGGTTCAAGTTGTGTCAGCATTCAGGGACACTGAGGTATCTCAGTACATGCAATGTTAATATGCTCGACAAGGGAGGATATTTCACACTAGAAGCGCCGCACGGACAATCTCACAATATACATATAAGCTGTGTTTAGATCCAAACTTCCAACTTTTTCCATCGCATCAACCTATCATACACACATAACTTTTCAGTCACATCGTACCAATTTCAACCCAAATTTTCAACTTTGGAAGGAACTAAACACAGCCATAGGAGTAGAATGCATATGCCCTTGAGAAGGGGGAGATGTGGTGAAGTTCACAGTTACAGCTATACCAAATCACCAGACATACAATACCAGCTCTTCCCAAATAAATAAGACAATACCAGCTCTCCCCAAATAAATAAATTATAAAGAAAAAGAAAATACTAGCAGCCAGCCAGCACCTTGCATATGCTGGTGTTATTTTACTACTACTCAAATCGTATGCAGTATGATATGATTGATAGAGCAAGAAAGGGAGGATGATGGATGGATGATCATAGCCTGGAGAGCTTGAGCTGCTGCTTGAGCAGAGGGCGGAGGTGCTCCTGGTAACCGTCCGGCACATCCGTGTCGTTGAGGGGGTCCTTCCACGCCTCCTCGTACAGCGCCGGGTAAACATTGCCGTCGTAGCGCCCCAGCACCGACCCCAGGTAGTGGTCGGTGTAGTTGAACGCGTCCACCAGCGCCACCGCGTTCGGCCGCACCTGCATTTGCATTTGTCTCATTTCTCAGTTTCTCATCCACTTTTGACATTGACATCGACGGAGGACACCATACCTGCGCATACAGCTTTCCCAGCTGCTCGTTTGCCAGCGCTCCCTGCCTTGCTGTGATGCTCCCCGTCGACAGGAAGTCACCCAGATGCTTGTGAACAAGATACAGCGCGTACACATTGCAAAGGATGCACAGTTGCTCCTTCACTCCCTCACCAGGGATGTCCTGCTCTAATTTCTCTATGAACCTAACCATTATACGTACCATAACACACCGAAATAAATAAATGCCAATAAAATATAAATGAAGCCATACTTCAGATTTCTTTCATCCTAGGCAATACTCACTTGGTTACAATTATCAACTGGATATGGGCCACCGCCACCTCAAGCAGATCAGGGGATAGCTCATAAAACCCTGCATATTCAGCAACGCACACCATCATCATCTATGCAATTTCTTATAATAGACCACGGAAATTAATACGAAACTACATGCAAATGCACTATGGTTTCTGTTCTATATTTTATTCTCGATTAATAATCATATGGCGCAATACCAACCTTCTTCTTGGCTTGGCGCCTTGTTTATGTTCTGGGCACAATTCACCGCCATCCTGAGAGCCCGAGCTTCAAATACCTCTCGTATGGCAGCAGGATTTAGCCAATCTTCAGCTGTCGATAATCATGGAAAAATGAATCACTATGGCATTCATCTCAACATCAATGGCTTCCCAGCAATGGGCATATATATACATAACGTACAGTGATGACTGGCATACAGCTGTCTAAAACAGGAGCCTGCCAGAAGATACAACTATATACCTGTATTTACACCACATTTGCATTGCATCAAGTACTGTATGTTGCCCATGTAAGCCGTTGTACCAACAGGCTGTTTTCCAGAAGCTAACTGGGATACAGTCTTCATTAGAAACCTTGCAACCTGCAGAGAGCACCAAAGGTTATGACTGTAAATTGACCAAAACTGAGGAAACTTGAAGGACTGGACCTATGATTCGGCCCAACAAGCTAGGCCATCCACACAACCACAAGCAGGTAGGAGAGTTATTAGTATCCACAGAACAAAACAACAATAGCATACTAACCTGCAATAGCAAAACAACATTGTCTCCTTCATAAGTGCAAGCAGGAACATAGATAGCAAACAATTCAGGAAGCCCGCTGCTGTTCAGGTAACCATGTCCACCACAGAGTTTTCGGCATTCTTCAATTCCATCCTGCATTAAAAAAAAACAGGTTTGAGAACAATGAAAATTGTGTAATTCACTCGTTATATAAACTGGCTAGACTGTTGGACCAGCTATGCGTGTAAACTCATTGATGCGATCTGACCATTATTCATTTTAAGGATGTGTACTGATAAAGCAAAAGTATGAATTTGCAGGCTTAGTATGACCAGTCAGCAAGTATAACCATTAAAAGTGGTACTGAATTAAATAATTGTACACACAGCTGTCGCAGATGTTGTCACAGCCTTCAACCCAGCAGTACAGGCATGGGCCTCTTGAAGTGTTGAGAAATCCTTGGCTTCCAGTTTATGTGTGACATCCGTGTACAGCCACTTCAGCCACTCACCCACAAACCTAAATGCATAAGCTGAAGCCAGCAAAGGAAAGAGTCTGCTTTGCTGAGTCTTGTAATTGAGGACCTGTAACCATTATAGACCATTAGCCACTTGTCATTGGTAGCAAAAAGTTAAACTCGTTTATCAATTTAATTCTTTTAGATGAACAAAGTACAAATATTAACTCAGACAATGGTTTTTCCAGTAAAAGCAAAAGGAATACATGTCACAGGAAATGTTTCAAGAGCATAAAAACAAATTAATAAGTGGTAATACAAAAAAAAATTCAAATCTGACATAGTACCTGAGTCTCAGGGCCACCAGTTTGAGGGCCAAACTGCTTTCGAATAGCGCTGTATCTTACAGCAATGCAAGTAGCACGTGATAAAGCCTTAGAAGCATCTGCAACAATTGTTTGACGAACAAAAACCATTGTCCCATAAAGCAGCTGTTTTGGGACATCTGAGTGCACATATTTTCCCTCTTTCGTAACTTGTGAAAGCCTACACGAGTAGCATGGGTGTGCTTGAGAATGGTTACATCAAGGTATCAGAATGTATTTGACAAGTGCCCGAACAAAACATGATAACCCAATGGACAAACCTCATCAACATTTGATCCCTTGGGATGCGCACATGGTCAAATCGCAGAACTCCATTATCCATACTGTTGTATGCACCACTACCAAATTTTCCGCCGATATCACCAAGAGTAACACCGGGAAGGGGAGAGTGGTCCTCTAGGCTTCGTAGTTGCACAATGAAACCTGATATATAGATAGTCATGAGTCGCAAAAAGAAAGATACTGCTTAAAAGTCACCTTCAAAATACAAGAGACTCTACCATGTATGCCGTAGTCCTTTCCTTCAGTTATCAGACGAGCATACACAACTGCATGAGTGGAAGCTTTTCCCAAGCCACCAGGCCACCACTGCACATGGGGATAAAATCATGAACCATGCAACAAGATATTGAAGAAATTCCAAATTAAAGAAGAAATGTAGCATCTTAATAGATAAGAGAGGAAGAGTAGATAGGAGTATTACCTTGCTAGAGGTCAGTGTCGGGCTGTGTATAACAAACTCATCAGTCTTTGGGTCAAATGTGGCGGTTGTTTCAAGGCCCTGAACATTGGAACCATGACCAAGTTCAGTCTGAGCATAGCATCCAATTATTTGGAACCTGTAGGCCAGAGGTAGCCACTTCTTCTGCTGCTCTTCAGTCCCTTGGCCTTTTATAGCAGGAACAAACATGCCCTGCAAAATAAAATTTTGCACAAAGTATTGTTCCCTATTAATTAATCGAGCTTGTGGATAAAATTGAGCAGCTTCAGTGCTGTATATTGGAGTAGATAGTGAAGATAATATGGTCGATATTAGTACCCAGTGCAGATCAACATAACCAGGCTGGTCCACGTATAGCCTTAGCAAATTTGCCTCCTCTTCTGTTAATGGACAACAACACCATTACATGAGTTAAGAGTAGGAAGATCAGTTGTTAATAAAAGAAGAAGAAGCATCACGGGATTGGGACCTGACCTGTAAGACGGAGCTCGACGATACGCTTCCACGCATGGGCTGCCTTTCTGAGTGTGTCCTTGAACAGCTCCTTCCTGGGGAGCATAGTCCTGTTATCCTTGCGGAACACCTAGATTGGAAAGGAGTCAAAAATGTAAGGAAACCATTGTGAGCGTAATGGATTGTTTTGTTTATAGCATTTTAGCATTTGTTAGCAAAGAGGAGGCTACAGAAAAACACGTAGCAATTGGTACATTGTTACTGTTATTACTGATACATCATATATGGAGATGATTCATAATGTATGGTGCTGAGAAATTTCTATCGATCTTGTAGCGCAGCTAGCTATATTATAATGTTTAGTATCAGAAAAAAAAGAGAGTAGAAGATATTTGTGTGGGTACAAGGTTTTGGTAGATCTGATCTGAGGAGAAAATCACTATAGCAGAATATAAATAATATTACTAGTGACAATACTAATAATAGTAAAAGAGGAGATATGTGTGGAAGAAAGAGCAGGAGCAGTGGAATAAGCATCGCATCGCATCGCATCTAGCTAAAAAAAATACTCCTTAATAATAATAATTAGGGTAGCAAACAAGTCAGCGAAACAGTATCAACTAAATACTCCTGCTGGCTGCTGCTAGTAAACTAAAAATAATATATGAAATTATTATCGTGGGGTAAAATCGGGCCGGCGTGGTGTGGTTGTTGAAGAACAAGGAAAGAAGGATTGGGGGAAGAGAAGAAGAGCATCATACAGGTAATTTAATCAGAGATCCGGGGAGCCGAAGTTGATAATCTATCTATCTATCTGTGCAAAGAAAGAAAGAAAGAGGGAGAAAGTTATTGTTACGGGGTCGGAAGCGACGAGGCGCGCCATGCGGTCGGCGACATCGACGGCGTGGCGGGAGCCAGCCCAGGCAACCTTCATGTGTTCAACGTCGAACTGCGCGGTGGCCCTCTCGCCGGCGAGGTGGTCCACCTCCCCCCCTACGCCGCCCTCCATCTTTCCTTCCTTTCTTGTCCACACCACACCACGAGAGAGAGAGAGAGAGCGAGCCAGCAAAACAATCCAATCCAATCGAATCGAAAAGGGAACAGGGAGGAAGAAGAAGAGAAGGAGGGGATTGGGATTTTTATTTATTCTCGATTGCAACTTGGGAGTTGGGAGTTTGGCCCGCACTCTCTCTCCCTCTATTTATTGGGTACTATATGCAAAGATCTAGTACTCCTATAGACTTACGTTTGTTGCTCTTCTTCTTAGAACAAAACTTAGGAATTGTTTTTGTCAACAATACTAGTAATAATAACTATAGTATACAGTCCCACCCTAATGAATACAGTACATACGTACGTACATACATGATACATACTAGTCGAGTTGAGATCGTATGCATCAAGTACTTTGCTTCCCTAGTCTCTTGCGTTGCGTTTGTGTAGACAAACGTGCTCAATTATTTCTAGGAGTATACGGTTCATCCACGCCACCTACCAACCTACTACCTGCATACTACTGCTCTACTCAATTATTTCTCTTCTTTTTATTACTGTACACAAAATAACTGCATGCTGTATTATTTTGCTCTTGCAAATACAGTACCTACCCAGCTAGCAGTAGTGATTAATTAGTCCAGTCCTATCTTATCTTAATTATCAGGGCTACTGATTATCAATACTGTTAGGGTTACGGATAAGGTATACCCTCTACCCTTGGATGTACGCTGTACGACATATGGTACATATGGTACATCTGCGCGTGTACGGACGTTCTCTGTATACGCTAAGGAAATTCATCACGAAGTTCACCAGTGGAAGAGTTCCTACCCGTATAGGACTAGGTTGTCATTGTATCGTGCAGGGTCCGATATCTCCGAGTCCTACTTGAAGACCACCTGACCTGTGATATAAAAGGGACCCCCGTGAGGACCTAAGGCATAGAATCTCATAGCCAAGACAATAACTACAGCCTACGAAGCCAGAGTCTACAAGAGCCAAGTCGCCGGGTGATCTAGTCGAACCAACTCGACTACGATCTCGTCGGTATCATCGAGTTCTATTATTTCCTTTGTAATTTGTGGTTCTCACCATATAATCCCATACCAACTGGATTAGAACTATTACCTATTAAGGGGCCTGAACCAGTATAATCTTTGTCTCATGTTTCCTTGAAGTCGTACTACGTAGATCCTCGTACCAACGTACCCCAATACCTTTATATCCGGTTTACGGCTGTCCACCGTCGACAAATACCATGATATATTACTACAGTATTCACAAGTGCGTACATACTGCGTGCGTATATAGTATGTTTAAAACTGATAAACTGTCCGTTTTCTTTTAAAAAAAATTATATACGAAAGTTGTTTAAAAAATCATAATGATCTTTTTAAAAAAATAATTAATAATTAATTAATTATGTACTACTAAACCGTTCCGTTTTTCGTGTATAAGAGATGGGTTTCCAACCCCACCATCAAACACACAGTCTTATAGAAGAATAAACCACCCGCACGGCGCAGATATATAATACTCTATTTAGTTCTACCTCCGTCTCATATTACTTGTTTTTTTGAGTTTTTGTTTGTCGATGTTTGATCATTCGTCTTATTCAAAAAAATTTGGAATTATTATTTATTTTATTTGTCATTTGCTTTATTATCAAAAGTACTTTACATATGACTTTTTTTTATATTTATATTAATTTTTCAAATAAAACGAATGGTCAAACGTTGTAAATAAAAAGTCAAAAACATCACCTATTATGGGACGCTATATCGTTAAAACCAAGGCAGGCAGGCAATTAACAATACACAGCTACCACTCGACTCCATTGACTGTATATATTGATTGATTACTTTCGATCTAGATATATCGGAGTATATTTTCTATCTTTTCCATCTTTGGCTCCATCGAGAATATCCTTAATTTATTCCTGCTGATTGCTTCATCACCTGGCTGCATATATTTAGATTATATACTTGAACACAAGGGCTTTATTCGTTATTATGATATATTCCCTTCGTTTCGAAATGTTTAACACCATTGACTTTTTAGCACATATTTGACCGTTCGTCTTATTAAAAACTTTTATGAAATATGTAAAATTATATGCCTACATAAAAATATATTTAACAATGAATCAAATGATAGAAAAAGAATTAATAATTACTTAAATTTTTTAAATAAGACAAACGGTTAAATATGTGCTAAAAAGTTAATAAAGTCAAACATTTCGAAACAAAGAAGAGAGAGTATGAGTAAACAGCGCGCCGATCGATCGAGCCGAACAAACAAACTACTCCTACATTACCAGCGACCAAACTCGTAGCTATCGATGGTTCGGCCTACCATCAAAGGCAACATTCACAATTAAGTCCAATGATTAAGGTATACATCCCTCCCAACCCCAGCTTAATTGACAATTAAGTGCAACTAACTGGACGGCGCCCGTATACATCATTCAACATACTACAAAATCTACTACTCGTTTTGTAAAATTTGAGATATGTCATCCTGACCTACATGCCATTGACTCATGTGGGCCATATATGTTATTGAGATATCGATGTCATATCTCAAACTTTGCAAAATTATAATGGCATGGTTCCAATTTACCCTTTGAATAATGGCATTGACTTCAAAATATATTTTTACTATATTTTTTAATTATAATATATCTAATAAATACATATATTTTTCCTTTTGTTATGATACTTTGTAAGACAAGTCTATATAAGTTGTTCTAGTGTCTTTAAATTAAATATTTTTTAAACTATTGATAGTTAAAATTATAAAAGTTTGATATCAATCTCATCTAAAACATCAAGAATTATGGAATTGGAGGGAGTAATACTTTTTTTTCCTTTTGTCTCCAATAGATCTACAATAGTTGTTGTTGATGGTCATTAAGTGCAAACTTTAACTATCAACTCCTGCAAAAAGAATATAAAAAGTTATATCAAAACTTAGTGATAGGGGCTAACAACTAACCATTTCCACTAAATTTGGTAAATATATGTATGCAGGTTATTTATGGATGAAAATACACCTGTCATGCGACAAAAGAAACCTCCGGCCAATCATACGCAAGTACACGGATTGGATGATGCACCTGACAGTCAAAAAGACCTAAAGTGGGACCAAACAATCCTCAACTGCCATAAGGGCCCACCTGTAAGCCGCTGAAGAAAGTTGGTGGAGAGGGGTGAGGCCCAGGGATCAACCGAACTCTTGGTTCGGGTGAACCGCCAACAACGAACATTCCAACCATCATACGGAAGCTATAAAATGATGAGCTCAACACACAAAGTAGAGTACAACTCACTTTTAGGTTTTGCTTAGTATGTTGGATTATTGAGTGAATGAGGGGAGTTCCAGAAGGAGTGCCCTAAAGTATGAGAGTTCTCTCCGAGAACTTCCGGAGGAGTGTCAGGTTTGTCAGCATTCTTCCATTGGAGTTCCGAAGAAGCGCCAGAGCTGTCAGCCTTCTTTTTGCTTGTACCTCAGCGGATGCTTGCTTTATAAATAAGTGTTCGAGATTTCTTATATTGTTTAATTAGTTTACTTGAGTGAGATATATTCTCATCGGTGCGGGTTTGTCGCTTAGCTTATAATAAAGTGATATAGTAGTGCTAAGACTCTCGATAAAAAAGGAAGTTCCTACGCGAGACTAGGGTAGTAGTCAATAAGTGGTGTGTAGGTTAGCAGTTACCTTATTTGTTGTGCGCTTAACTGAAAGTGAGATAGGCGGTAGGTGGTGACAACCTTGTTCATCCTTTGCATCCCTCCATGTTCAGGTGCATTATAGAGCTCAAGGCAAGATTCACCTTGACAAACTAAGAGAGGGCCAATGCTCGAAGCATTCGATAGAATTTTACCTTTAACTTAAGATAACTAGTTGAATCTATAGAAATTATCTCTAGCCAATCTTATCATCAAATTGTTGTAGTTTGTAGAATCCTGTTTGTAGATATACACACTCATTTCTTGCATTTAATACCCTTGGAATGCTCTAAGGGAAAGTGCTATACAACGGTATCCATGCGCTTACGGATTTATCTGTGCGTAGCAAATACGAGCAGTCGCTTTCTCCGTCATAAAATATACCTCTATTATCTATGTGATATCAAATCTTCATTTAGATTGGTTTTTTCTATGTAGTGTCAAATCTCAATCTATGGTTTTTTTCATCATAATTATGTCTCATTTAACTTCTCCCCTTAGCTTTTCATCTTAACAAATAATAATTATTTCTAACTTAACTCGCATCTCTCCTTAGGTTGCGCTCGTTTGTGCCAGTTGGGAGTCTATCCCATCGACATAGAAAACGGAACAGCTTATTATCGCATAATTAATTAAGTATTAGCTAAAATTAACTTGAAAAATGGATTAATACGATTTTTTATGTAACTTTCCTATATATATATATATATATATATATATATATATATATATATATATATATATATATATATACAAAAACACACCGTTTAGTAGTTTAAAAAGCGTGCGTGTGGAAAACCAGGGAGAGAGGTTGGGAATAAGGGGTGCCGAACATAGCCTTAGTCTTCCTGGAGAACTCTAGAGACGAGGGAGTAGTACTTATATTACCCGTTCCCTTGTCGTATCAGTCATATTATTTCGTATACATATGATTGAAAGTTATAATGCTTATTAGTAACTAGAAGATAATTTATGGATAAAAATTTTATATAATTTTTTAGTGATTTAAATCCAATATTAAAAGATAAATTAGCATGAATAAAATATCAAAGCCAACTCTAAAACTACGAGGTGAGCATAGCTCAACTAGTTGGAATTCTTGTGGTGGAATCTAGCACGGTTGCTAGCATTTACGGCTAATATTATTTCAATGGTAGACGACATACCCATCGACCCATGGTAACTTCGTCAATTCTAAGATATGATGACCCAATCTTTCAAAGATGTTGATATAGGTAAAGTGTGCGTGTATATTTATAAGAGCGTATAAGTTTATACTATGTTTTTTTAAAAAAGATATAAAATTAAGTTTTGAAATTTAAATTTTAGCTTAAGCTGAAGAGAAAATGGTGGAGTCGATATGCTTAGGGGGCCGTTTGGCATAGTTTTAGCTGCAGCTTGACCTTTCTTGAAGTTGGAGTAAGTTTCAACTCTACATATGAACGGTATAAAATTGGTTAGAGTGTTATCACATAATGAATTAAAGGGTGGAGCCAACTCCACAACTCCACTTCATATCAACTTGTGAAGCACTCCCTCTGTCAAAAAAAAACCTGGATTTCCGTGTCTAACGTTTGACAGTTTGTCTTATTTGAAAAAATTATGAAAAAAGTTAAAAAGACAAGACACGCGTAAAATATTAATCATGTTTTATCATCTAACAATAATAAAAATACTAATTATAAGAAAATTTTATATAAGATGAGCAGTCAACCGTTAAACACGGAATCCCAGTTTTTTTTTTTATGGAGAGGAGTAGACTGCAGTCGGAAAGATCGTGGATTCGTGGGTGGGAACAGCTCCTAGCGCCGCTGGTTTTGATATTACAGGGCCTGATATGCTCCCTCCACTTGTCCAAACCAGTGACCTTTTTATATAAGAAAGGCATGCATCCATGACGATTGTTGAATGAATCCGAATATATGGAATCGAATCAAATAGTTGACCACTAACGAAGAAGGCACGTTTAGCTCGTTGCTCCGTCCAATCAATCTCAATGATTTGTGTGATTTGTGAACAACGCAACACGACCACATCAATCTCAATCAAATAGGTTGCACTGTCCATACCCCTGTCCAGTCCAGTGAAGTCGGATAAACTCAGGTACTACCTCCGTCCCAAAATATAACAGTACAATACCTTGTTTTAAAATGAGGTTATTTCTCTACCTACATCCTTCTCTTAACCAATCACAAGCATTCTCTTTCACCTAGTTTCTCTTCTCAACCAATTACACGCTTTATTTAATCATCCTCACATACTTTCTTAGTATACTCGTGTCAACCTTAGAAATGCTTTATATTTTAGGACGGAGAAAGGAGTAGTAGTAGTCCACTTTGAAAGAAGAGAAAGGATGTGGTCGGAGTACATATTTTCACCGATTTGTGATGGTTCTATATTAAAAATAGTAGAAATATAATATAATAATAAATAAATAAATAACCGATGGTTCGATCGGTGAACCGCAGCCAGAGCAGGTCAACCCCCGATCCGGTTTTTTTACTATGTTGTGGAGTAGTAGCTAGCGGATAACACTGACATGCACCCACCTACACGCCGCTCAGGTTCTGCATTATTGGCGCAGTACGTACGTGTTCATGGGGTACTTCATCCGTCCCAAAATATTATAATTTATAATAGGATTTGACTTATTCTAAGACAACGAATCTAGACTATCATTCGTTGTACTAGGATGGATGTTGTAATATTTTAGCACAAAGAAAGTAGAAAAGAGAAAGAGGCGCTAACATATGATCTTCAAATTGGACTAGATAAAGAGTAGAAGACACGTCAGCGAAAACCGTTCAGTGAGTCTTTTACATCGGTTTTAGGAGTTGGGGGTTAATATATCCCATGTTATGGTTGGAGGCTATGCCAGCCAATAGTTGAGGGAGTTAAATTGGAGTTTATTCCTTATCTTTTCTGTTTTCTTTTTAAATTTTTTAGACAAAGAAAGGCTCTCAAATTCGAACGGTCTCTCTAGTACCGTACATGTGGATTATATTTAGGCCCATCAAAACTCTGTCCGGTCCAGTAGTAGGAGTAAGGCCCATCCCATGCCATGAGGAACGAAAGGCCCAGGCCCACCATCGTAGGCCTCTTCGGTTGCGTTGCGTTGCGTCGCCGATCCGATCCGATCCTCTTCTTCATAAATCATACTCTGGGAATACTAGCTGCTCTGCTCTGCTGTGCTGTGCTGCTAGGGTTTAGGCGGCGGCGGCGGCGGCGGCGGCTGCGGCTTTCCGATTCCAATCCAACAAGAAGAAGATTCGGAGAGATTGCCGGCCATGTCTTCCACCGGTCGCCCCTACGGCCGTCGCGGCGGCGCCGCTCCCTCCTACGTGCCGCGCCCCCGCGCACCCAACCCCTCGCCATCCGCTCCCGCTCCCGCACGGCCGCCGCAGCAACTGCGTAAACCGGTGTTCACCACCGTGGAGCGGCTGCGGCCCCAGAGCCACGGCCACACCCTCACCGCCCGCGTCCTCTCCGCCCGCATCATCCTCGACAACCCTCCTCCCCGCGCTCGTCTCGCTGAGTGCCTCGTCGGCGACAACACCGGCACCGTCCTCTTCACCGCCCGCAACCAACAAGGTCCTCTCCTCTCCCCTCCTACTTCCTTATTCATTACAGTATTCAACTGCAACCTCTCATGTATCCTTTGCTCAAGCAAATTGGCGGCACAACACCCATTATATACCCTTATATACTGAAACAAGAAGCTTATGCCAGAAAAAAAAAACCATTTAACTTTTGTATGCCAATTGAATCATTCCATTCATTGACTTGTTTCAATGTGCCTTTGGCTTTATTGGTTTGCCATATACTAAGTCTGAACCACCATTGTGGAGACCCATGCTCCGCCACTGCTCAAGGATCACAGTTTTTTTCTAATGTAACTTAAATTGCGCTTGATGCAACACATATACCGCGTGTGTCCCTAGGCAATGAAGGAGACAAATATTTCTGGTGTCTCATCTTATTATTTCTATACCACATTGATGCAAAGTGATATGTGTTTCTTATTGCTTTCTGATCTGAAACACTGCCTCACGTTCCTATTCACTTCATTACATAATAATGGTGTATGTTTACTTTTCTATATTATGCCCGTTAATTGATCTTGGTCGATGATGGATATGTGCTAGTCACTTACTATCATTATAATCACTTCGCTTTTTTGTTCAAAAGCTGTGGTGTGTGTCTCATCCATCTAAGTAAGCCCTATCCTTTTTTCGTGTCAACAGTTGACTTGGTGAAGCCAGGCACCACGGTCATCTTCCGCAATGCCAAGATTGACATGTTCAAGGGGACCATGAGGCTGGCAGTTGACAAATGGGGCCGGATCGAGGTGACGGACCCTGCCAGCTTTCAAGTTAAGGAAGACAACAACGTGTCGCTGGTCGAGTATGAGCTGGTGGATGTCGTCGACGAGGATTGACTACTTAGACTTTGATTGGCTCTCGGGCTGTGGACATAGATTTTTGATGCAGCGGTAGCAGTAGGTTCATCTTATCCTGGAAAGCTATTGAAAAGATTTGGAGCTGGTTATTACTTATGTACAGGGGAAGGTTCAACTGATGCTTTTGTGCAAGACCTGTTCTATCATTAGGTTTGGTTTATGAAATGTGTTGATGTTGCCGGTGGTACCTAAATCTAAATGTTGGCAAGCCTAGTGGACTTGTTTCTGTCAATTTAATGGTATGGAGTTGGATCTTGTGTCGCTGATGGTTCTACATATACGATGAAGAATATTTCTGGGATGTCTTACTACACCTTGTTGTGAGCTGCAATGTTTGCGTGCATGTTTAACAAAGCTGTGTTATATGTGTTTGTTCACCAGGCATATGTTTGTTGTGTTGGTGAGATGCTGCTTGATTGATTGATCTCTTGATTTGTACAGAAGCTGTTGAGGAACATCAAATGGGTTGTTTTGTGTTGCCCAGGGGGATTGACCGGTATTTATCTATTCTGTTTGGATGGCTAGGAGGGGGGACCCTGAAGCAGACATTCATGATGTTGATGAGTTGTTGTTGCTCAGCTCAAGCCACCTTTACAAGAGGAGAAGGAGACCACTTAAGAGGCAATACTCAACTCACTAAAATACGCAAATTGCATAGATACTGCTGCAAACAAACAATCTGCTTGAGCAGCCTGACTGTAACATGCATGCATCAGGATTGAACATATATAATGGATCATCATTAATTGAACAAGCGATGATCCTGTTGAGCCATAGCTAGAATTGCGCAATCGAAGTGGTCATGGGCATCGGTGATACTAAAGTTGGATGGACAACGTCCCAGCAGAAGAGGTGGTCCGTCCTCTGCGTGTCTACCTGCCAACTTGTATCACTCCTTGCCCTGATCCGCAGCAGCCTCCGTGTCCGTGAGGCCTGCTTGCCTGCAGGCGATCGATAGTTGAAGAGCAAGTCGTTTGTTTGACTCTTACCAGTTACCACAAAGGTGGTACTCCCAAGTTTTATTTGCTGAACTGCATGTCTGTTTGAACCGCGAGATACTACAACTAAAGCTTCAGCAAATGCATCTCCTCCACCAAGAAACAAGATAGGGGTGCATCTGTGCATCATAGCTTGGGTTAAGTTGACTTGTTTTTTTTCCTTTTCTTTTAAGTAGGCAGAGGCAGCAAACTACTCCAGTTTCCTGAGAAGATTAGGATGACTGGTCAGTAGTAGTCCAAAATTATAGGGTATACTTTTTTAAAAAATTCAACTCGGTAATAATAATAATAATAATGATAACAATAGTAAATGCTAAGTATTATGCATTTATTAATAATATAAATATGAAATAAATTAATAATCAAAATATGTTATTATAAACAAAATATAGATCTTATAGTTTAGAACGGTCAGTGTTAGATGAAGAAGATAAGAGATACTTAGTACGTGGAGATGGCATCCAATCCATCGCTGTCTGAGTAAGTGAAGGCAAGACAAACTGCTCCTCCTCTTCTTCTTCTTCTTGTTGTACACTACGCACATTCGGAGTTGCGAAAATTGTTGTGTTGTAATAAGCAAACGTCTTGCAACAATACTCCTCCCCCTAATAGGAGAGGCTAATACAGAACAAATTTTCTTTAGAAGAGGGTAAAAGTATATTGATAAAGAAGAGATGCTAATACATAGAATATGTGTTAGTAATCAGTATTAGATTACTACTAGTATGTAGTAGTAATATGAGAGAGTAATTATTATTATTTTTATTTAGGAGGAGTAGTTGATTGGAGGATATATACAGACGGTGAGAAGAAGAGTGAGATACAGGAGAGGAGAAGCCTCCTGAAACTGAAAGGAGACAAGCAGTTGTGTTGTCCTTCTCCCTCTCCTCCGGCCAGCGGCCATGGCCATGGCAACGGCAACCCCCGCGGCGCAGAATGAGCAGCAGGAGAAGGGGGGGTTGGAGTACGTATATCTGTCGGGGCTGGGCAACAGCTTGTCGTCGGAGGCGGTGGCGGGGACGCTCCCGCGCGGGCAGAACAGCCCGCTGGTCTGCCCGCTGGGACTCTACGCCGAGCAGCTCTCCGGCACGCCCTTCACCGCCCCGCGCGCCCGCAACCTCCGAACGTAAGCAATTCTATCAGATTCTTCAATCTTTCCTCAATTCTATCAGATCAAATGAAAGAAAGATGCAGATGGCTGTACCGGATCAAGCCTTCGGTGACCCACGAGCCCTTCCACCCCCGTCGCCCCGCCCACCCCCGCCTCATTGGGGATTTCGACCGCACCACCACCGACACCGTCGCCACGCCCACCCAGCTGCGCTGGCGCCCCGCCGACGTGCCCCCCCACCATCCTCCCCTCGATTTCATCGATGGCCTCTACACCGTCTGCGGCGCTGGCAGCTCCTTCCTGCGCCACGGATACGCCATCCACATGTATGTATGTATGTATGTATGTATGTATGTATGTATGTATGTATGTATATCCATGCTGATTCTACTTTCTTTCAATCCATTATATCCTGCTTGCTCCAGGTACGCTGCTAACAAGTCCATGGACGGATGCGCCTTTTGCAACGCTGACGGCGATTTCCTCATTGTCCCCCAGCAAGGAAGTATGTTGTAGTATCTTCCATTCCCTTCTTCACTTCTATCCTGCCCTGCCCTTCCTTCTTCATCTCTGCAAATTAACCCACTACTGTACTATTAATTAACCTCATGACACTTTTCCCCTCCAGTTATCAATTGTTCCACACCACAACATGATTGCCACTTGCCTTGCTTACCACCATATGAACAATGACATTATTTCTCTTCTCCCCTGAATTATTCAATCTTCATCATTTCCAGTGCTCCACTTGTGCCACTCTGTGTCTGTGGTTGTTAACGTACCTTCTTCTTTTTTTTTAAAAAAAAAAAGGAAAACAAGCACCATGCTTCAAAAGTAGTATAATGCTTAATGCAATTTCCATTCAGTTATGCCTACCTTCTACAGGAATATGTATGCTAACCGTAGTTCCTCCTTTTTCTATCAAGCCCAGAGCTGTTGATCACAACTGAATGTGGGAAGCTGCTAGTCCCACCTGGTGAAATTGTTGTCATTCCCCAGGGTTTTCGCTTTGCTGTTGATTTGCCCGATGGTCCTTCACGTGGCTATGTTTCTGAGATTTTCGGTACCCACTTTCAGCTCCCTGATCTTGGCCCGATTGGTAATACCAGTGCCTTCAACCTTTCTGCATTTGTTTCTTTTTTTTTTAAAAAAAAAGAAAAATATTTACAGTGTAAGCATACAAGGTTTATGTTGCTAGAAGATGTCCGGTTGGTGTGCAGGTGCAAATGGCTTGGCTTCGGCAAGGGATTTCCTTTCCCCAACAGCATGGTTTGAGCAAGTCCACCGCCCAGGATACACAATTGTGCAGAAATATGGTGGTGAGCTATTCACTGCCACTCAGGACTTTTCTCCATTTAATGTGGTAGCGTGGCATGGAAATTATGTCCCTTACAAGGTAAACCTTTTTATCTAGCCATGTTAATTCCTTTCTTTCTATGCAGAAATTTGCAGGTAGAGGCATATGATCTGATTTTCTTTTCTTTCTTTCTTTCAGTACGACCTGAGTAAATTCTGTCCATTTAACACTGTTCTATTCGATCATGCTGATCCATCAGTAAATACAGGTGATTGCTTTTCACGACCAACACAATGATAATAGTTGTATTACATTATCTTAAAACACAATGTGTATAGTTCATTCAATTCAGTGAGGGGGATTTTACATGATATATTTCTTCAACTTTCAGTGCTGACTGCACCAACTGATAAGCCTGGTGTCGCATTGCTTGATTTTGTGATATTCCCGCCTAGATGGTTGGTCGCTGAGAACACATTTCGCCCTCCATACTATCATCGCAATTGCATGAGTGAATTTATGGGATTGATCTATGGAATATACGAGGTCAGACCTGATCATTCGCTAGCATCTGCTCTTTCTCTCTGGTGTGTATTGACTAAGCTAGTCATGATCAGAACTCATCTTTCTGAACTTATGCAGGCCAAAGCTGATGGTTTTCTTCCTGGAGGTGCTAGCCTTCACAGTTGCATGACACCTCATGGCCCAGACACCAAGACATACGAGGTTAGTCATGCCGATGGTAGGGAGGAATTCCTTCCTTGTAGGTGGTATGGCTGCTGATGTGTTTGTAACATGGTGTGTTGCATCAATTTGCAGGCAACAATCAGCCGTCCTGATGCCAATGAGCCATCAAGGCTAAGCGGCACGCTTGCATTCATGTTCGAGTCTGCACTCATCCCCAGGGTTTGCCAATGGGCCCTCGATTCCCCATCCCGGGATCTCGATTACTACCAGTGCTGGATTGGATTGAAATCCCACTTCTCACATGACAATGGAGGGGCAACCAGCGAAGAACCATGCAGAAAGTAGCTTTGATCAGTTTTAGTAGCTTATGATGCTGTGCTTGTGTATATTTTGTGAGGCTGTAACTGAACCATTCACCAGATCCGTGTAAGTAAAGACAATAATGCTCAGCAGCCTGTACTGTACAATCGTGGGTATAGCATTATCAGAAGCAAGAATGTCAATTTCAATAAGAGGTTGCCTACACTGTAGGCAGATTAGTACAGGCGTGTTTGTAACACCATGAATGAATGAATGGATGGATGGACACCGTGTGAGGTACCATTAACATGCCGCCGGAAAGAAGATGTTACATTCGCAACTTGGGACTGTTAACATGTTCCCCTCTGTTGAGATACAGATTGATGTGGGGAGTTGAGATAGATAAAATTGATCTATTTTGGTTTTGGTTTTGGACCTATGATATAATAATTGGTTTGGTGTTTAGAGCGGAACCTGTCAAATTCTTGGTCTCAAACTGAACGCATGGAGGGTTTCCTCCAGTCCAGAACATCAATTTTCTCATATGTGCATACTTGTGGTGTTGGTGTATAAGGAAACCAAACCAATCTTTCTTGTGTAGCAACTGAAGATAATGCTGGATGGCTCAAGTGATTTGGTACTTGTAAGATAATACAGTATCTATGTAGTTTGCTTGCAACCTCAGTTTTTGTAGATAATGAATTAGACACGAACCCATAAGTTTGCAACCTCTGTTACGTCAAAAGAAAAAAAGAAGAAGAAGGTGTTGTGCATTGCATCCTCACTGGAATGATGTCATGACATGAATAGATATATCTTTACTTTGTTTGTTGATGCTGGATTATCAATCAAGCAAGCAAACAAACACTAAGGAAACCAAAACCTGAGACAGAGACGGGAAACAATATCATCGGAAGGAAAAGCTTAAAGCTTCTTATTTTATTATTTAATTTTGGAAGAAAAGGCAGGCACTAATTAAGGCAGGAAGGAGGAGGAAGAAAAGCTTCAAGGTTTGTTGTTGTTGAGCAGTAGCGGCGTGACGGCGGCCCACAGCTCGTGGTCGTCGTCCAGCGCCGCCATGTGGTGTGGAGTGAGCACCACCTCCGCATCTATGCTTCCTCCGCCCTCCCGCCCCGGGTACAGCGACGCCTTGCCGTCCATCTTGTTGGCCTTGCCGCTCCGCGCCGCCAGCGCCTTCCCCCACCCAAAGTCGCAGCCGTACATGTCGAACCGCGGCGAGCTCCCCATCATCACCCCCGACGGGTCGAAGTACCTCGCCGTGTATATTATCGGCTTCACCTCCCACGCCGCCACCCGCGCCCTGATGTCCGCGTCCGTGTGCGCCGCCACCGCCCGCCCCACCGCCGCCGCCGCCCACCCGTGCCCGCGCTCCACCAGCTCCGACGCCTGCACCTTCTCCGTGCTGATGGCGTAGATGCTGTTGCCGAAGTACTCCCTGGGCAGCGCCGGCTGGAGGCGCCCGCGGTTGTTGATGGCCGCGCGGCACATGGTCTGTTGCTCCGCCGGCAGCCGCCTGGCGCGGGTGATGCACCTCCACAGCAGCGAGCTCAGCGCCTGGAACCTCGTCAGCGCGGCCGCGCCCGCCGTGTCCCCGGCCGCCAGGAGCTCTTGGCGAGCCCGCTCCTTGAGCGCCACCAGCGACTCCGATGAGAAGTGTAGCATCCGCTCGCACAGCAGCGGCGGCTGCAGCCTCTCGATCAGCTCCGACAGGTCGGCGTACGGCAGCACGACCGGGGCTCCGTCTCCGGGAGAGGGAGACCAACGGTTGAACAAGGGTGGGGGCGAGGTGGGCGCGGCGAGGCAGCTGGCGCGCGCAATCTCGACCCACGCATTGAGGAAGTCCCAGAATGCGGTTCCATCGGAGAGCGCGTGGTTGTAGACGAAGGAGAGGAAGACGCCGTCAACGAGGTGGGTGACCTGGACGACGAAGAGGGGGAGATGGTGGCCGTCGTAGTTGACGGCGTCCCCGAGCGGGAAGAAGGAGTGGAGGAGGGGCGGGACGTGGGCGTCGGGAGGGAGGAGGTCGGCGACAGTGACGGCATCGGCGACGGCGTGGACGATCTGGACGCCCTGGCCGTCGCAGTCGATGGAGACGGAGCAGCCGCCTTCAGGTTCCGGGTGGTTGTGGGTGACGAAGCGGCCGGCGACGGGGTAGTAGGTGTTGAGCGTGGTGGAGAGGGCGGCGGCGAGGTGGTCGACGACTAGGAGGCAAGGCGGCGGCGGGGGGAAGACGAGGCCTTTCTGGATGTAATCGGCGGAGAGCATGGAGAGGTCCCAGGAGGTGAGGGGGATGCTCTCCCGCGGCCGAGGCGCTGCCGGCTTCACGGTGCGCCTCGACACCACGCGCACCACCGCCGCCGCCGACGACATCCTCCTGCACCTGCTGCTTAATTTGCGATATTACTGGATTGGATTGGATTATTACTACGTGTATATCCCATTCATTTATACTAGTACTAGTCTACAAGGCAATGTAAGCTGTGGGTTGGTGGCCCAACAATATTTTACTCACAAACAAGAAAGAAAAAGGAATTAATGTCAAATACTGCAAGGATTTATTGTTACCAATTTTATAGTCGTTGAAGAAATGGTTTCCCAAGTCAATTTCAGTATTATAAAAGGGTGAATGGTCAAATTGGTCCTCCAAGTTTCATCTGAGACTCAGTTTAGTCCTTGATGTTTCAATCTATCCATATTAGTCCTTCGAGTTTTCTTTTTAGTTCAAACTTATCCTTAAACCAACAACTCTATTCATAAATGACACTTATACCCCTCATCATTCACATATATAAGAGAAAAATTGCATGCTTGAATTTTTTATAGATAATACATAGTATATGATGTAAAATGAAAATAAATTATGTACTAGCAAGTGTATACGATAGTAATTGCTTAAGTTTCATGTGCACATGTTGAAATAATGGGAAGTACATCTGTAATGTTGTTTATTCATGTTGACTTTCTTTTTTCTAGTATATAGTTCTATGCAAATTAAGGGCAAAAAAGACATTTTTTTAATAGAAATATTGACTAGAAATAGCCATATAACATATTAAGTGGGTCCAAGGATGATTTCAAGTCAAAACAAATATTTGGAGGAGCTATGTGGACAAAATAAAACATGAAGGACCAAATTAAGCCTTCGGTGAAACTTAAGGGACTAAATTAGCTATTCACCCATTATAAAACTGTAGAGCATATTACTACACTACACATATAAGTACATTTCCCTCTACTTACTACTGTTACTGCACGGTGCGTGCATATGCATTTTCCATGTTGATTCTTAACTTGTCTATTTTCTCCGTTTCAAAAAAAATTTAACCTCATACTAAATATTAATATATCTTAGTACTATAAATCTGTACAGCGGTTCAAATTCATAATATTAGTACGTAGGAGTAGTAACTACTAGGGGCAATTGTGTTCCTGCCCTTACTTTCTAGTTCAATTGTGATTTTACTCCTACTTCTTAGGGTTTGTGATTTGCCCCTAACTACTATGTATCAGCATCTAGGGTGTGTTTGAGGAGAAGGGGATTGAGGAGATTGGTAAGATACGCAAAACAAGTTGAGCTATTAGCTCATGATTAATTGAGTATTAACTATTTTAAATTTCAAAAATAGATTAATATGATTTTTTAAAACAACTTTTCTATATAATTTTTTTTTATAAAAAATACACCGTTTAGTAGTTTAAGAAACGTGCGCGTGAAAAACTAAACAAACAAACTCACTCTCTCCAACGCAGCCCTAGTACACAAGGTTAAGCTTTTTTTACATGGAGGGAATACTAGTGGACTTGAGGCTGAAGCTCAGGTTTTGACACGTTGATTGACTGAATTTTCAAATGGAAGCTCAGGTTCTACAGTTTACTAGTACAAGTCGTCAGTCGTCACGTCTGACATGAGCCTGCCTATGCCTCCGGCTGCTAAATAGTACTCCATGTGATCCAACTAATTCTAGAATAACCGTCGACTTAGTACCATTAGCATCAGCATCACTGGGTATTCTATTTTGAAAGCAAGAAGACCATTCATAATAATCGTGTTAGCACTTATATACTACCCCTGCGTTTCATAATATAAGTCATTTTAGCATTTTCTACATTTTTATTGATGTTAATGAATCTAGACATATATTAATGTTAATGAATTAAATATGTGAAATGCTAGAATGACTTACATTTTACATTGTAAAACAGAGAAAGTATATTTATTGATATACACGTACAAAAGCGGATGAGTCGAGGAAAGAGTATTTCTTCCATTCTCGAATAACCTGACTGTTAATTATTATCATCATCTACTCATCTTACTTCGATCACAAATTATTTCTGAATAATTATATTATAACGAATAAAAGTTATTTATGACATTACATACTTAAATAATATAATATCTTATGTTTTCAAGCTTCTTAAATATTCTAAAAAAGACAAACAGCCAAAGTTTGAATCTGATGAATGGTGCCAGTTTCACTGTTTAGGAACGAACTAGGGAATGTGCCTGGAGACTACCTGCATTCTGCAATAGCAGCACACCCCTTCTTTCTACTTGTTCCGGTCCGGCCTAAAAAAAAAGGCTACTAGTTGTTGCGTAGACGAATTCCTAATGTAAAAATGTACTAACAGAAAAGGAGGAAGAGGAAAATCAAAGGAAGCTGCATGTGCTCAACCCGATCAAGTAACTAATAGATTTCAGATACTAACTTTGACTTGACAGGATGGCATATATTTAACTCAAGTACGTCTGATGCACAAGATTAGAGACAAGATAGTCCGTTAACCAAAACTGCGCTGCTGCTTACAAAACAAGTTAACTGTCCAGAATCAAGTAGTAGTGATCAGCATCGTCAGGCTGCAGTTTCTTGATGATGCCGAAATGAGGAAGCTCATCACGTATCGATCTGAGGGCAGATGATTTTGCAGATTTTGAATTTCAGAACCTGCTGGGACTTAACATAGGATAGGAGTATCAATGAGCTAATTAAACTGAATACAAGGATTATTACATCATTTGAATGGAGCAAGAATATAATTGGTCCATTGTTTTTTTCTAAAGAAGAGAAAGAAAAAGGACAGGCAGAAGTATATAGGGGACATAAAACAATCAAGGAAATTCTCAAAAAAAAAAAAATCAGGGATGGGATGACTCAGGTGTGGGAAGATTTTATTTACAGTGTGCGCACTGAGAAGTTGCTAGGTCATTATTGCTGGTCATGACGGAACACAAGGTCCAGAAGATGAAAGAATGATCGCTAGATAGGGGATGTGGAATTGAATAGGAAATGTGGTTGAGAGTTGAGAGCGTGGGTTATCATAATCGATGATCGATGGAAGAAGAAGAGGAGGAGGAGGAGGAGGAGGAGGAAGAGGCCTTTGCGAATCGGCCTTTGACCCGCTTTCGTGCGTCGGCTCCGGCCTTGCGGCAGGCATACTTGATCTGCTTGCTGAACCTGCATCAATTTAATTTAATTAGCTTATGTTAAGATGAGATCATTTGGGGGTTGTTGCACTTGCAAGTAGTAATAAGTAGAGTATATATATACGTACTTCCTCGTCTTCTTCTTATCATTGTACCTGAGCTTGGCTCTGTTCCTCTCCTCCCGCTTGTGAATGTTCCTTATCATCATGATGAGGGAGGTGGTGGTGTGGTGTTGTAGTGGTGGGGGTGGCATTGCCATTGGCGCAGCAGTAGCAGTATTAGGAGTCGCAGTCGCAGATAAGAGAGTTGGAAGTAGCTCTTCTCCTTCTCCTCGTTGTTGTAAACTGCAGGTAGCTGGCTGCATATGATGCATTATTGTACCAGCATCGGGTTTCCTGGACCTGCCGACTGCAGGAAACTATAGAGCCAAATTCAGATGAGAGAAGAGATGAGGGTGACTGAATACCGGCGGCGGCGGGGCGGCATGGAGGAGGCGCATCATCTCCAGCGGGGTGGGGCAGCCGGTGTAGACGTAGGTGTATGTGTAGGGGTAGGCGTAGGCGTAGGGGTAGGCGCACGGCCCGCACAGCGTGGCCCCGTCGTTGAGGCGCAGCTCGGCGGCGGCGGCGTTGCACGAGTCGCAGAGCGGCGCGCGGGGGTGATCGCCGGCCCCGCCGTGGGCTTGGTGCAGGGCTCGGTCGCATTGGAGGCAGAGGCGCCCGCCGTGGGCGCCGCAGAACACCACGCCACGCCGCCCACCGCACAGCTGGCACTCGCAACCCACCTCATTTTCCATTTCCACCTTTTTTTTTTCACTCTCAACCCTTCTCGACTATTACCCTCTCCGTCTAAAAAAATATATATTAAATTGCGCAAAATCTATTTCGAGAGACATCTCCTGCTAGGCGACAGCGCAATACGTGCGAGAAGTACTATTGCACCTCACATATATGCAACTATTTTTTTGCTATTAGGTTATACATGTCTTTTTTATCTTCTTATGAAGTTTTCTCTCAAGTTACTTATCCGATCTATAATCCGATTATATCATTGTACTCGTTGCAATTAAATCTTCAGAACAAAATCTTACATGATTATATTACGATGAAAAAATATTTATATTTGTATATTACTTTTATTACATATGTAAGTTACTTTTATCATATACATAAAATATTTATCAAAGGCAGGACAAGCATGCTGGGTACTAGCTAGCTGTCAGGAACAAGACTATACACTGATACACACAGCAAACGTGCATGATGATAATCCTAGCAGCAGGCGACATACTCGGAAGAAGCCGGCACGCGGGGCCGTGGCATGGGGGATAAGCAGTATACCGTTCAACGGTATACCGTTGTGTAGTCTTTCTCTAAAGTACACCCTTTCAAAAATAAAACAAAAAAAAGATTCAAGGACACAAGTATATTAGTAAACCAAAAGGTCGTCGACTACAACCAATCAAGCAACCAAGGAGGCCATTACCACCATGCTTAATTCACTTCCTGGTTGGCTGGTTAGCAAGTTATTACTTGTACAGTACTAATTACTTAGTACTATTTACAACAACCTAAGTTACCCTAGCAGACCTTACTAGGCATGCTGCACAAGGCCTGGAGGGAAGGGAACCCCAACCCACCCAGCTTACAAGCTAAGCTAGAATGGAATGGTACTACTAATAACAAACTAGTAGTAACAACATATACATGCAAGCCACCAGTCCGGCCAAATTCAGCTCCTTGTGCCAGGCAGGCAAAAAATGGCATTCCAAGAAAATACTGCTGTACTACAAAAGTCAGGTCAGTCTAGCTCTAGCTCTAGTGCTCTTCTGGTTCGTCATCGGACAAGCACACCACATCTACTGTACGATGACTATCCATGCGAGTGCGAGGTGTGCTGGTTTCACCGTCCTTCAGACCAAGATTGGATGTAAGCCATGCATCCAGCGACACCGAATCTGACATGGACCTACTTGGCGGCAAACCCGAGCCTACAACAGGCACTGTATTCAAGCCTGACGGTGCCCCCTTTTGCTGTCCCCTTGGTGCTGCTATCGACTCGGGTGGGTGTGGACTTGGCGGCAATGCCACTGTGCCTGCACTCAAAACTGGATTTGAACTTGAATTTGCTGCCAAGGCTGGATTTGAGAGTGCTGGACCTGGATGTGAGCTTGACGATGATGATGAATTGCTCACCGGGGAAACTGATTGTGAACTCAACTGCCTTGCGTTTACTGGGGTGCTCACAGGAGTCAACTGTGTCCTTGAACATGTGCTCTCTAGCCTAACTGGGAGCTGCCGCTGCTGCTGATTTACAGGGGCCGTGGGATGTGCTCGTGGCAGCCTGAACTGGAGATGGGGAGCTGGTGCCCGTGCTACTTCACTCCCAACTCCATAGTTTCCACGGGCTGCAGGTGTGTGACTAAAAGGAGTTGATGTTGCCCTGACAACGCTGCCTAGTATTGCTGGGGGAGGTCGTACAACTTGTGAAGATGGCGATGATGAATGACTCCCCCCCGATGATGATGACCGATCCACATGCGATGGTTGAGCACAATGCCTCTGCAGCGATGGTCGACTAGCTGATGATGAACCGACTGGCAATGCAATCGATCCAGCCACCGAAGGCCTAGTTGGTACCTGCTGAGATACCCCAGCTGTCTGGCGAGTTGTCTGGCAAAGTGGAGGAGAAACGGCTCTGGCTGCAGTCCAAATAGAGTGAACATTAGTAACAAACAATACTTCTACAGAAAACAACTCGGTCCAGGACAATAATTTTCTTTACAAATCTTTTTTAAGCACAATCTTATTCATTGTGCAAAACACTAGGTCTGTCAAGCACTGCAAATGAACTTGGCATTTCCTGGCGCTCAATTCCTATGCGGCATTATCTCATTGTGAAAAATTATTCTTCCACTATAGGACCAGAAATCCAGAACAACCATGCCCCTTTCTCCCAGGGAAAGGCCTACATTAACAGGAGGGGTAGAACGGAATGCATTCGCTCAGTTTTAACGTAGTTTTGATGTTTCCTTCCAATCATAATAAGGAAGAGGTTATCTTTTAGCTCTTGGGTCCGACTTAACAAATAGGTTACTTACTACTACTTGACCTTAGGATCGAATTAGGCCCTCCTTTGGATAAGCAAGAGAATGGATCATCAAGGCACAGTAAGCGATATGATCTCCTAAATTCAAAAACAAACAATGGCTTGTAGGAGATCTATTTCGTTTTTTGTGAAAAATTCAAATTATCAAAATATAATGTTGTAGCAGAAATTTGGCCCAGATTGTTTCATATCCACACTAACAATATCAGAAAACATTTTTTTTGCAAGATATCAAGTATACCTTGAGCTGCAGATGTTGATACAAATTTGACCCGAAAATCATCAGCTAGTGATTGGTTTAGGAGAACTTTCCCATACAAGTCATCCAGTGTCTTCCTGTGCTGATGATGAGCGGAGTCTTGTTCTTTAATTAACAAATCATACTTCTGTTTTATCTTCTCGATTTCTTGGCTGCACTCCGTTTGAAGTTGTGATTTCTGTCCAGAGGTAAAAGCAGAATTGATGAAACTATGATGAATCTGGGAATAGTGTGAGCAGTTGGTATATTAGCAAGAGGGAGAAATATGCAAACCTTCAGTTCGTAGATTTTATTAAGAGAATCCATGTGTACTTGTAATCTGTGCAGCTCATTTTTCAATGGTTCATTGCCAAGTGGTGGGTGATTAAACATCAGTGATGCCACGGGAAAGAGTTGTGTTGGATCCACCGAACTAGGTGCAGCCTCTGGCTGACGACTTTCCCTCCTCTGATCAGGATTTGTTCTTTCACGCAAAATACCGGATACTGGACTTGATGGTCGCATTTCAGGTTGCAAAGGCTGAGCTGATGTTACAGTGGTCGAACCTTCTCGCTCTTCTTCTTGTGGAACTCGTCCTGTCACTATGTTCTGCTGGGCAGACTGAACTACATGATCTGTCTGAATGTCAACTTCCATAGCCATTGGCAAGGCACTCTGGCTGGGCAGGGCAGCCACAGTTGGTGCCTCTAAGTGAGGTGAATCTGCAAGAGTAGTGCCACAATTGTCGGCATTAACTTCCACTGCAATATCCCCAAGATGTTCGCTTCTATGGCTGGCAACTGAAGATTCCTGATATAATATGGACAACATTTTACAACGTGCTGTTTCTGGCATTATATATTTTATGAAATAAATAACAACAAACAAAATAAATATAGTGTACAATGATATTTACAGCACAAAATTTCACAAAAGTAGTGAGGTGCCATTAATTTTTTAAAAAAGAATGAAATATTCTAACCACTATTCCCATGCAAAGACAAAGTGTACCAGCTGCATCAACTGAAGATGTCCACAACTAAAGAATGCATTCAAGTAAAATGGATAGAGCAAATGAATAATGCCCAAGAGAATGCTATGCATCAAAGGCCACATACTATATACGGTTAGCATGATGTTCAATCCATGCTGGACAGATTAACAGAGCAACTAACTAGATCTTCCTACTAATATATAGTGTCCAGGCAATTTAATCTTTTTATATAAAATAGGGCAACTACTTAAATGAATAAATGTCGACTAGCTGTGCATGTAATAAGTTGTCAAGTCAGAATACGATACGTTATCACGCAGAAAAAGAAGGCATATGAACAAAATACAACATACCAAATTATTGGAATTGTCAATTGCAGGATTAGAACTTAATGAATGTTGAACAGCCAGAGGTGGCCCTCCTTGTGAGTCAATGCCATCAGAATCATTGTCCATCCTGTTCTGCGACAACCCAACTTCTGATGTTGGTCTTTTTTCGGTGTGGACAGGAACTTCAACAGCCCCATTTATCGCTGCTTCTGAATTCCCAACTTCAGATGGACTGACACTCCGGACCAATGCAATTTCCATGGTTGATGCCAAAGAATGCTGGCAATTTGCTGAAGTAGCTGCACCGACAGGGAAATTACCAACTATTTCCTTGAAGTGGCTGAATTCTTCCAAAGTAAAGCATGAATCTGGTAAAGGAATTTGTTGATCAAAGCTACGATCTAAGTGGCCAGATTTTGCTTGCTGAAGGAAAATTTCCTTCAATTGTAACTCCTTGTTCCATGAAGTTGATTGCTGCATCTTCAACTTGTTATGCTGGCATCTCATGTGATTCAAAAATGCATACAGAAGCAAAGTAAACCATTCAATTATTAGCTTCACCGTGGCATCCCTGTCCTCTGAATCAATGTGACCTTTACGAAGATGTTCCACGACCAAATTGCATGTTTCTTGCAGCTTTGCCACTTCCTTTTGCTTGTGCATGTCTAACAGTGTGGTCTCGTTTCCTTGTTTATCCTGAATATTCTTTTCTCTTAAGGAGAAAACCATGTTAATTAAATTAATTCTTTTCTCTGTGATTCTTTCAAGAAGTTCATCCCTTAAAACATGTTCTTCTCTATGAGTTTCTAGAACAGATATCAATTCCTTCTGTTCTAATATCATCTCCTCGGTCAAGATATCATGTGGAGCCTCTTCATGTGAAACATTTTCCAAATCACCATCAATTGTCGTTACCTGATGACAAATTGATCCGTCACTTCTCAATTTCGGTGAGGTCTGTTGTTTGTAAGATGATGTGTTATTTACTGGAGTAGATTGGCTCTGCTTGCTTGTTTCACTTGCTCTACGCGAAAACTTTTTCTTGAGGATCCTTAGCTTCTCATAAACATATTCAGCGAGCACTTCATCGCACTCATAGTTCAAGTTTCTCACAGAAAGGGCAAGTGACTCTCTTCGATTGATCTTATGCTTTAAGAGAGAAGCAGCACGCCAACACTGAAAAGCACATGGAAAAAATAATAGCATTTAGCCATGCAAATTTAGCTAAAAAACCTATAAAATATTTTTATAATCTAACCAGGGCAATGTTGAATGCATGCAATATGCCCTTTGGCTCCTGACTGACTTGATGATTCTTCAAAATGTAATCAAGTAATTCCTCACATAAACATTTGACAGTCTCCTGCAAAAGGTTTTATCAAGCATCCAAGCATCCAATCAGCTTATATTATTTAACTAGAGAATCAAGTGACTTCAGGAAAAGTTCGCTTAAACTGAAACTTAGGGTAACAGCATGCTGCATAAATTCTACAGAAGAGGAGGCAACTTTTTAACAGCAGGACTGCAGGACACAGCTGTCCTGCATAAATTCATATTGGAAGCATGTAGAAACATGCACTCCCTCCGTCCCATAGAAAACCAACCTAGTACCGGATGTGACACATCCTAGTACTACGAATCTAGACAGGCATCCAGTACTAGGTTGGTTTTCTATGGGGCGGAGGGAGTAGGTGATATCAAAGCTCATAACCTGAGCTAAAAGCAGGATATAGTAGCAACTAATACTCCCTCCATTTCACAATGTAAGACTTTCTAGTATTGCCCACATACATATATATGTTAATGAATCTAAACACATACATATGTCTGGATTCATTAACATCTAAATGAATGTGGGCAATGCTAGAAAGTCTTACATTGTGAAACGGAGGAAGTAACATATATGGATCAAAATGACACACTAAGAGTCAAAGAAAATGTTTCCGTTATGAAGAGCAAAAGTTATCAAGATCCAACTTGATAAATAACTCTTCACAAGGTGTGGAACTCTGCTGTTGAAAACTAAAAAATATTAGCTATTAAATTGAATGCTAAAAGAGCAGATTATGTCCTGTACTTGCAGTGAACTAAAATATTTTTCTCAAATTAATAACATAAAGCAAGCATTTATTTTAATATACTTGGCAGTACCGGCAATTCCAACAATTCATACAACTTTGACAGCTCTGGCTTGAGTTGGGTGTGAAGACCTTTCTGTGTGCCCTGAAGGCTTTCTGCCCCTACAAAATGGAGTGTATTATAAAAAAATGTAGCATATGCACATAAAGCATAAGAGCTGTTAATTACTGTTACAGTTGGAATACCTAGCTCTTGCCAAGTGTCATCAACTGATGTTTCATGAGAACTGGATGCTGTACTATTTTCAGGCAGCACAGCATCATTGTCTTTGACAGGTAGGATCTTCGGAGATGAATCCATGATTTCTCCGATTTTTCTACGTTTCATTATTGCTTCATCAGTTTCTTCTGCAGGTATTCTCATTTGGTCTTCCATATTTTGTATCTTCCTACGGTTCCTTTGCACTGGCTCAGATATATATTGCCAATGAGGAGACCTCCCACCTAGTAAATTTGACCAGAAGGTCCAGAACTTTGGCAAATCACCATCAACTGCAGATATTCCCTCCCTCTCGCTTATAACAGCAATATCTCTAGAATAAAACGATCCACTCTGCTGAGCTCGAGATATGACTGCATTTTCCATTTTAGTGCTGGCTTCAACGTTGGTGGATAGTTTCGCTGCAAACTCCAAAAATACATTATTCATGAAGAGACCATCATCCTCAGAATCTTTACTGGAGTAGTCATGCTTTTGGAACTCCTCAAGTCTATTGAAGAGAAACGATGCACCCCAACTAAGCAGGGAATGGCTCACGATAGGCATTACATTCTGGACGTTGCTGTCAAGAATATGATCATGCTTCGCTAGTATAAGAGTCTTTTCCTCCACCGTACAAGACGAATACAAGCGAAAAATAGGCACACATTCAGATTGAGACTCTATACTGATCCTCTGGAGAACTCTCAAGTCATTGGTTGGATTCCAATCACTACAATATATGATGATGGCATCGACAGATGATAATTTAATGCTTGGAACACAAGCACGACTATCAATCAAGAAAATAAAACGCCCCTTAGTTTTGTCATTGAACATATTCAGTGCTGTTTGTTTCTTCGGCACTAGCAATCCGCGTTCTACACGCTCATATGACTCAAAACCAAATCTCTGACGGACAAAATCATCCAAAATGTCACCCATAGGGTTGCCAGCCCCGCCACCAGACTGCCATATAAGAAAAAGGAGAACCAGATTGGACTGACATACTTTGGAAGAAAAATATAAGAATGCCAAACACTTAAGTTCTATAAGTGATGAACCAAAGCATATCGAAATAATGAGTTCAATTAGAAATAAAGAAGTATATACTCCTAAAAGAGTTTGTACTTTGTACATTTCAGTAACTTATTTAATTCTTTTTGGTAGGGTTCATATGGTGCAGCTCCAACACCTGGATTCCTGCAGAATATGGAGTGTGCAAGCTAGAATAACATGGTTTGAGCCTTTGTTTCTAGTATAAAATATGAACAGGAGGGCTCAAGCAAACAACTGCATTCTACCCCAGCTACAGCCCTAAGAATTTTTATAGAGAGAGACACCAGCCCTACATGTTCTGCATGACTGTATTAAATCGTGTAAGGTTTTTATGCAGCCCTTGATGTTGCATTTGAGGCAAGTCAGATACTGCCCTAATTTGAGTGGTTAAGCCCTGACACTAAAACGTGCATATTAAAGACAGCTCACAATATTTTTCTCAGATGATAATAATTGCGCATAGCAATGACTATCTTTGGAAATGATAAGAAAACACCCAAATATGTTTGAGGAAAGTAAACTTTGGACTTATGTACTAAGCAATCACTCTTCACAACTTTGGATTTAAGTATAGCATGTAAAAACATTATGGATGAATGTTATCTAGTATCTTGCCTGGGAAACAATGAGAACTCTCCGGCCTTGGTTTCTGATCTCTTGGAGCATTTTATCAAGCAGCAGTAGCTTGCCACTTGCACACACTCCAATATCTAGAATATCAGTCAGAGAATGGCCCTTAGTAAGTGAGCTTTGCAGTGATTGATCAACCAGGTAAGGGTGGTCACAGCACTGTGCCAGAAGAAACAAGGATATATTGTGTCAGCAGCTATGTCAGAAGAAACTGTTGCATACAGATTCCATCATCTAGACTATCTAATTCCCTGCCATGAATTAAAACAATATATTGTGCTCAGAAAATTGAAGAGCAAACCTTCCGGAGGGATACAAGAATGTCACGAAGAGCACCAACACTATCAGTTCTTGAGTGTGATCGGAGTGCTGGGGAGTTTGAAAGTAAGGTATAACAGTACATTTCTAGCTGCACTCGTGAAAGACGAGCAGGAACCCAGTACTCCAAAAATTTTGAAGAATCTGCTTTCCGCTCAAATGCAACATGACGAGCAAATTTTTCTTTCAGCGTTGCTAAGATATCACCTGTATCAGTAAAATCACCATTTGAACTACTCGAAATGACACTTCCTTCAGGGTTGAGGAAAGACAGCAGGTTGATGTACTCAGGAATACTCTCCTGCAAAACAAAAGGAATTAACATTGCCTGTTTGTGGAAAAAGAGTGAAAATAATTCTACAGGTTACGGTTGCTAACAGCACCTTGAGTGGGAAACTCAAAAGAACCATCCTAAAATTGGTAGAAAGATGCTTAAGTTGTTCAAGGCATTTTGAAACTCTCAAGCTTTGACAATCGTCAACCATAACTGCCTCCCAAACAATTGATTCCATGGTCTGAATGTCCTGTATTACAGTGGAAAAAAGGAAAGAAATAGGATGTGAGTAATCTTGATAGCTGACTTTCATGATTGGATAATGCTGATGGAAATGAGAACAAGAGTAGTCATTGATGTGTTTTGATGCTGATGGAAATGAGAAACAAGTACCTCTAGGATGGCATCAGGATGGGACAAGAGAACTTGAAACGTCACCAAACCGTTCTCATAAAACTCCAAATCTTGAATCTGTTTGCGTACGTCTTTCTCCCCATTATACACAACAACATTGATCGATGGTGCCAAGCGATTGAACTTAGCTTCCCACAATGAGAGAGAAGCAGAAGTAGAGACAATGAGAAGTGGTTGGCAGACATCAGGCAATATGGACATAGAAAAAAGAATGGTTTTGATTACTCTCTCCTGTATAAAGTCAATAGATAAGTTACATAGTTAAACCTTCAGATGTGGAACATAACTGGAAAGAATCCACAATAAAATGTCAAGGGCACTACAGCATTTAGCCATGCAGTCCACTATATACTTATAACTAAGAAGTAAGAACTGACAAAAGTGGGTGGGTGAAAAAAAAGGAAGCCAACCCAAGTTGGAGTAAACGCTATATCAGTTCTTGTGCATAGCAGCTAAAACATTCAGAGAGTACTACCTGATCATCGAGACAAATAGCACCATCAGAATTGTGCCAGAACTCGCGGAGCCGGTTAAGTGAACTCAAATGATCTTTGTCTAAACCAGGGGGGAACCCATCCGGTAGCTTCTGAAGTTTCTGAAACAGACATTGCTTACCCTGTAAACACCAAAGACACTATAAACTGTTAATATTTAAGAAAAAACACCCCCATTGAGTTATTTAAAGAGAAACCTGCATAATCATAGAAAGATATACCAGTCTAAGACATGTTTCAAATATAGTCATATAGGAAAGAGTGTATCTCCCTGCGGGTTCCCACATTTCAAACAGTCCTAATGAATATATGGATTTAAACATAGGGCCTGTTTGGTAGAGCTCCAATTCCTAAATTTAGCTCTAGGAGTTGGGTCTGGAGTGGAGTTGTGGAGCTGCCTAAACCCAGCTCCACCTCTCTAGTTCATTTTGTGAGAGACTCCACCCAGCTCTACTCCCATTTTAGGTGGAGCTGAAACTGTTTGGCTGAGCTCCAACTCCATGAGAGGTGGAGTTGGAGCTGGAGCTATGCCAAACAGGCCCATAATGAACTAACTTGGAAAGCATGAAACAAACTAAGAAAATGCCAGTAACCGAATGATACCAGTGAAGTTACATGAGCAAAATGTTATTCCCTCCATCCAAAAATATAGGGCATCCTTATTTTTAGGAAAATCAACATCTGAAAATTTTGACTAATAATTGAACTAACAAAACACATGTTTAATTTCATGCATATTGAATGTGATATCATTCGAATAGCATTTGAAATTGCTTTCACATAATGTTAATTTCATAGTTGTTGATATATTATAAAAGAAATTAATGGTCAAAGTATAATGTTGGAGACAATGTAAAAAGCTACTAGGCCTTATATTTTTGGTTGGAGGGAGTAAGTACAAAAAAGTTGTCCGACCAAATTTTAGCAATTCAAAATGATTCTAGGAGACTATGGGTTTATATAAGGTAAATGACACGAAGAATCTAACAAGAACTCAGTCAGAAATACACCTGCTGTTTCATGTAGAATAAGAATTAAATCACTGAAGAATTAGAAGTGCAAAATGTAGCATGAAAGGAGAAAGACAAGGTTAACAAACAGCACAGAAGATCATTGGTATAGATTCAAAGTTGATTGAGAACCAATTATAAAGCTTCAATTTCTGATAATCAACCGGCCATAACTGGTCGAATTTGTACAATAAAATGACATGAAGATAAGACATGACTATGAAAAGAAGTCAATAGTTTATTAAAAATTTACAAACATCATTATTTTTATGAGGTGGACAACCACAAAAATGCATGCATGCAGCAGATCAGCATGTACAGGTGATATGTGTGATCCTTATCCAATTAAGCAATGGTGAATCAGTTAATGTGGATAACTGTTCTCAGAGGTATACCTTATTTATTTTTGCAGGATCAAAACCTCTTCTTGCATCTTCATGGCGGCTCTCATAGTTCCTTTTCAGATCCTTAGCCTCAGGGGTACATAAAAATGATGAAGTCTCAAGCTCCCATGTTGCATACTCATAGCCCAGATCTTTCCATTTCACTAACCATTCGACATTACAGTAAGCAAATTTATCACCAAGTGAATTAAAAAATTCTTCAGCTTCCTTTTCAGACATAAGAGGTCTTTTCTTCAATAGCCGGTGTGGCTCAGCCCATTCCTGCTTCCACCTTATTGTCTAAGAAACCACATTTGAAAAGGACAAACATCAGTAGGCTTGCAGAACCTAATAGTCTCTTCTAATATGACAAAACAAAAAATTCACAGAGACCACCTTTTCTTTTTGAATCCTCTTACAAAATTTGTTGATTAGATCTTGACCTCCTGGGGTGCGAATTATATCGCTTTCTGGAAGCCATTGATTATGTACATGAGCTAAATTTTTGTACTTCACAAAATACTGCTTGTTGTTCTGCACTCCTAGGGTGACAAAGTAATAGAACTAATAAATGAATGGTTACACTTCAAGATATCTATCTATATGTTTTGTCGCTTTATTTAGTACTTACCTTCCTTAACATCCCACAAAGATTCAATGCCCTCACTGACTGCAAATAAACCAAACTGGAGCCTCTTTTTAGTACATAAGGTGCACAACCAGATACCTAGCGACACATATTGCAGGGGAGGATCCAGACAAGAATCATGGTACCGATTTTTGCAATCTTTTCCATCACAAGACCTGTTACCAGATTGAAAAAAGAAACGATGATTTAAAATTATTGAGATCCTTACAAATTAAGTATATGCCGAAAACACAATCTAACAAAGCCAACTATTATATCCACAGCATGAATGTGAAAAAAATAAAGAGAAGAAGATATGAAGGATAAAGGGCACACTATTCACTCAAGTCCAACGGACTATCTTCGTACCCTCTCTCCTCTCATGCTCCACTGCCACCTTCTCGTACCCTACCACCTACTACTCCCATGATCCCATCACACTGCCGGTGTGCCCCATTCTGTCATACAAATTCTTCTTGAATGACCTCTCCCACAGCCTTTCATGGTGGCATCTCCTGAGCTGCCTCATTTTAAACCTACAAAAGAGGCAGAAGTAGCCCCTACCAACCAACCAACGAGGGAGGCTACATGGCCTGGATCAACCTCCACAGTCGCAGATAGTCCCAAATCCCTCCATCCTCACGAAGGGCAGGTGGTCACAGTGCCCTCCATACATTTGGCAGTTTGAGAGTGTTTTGTCACTGGTATTAACTCACTGTACAGAATGCCAGCTGTCAATGGGAGTAACAATCACCACATATTTTCTACACTGGGGCATGAACAGTTTAACATGTGGAAAGCCAATACAGGATCCACAGCAAGAATGGACAGGATCTGCAGAAGTAACAGAAAGGAACAGCACCGCAAGGAGCAGCAAGAATGAAGTAAATTGACTTACTTGAGAATTCCTGGGGTTTCCCTACTTCTGCAAACAGCACACAGGTACTCGTTGTAATCTGTTCCATCAGAATGGGTTACTAAAGCCTGATTTGAAGTAGAAGCCCCTTTGATCTCTCTGGGATCACCTGCTTCAATTGTCTTCTTGGCCTAGAGAAGCATCAAAAGAACATTAACTAAAAATGTTGGTCCTGTTCCACCAAAACGAAGACAGAAGAAATACAATGCTAGTGACAGAAAAAGATGCTGAAAGACTTGTTTTAGTATCACCTCTTCATGATGAACAATGGAGCAAGGCCTATTTGGCAAATCTGTTACAAAACATGGGCTGCAAAATGAAAGGGTGATGCTCAGCGTCATCATGGTAAGTGGTAACAACTCTATAGGAAAATCAGCATTCACACAGTGATAAGTGGATTACTTTGAACATCCCACGGTTTGCTCTTTGACTTCCATCCCATGGCTGCTTTCAGAAGCATTATCGTTTGAACACAGATCAACAGGAATAAGTGGCTGTAGAAAAATACATGTTACGCTTTTAATTCCCTTGTACACATGGAACTTGAAAGATCATTAATGACTAGGATGGGGGCAATCAAGAATTTGTCACTCCAACAAAATGGCGGATAAGGCAAATCCTAGAGTGCACCACAATGGAGTTGCAAATCTTATATCTCTCAAAACAAACGGAACTAACATAACACAATATTCAAAGAACCAGGGTGCTGCTAAGAGCCATGAAACATAGTAATTAAAGGGACTGAGGTGGTAAACAGAAAAGAGCATGTGTAGTAAGTATCCTCATCTGGCAGATACTGTGTTTGGTCATATTATTATAAACCAAAGTAGCTCCCTCCAGAGGTCGTATAAGATTTTGCAGGTATAAACAAACAGAACACGTAATACTGAAATAAGCAGATATCTAGTTATGATGTTACTCAGGGGTTTAAGGCCTAGGAAGGATGAGACCTCAGAAGTGGAAGCATGTTCATCAGCTTTGTTCTTGGAGACATCAGTCTCCTCCAGTACCACCTCAGGAACTTTGTGCAAGCCAGACTGGTAACCTTGCTCTTGTGTGTCAGCTTCTTCATGCTCCAGAAGAGTGCCACTGTCTTGCATAGGCACCGTGGAAGCATTGTCGTCATCCACTTGGACTAGGAGAGGAGGGGCTACATTGCCAAAGTTAGAATACAGCCGGGAATTTCCTCCTCGATAAATAAAGAAGAGAAAGAGATGAAATACATACCAGGGGCAGGAGGGGATTTGGCGGTTTGTTGGGGTGTGGAGAAGAGTGCTAAATAGGACTTTGCGTTTAGCTTTTTGTTCTTCTTGATTGGCCTGGTGGAGGTATCTGCGGCAGCATTATTCATCTTCCGTTTTGCGGTGTTGTTGTTGGCACTTTGCTTGGCGGGGGAGCCTTCGTGCTTGTTTGCGGAAGACGAAGAAGAAGAAGAAAATCTGGATGTGGTTTCTCGGGTGGACCTCCTGAGGGTTGGGGTTGGGGTTGGTGATGCATGACCACGAGCGGAGGAGCTTCTAGTCTCCCTGGCGGTGGAGGTCGGCGAGGGCGAGCTGGCCTTCTTCCTTGGCATCGATCACCTAGCTGCCCTGCCCCTGCCGACGCCAATGTCAATTGAGGCCAGGGTTGAAAACACAAACAAACAAACAAACAAACTAGGGCTTACCAGGTAGAGGACGGACGGAGAGGAGATCGATCAGTGGCGGCGCCCAGATGTTCCCGCGAGTCCACTCCAGTGGCCAGTGGGCAGTGCTCTCTGGTCGGGCCGGCCGGAGCGGAGGGGATGCGGCGCCGGCAGTCGCGGGGGTTTATGCGGGGCGGATTGGTCGGACGGAGCCGGAGGGGGAGACGACGACGGGAGAGTTCCTCTCTAGTTTTGTTTCTTGTTCGGTTCGGTGGGTCGCCCTCTTTTTTTCTTTTTCTTTTTTTTCCCTCAACTCTATTTTCTTTACTTTTATTGAGATCCGTAAGGGAGATATTTAACTATTTCATACACTATTATAAGTGGCAATTATAAATTTATCGCTGGACCCACTTATCATAGATACATTACATCTTGTGTATTGGGGGTTGCTAGTGGACGCGTACGCGCTACCGGCACATATTTTTTTTGGACTATAGATAGTTAGATTAGAGATGCGCTTCTAGCGCAGTTGGTACAAGCGTTCAGTGTGAACGTTGCAGCCAAGGTTCAATTCCTGAACTACTCACCTTCCACCTGGATTAAATGACACCTGAATTAAATGAAGGGTTGGAAATATGTGGCTCCTCCTATCTTAATTCCATTGGATGGCTAGCTCCTTCTAGCCATCCCAACTTTTTTAGGTAGTTAGATTAGACTAATCTATTAGTCTTATCTTAGACATAATAACAGTAGTAGCTAAGATTTTTTTTTCCACTAGATTTTTTTAACTAAGAAATTGAAATATATATATATATATATATATATATATATATATGAAGTCAAATTTTCAAAATTTAAATTCAAATTTGAAAACTTTCAACTTTTCATCTCAAATTTCAAAAACTTTCAACACATATTTGAAAACTTTCAACTCGAGACTTGAAAATATTCAAATCCAAATTAAAAAATTTTCAAGTCATGATTTAAAAACTTTTAACACAAAATATTTGAAAACACGTGTGCCGAAAATTAAAAAAATAATCAGAAAAAGAGCAAAAATAAAAGAAAAAAATCGTGAAAAAAAAGGAAAAACGCATGAAAAAAATCACTAAAAAAATAGACACGTGGCGGGTGGAGGGCATGCGCGCGCCAATTAGCAATCTCGTTATATATCATAGACACATGAGAAGCCACATGACATAACTGCGAGTGGCAAATAGTTAAATGCCTCCTAAAAAAGGTTCGGTGGCTAGTGTAGTACTCAGTAGTATAGTTGCAATTTGATTATCCGAATCCAATATATGTGGTTAAGTTGTAACCTGATTATTCGTTTTATATTATAACATGTTTTGATTTAATATAATTAATCTTTCAAACTTTAATTAAATTTATAAAATCTAACCATGAAACAAACAAAGTATAAAAACATATCCGATATTAGATTTAGTGAACTAATTTGATGTTTACGTATTGCTATGTCAATTTTTTATAAACATATTTAAATCTAAGGATGTTTGATTTTTGAAAAAAAAATGTCAAATGGAGGGAGATCCCAAAAGAAAAGCATTAAAATTCCTTGTACTACTATGGTTGCATTGATTAAAAGTAGCAAAGGAAAGACATCTCTAAAAAAATCTGGGAATGCGACAGGAGATCGACAATGCTAAAATGAAAAGTAAATAAAAATGGTTGGGGTGTGGTACAAGATATGTTTTTTCTAGCTTGGCTGGAATGTGGTTTGATTTTTTCTATCATACTATTTATATTAGTGGAGAGATGTGTCTACTAGTGTTGAAAAAAAAACTGACTCTTTATGAGCTACTCAACGGAGAGTAAATGATGAGGACATCCCTTTCAACGAAACAATCATGTCTACTGCACAGCAAGGACGAATGGCTAGAGCTCAATCTTAAGAAATTAACTATCAAGTAAAGTTGTTCCTAACTATTCATATAAGTTCTTTAAATTGGATGCTACTAACTAGTTGTTATGGTCTACTTGTTCTTACGAATATGGGAGAGCAACCAGATTCACGAACAAGACTAGGAGCATTAGGGGCATGGTTGTATGAAGTCAAGGAATATGAGGTCATGGCTCTTCACTCCAGAGGACAATGGGGGCAAATGAGTACTTGTTAAATGATCTTGTCGTATACTTTCATATATGTATTGTCTCACCATCATATTCACCCGAAGCTGCTCAGAATAACCAAAATAGTGTTCGCACCAGAAACTTGGGTTTCTGGCTTATATTCAATAGAGCCATTAGAGGTCCATAAAGACTAGGGTTTTCTCCCACCTTCTCTCCTTATCATTCCTCCACCTATATAAACCCTTTGCAGCCACCATTGCAACTTGGGTTTTGTTTAGATGCAAGTTTAGTTTCAACTATTTCATTGTACTCGCATATCAACTAGACCGCCCAGATACTTACCCTAGCTTTGTGTATCAGTTTCATTTGGCAAGTGTTGTGAACTGTTTACCTGCCAACATGTTCTTACTTGTTCTTCGATTGCTTCAGGTTCAAGGTTGTTCCTGGCACGGCATTAGTTGCTAAGTCGCAGCACCCCCATGGTATTTGTAGTCGAACCGTCAATGTCGACTTCTCACCCCAAATCGAAGTTATACTACTCTCATTGAAAGATCATGAAGTCCCATTGCTGCATCAATAGAATTCCCTCAAGTATTTGAACTCTGGGAAATACATCATCGCACAAATCTCGATGATTTATTTCCATCTTTACTTTCTTGACGCATTGCTAGTTGCAACGCTTATAGTTAGTTGATGTATATGCGTTGTTGTTTGAGTGGTCGATATAGCTATATTAGAGTGCGATTTAGTGTGTAAAAGTCAATAGCTATATCAGAGTGTTTGACCCAATATTGGAATGTCCGACAACTTATGCTTTACGTTTTTTTTTGCTTTTAGTTTGAAAAGGAGCCTATCCAACACGGCTCTAGCGGAAGGCAACTATGTTATGGTTAATCCGCTTGGGTGGGAGGAGGGGTATCTGAGCGACATTGGTGACAATGCGCATGTAGGCGCACACGATTTGTAGCGACAACATTGGAATTTTAGGGCTTCAGGGGACTCGCGATGGTACAAGTGGAATCTAGGGTAAAAACCGGTTTCTTTAAGAGCCTAATAGGTGCCAAATAACACATAGCTGATAGTGATGACAAAGAGCGGGACAAAAATATCTGTACGATGATATTTTCGACATCTTGACTTGAATTTATAGCATCGACACTCATAGATAAGAAAGTTAGAAATTTTTCTTATCATGTTTATCACAACTAGCTAGAGTAGATCACCACCTCCTATCATTCATTTTCATCGGCCATATACCCTTGGAGTATGGGTCTTGAAGATACATAGAATTGTGGGGTTGGGATTGCATAGTACTCCCTCTGTTTTAATAATATAATCATTTCTAAAGTTTTTCATGAGTTATCATTAATTAAAATGAGAAAGCATGTGAAGAGATTAGACAAGAGGTGATTTTTGATTGATAAGGTAAGGGAGTAAATGATAAAGTAGTTATATTTTAATATATAATTTAAACTTTGGAAATGTTTTTTTTATTTTGAAACGAGGGAGTAGTACTCAACTAAGTGCGGGTTTCTAAAGATGAAATATCTATTTTTTTCACTTGGGAAATAAATTGGACTATTTCGAGCGGAGATCAGAGAAGGGCGGGCTTAAAATGAATCGTGTAGTACCCTGCCCAAACCTCCATCCACGTGGAACATAAACAGAGAGGATCAAACGATTCATGGCATGGCATGTATGCTACTCTAAATTCACTCACTCCAATAGGACAACCAACACAAACACATCCTACGTGTCAAAGAAAAAAGAAACACAAACGTATACTATACATCGCACTAGTATTTCATCGATGACTCTCCTCTTGTGCTAGTAATAAACCGGTCTGTTATTATTACTTTTAATAATCCATTCAAGTTTCCTCATGATATGGATTGATCAGCAGCAACCTAGCTGCAGCCTCTGCTCTTGGCCGTTGAGATTCATAAATAATACTACTGTCTTCGCTGCTTCCGTCTTCCCCTCCTCCATCGGTCTAAACTTGTGAATGTAGTCAGTCAGTAAATTAGTGAGAGCCATCCATGAGTATCTGCAGCTTAATTGCTTGCCTGGCCTCCACTCCATCATCCCAAGGAACGGGATTAGTTGAGGTCACAGCTCCAGCACCACAACTGCAGATGAACCAAAATCATCGTTACTTTTGCTTCGATCCTTCTTCACATATGTATATTGTGTGTATATATGGTACACTAGTAGAAGAAAGATGCTATGATAGGAGTATATACATACAGTCTGAATCGGTGGTGATCCACTGCGCCATCCGCTGCTCGCCATCATCAGGGACAGTGGACCAAGGCCGCAGCTGCTGCTGGCTCGACGGCGCCTTCGCCGGCGCGGACACGGCTGACAGCGGGGAATACATAGCCGACGATGATGCAGACGAGCAGCTACCCGCGTCCCACTTGAAACTCAGCTTGCTCGTGCTGTCGTTGCCTGCTTTGCTGTTGCTGCTATCCCTCGCCTGGAAGCTCATAACCTTCTGCCATCCATGCAACACATACTTATCATCTTCCTTCTTCTTCTTTACAAGTAGGAAGATTTAAGAAGGAATTAAAAAAGGTGAATGAATTTACCTTCCACCTGCTGGCGCCAGTGGCCTGAGGGTGAGGGTGAGGGGACCTGGGCTGAGCAGCCCGCCTGAGGAGCTCCTTCACCCGAGCGACAGCTTTCTTGCCATGCACCATCGTCTTCCTCGCGCCATCCACCATGCCGCCGCTCTCCCTCCACATCGGCAGCACCTTGCAGCCCATGACAACAGCGCCGCCGCCAGCCTCGCCAATGTGACCCATGACCTCCCTTAGCTCCCCAAGATAGCTACTGATCGAGTAGCTTCTTTGGCTGCTGCTGACAAATACCTGATGGCTCTGGCTCGCGGCTCACCCCTGCAGCAGATCGATGCAAATTAATCACATCACCTTCCTTTATACTGGAGTACCTCCATGTATACTACTCCTGCTCCATAAGCAACAAGCTACAACTCAACTAATTAAGCGCCATGCACATGCATGCGTCTTGGCCACTGATTCTCCAACCGGGCTCCCACCTTAATCTGTATTTTGTTAACAAGTTAATGCAAGTTGACACCCCCCCTAGCAACAGATTGTGGATTATTGGAGTATCCATAGTCTATCATAATATAGAGTAGTTTTGTTTTACCAAATGCACCAAGCCAACAGGGGACATCACATGTGAACATATATAGAATAATATCACAATACATGTTTTGCTAGCTAGCTGCTTGTAACAAGAATCTTGATTAGGTACACGCACTAGCTAGTAGTTGTGGTCAAAGGACAAAGTTGAACACAACTGAATCTGCAGGCTGCCCGGTGTTTAGATCTTCCTCAACCCAACTTGCTTATATGTTTTAAGTACAAGGATTAGATCGTAGCTGTGTCATCACACCACAAGTAGTATTGATTATTACTCCAACAAGAGGGCTGTGACAATCTGACAGATGAGTTAAGAAAGATTAAGCAAGCAAATGATATGCGCATGCCCTCGTTGCTTAGGTTGGCCATGTGGTTGCGGCTGCATGTTTGTGCACTACTACTGACATGACATACCGTGGTGAGGAGAGAGCTGGAGCTATTTGTTAATAGGAGGCAATGGGACCTGATGAACTTTTTCTATGCATCACGATTCAAAAGTTGAGAGGACACAGGCAGTTCATTTTTACTAGTGCCATTAACCAGACGTCATGCCATAGCAAGCCCAGCTCATTATACTGTGTAGTGTGCTGTTACATTTATCTGCTACTACTATATTGTGCCCCCTTCCATTTTAGACTGTAAATGGGTTCGGCTAGAACTGACAGGAATTACAGAGCAACCAGCACGACAACAATTGTCCCCACATGGGTGGAATGCATGAAGCCCAACACTCTACTCTGTCCCAGCCACTCAGCTCTTTGTGCCACAAGATAAACGACCAGATCCTCTCATGTTCTCAAAAGAGATTAAATAAGAATAGTAAGACTGCATTGATAGAGTCCGAGAAAAGACCAGATCATGCGAATGAATAGCATTTCTCGACACCTAGTTATGGTCTCAACGTGCTGTGTATTCTCACATACCACAAGTGCAGTGATGATATATAATTATATGTCCTCCTCATGGAGGCATATGTATCTTTCCTTTTACTGTCTCTTTATTCCTATGACTTCTTTTCCCTGCATCCTAGTAAGAGTGTAAACGGTCATACTAACATACCAATAACGTGTTTTTTTGTAATTAATCCGCAAAGCACTATCTCTTGAAATTAGCTACAACTAAATTATGCACCATGCTGATCCACGTGCTGCACCCGGGCAACAATTTTCAGCAATTTCTTGTCTTCTTTGTTTCTTTGTCAGTATTTATTTTGCACCAAAAATTTATATTTTTTAGAAGTGGTTTGGAAATTGGAATCATAGACAACTGGGCCACTTCTTGTTGCCCCAACATAGCAGTTTTAGTATGTTACAACTTACATGTGCCCAAGCATGTTATGAATCTTTTGGTTGCAAAACAGATTTAGTTACATGGCAATGACACCATTCATTTTGTTTGATTTCATTAAATAATAATCACAAGTTAAGGATGTCATTAGCAAAAGGCTTAAGAAACACAAAGTGAAGTAGATGCAATGGTAATCTTCTATGTCTTAGGTTTTCATCAAGTGAAGAAATGTTGCTTTTGGTAAATAAAAAGGAAAAAGAAATGCTGCTCATTGCTTAAATCAGACAATTTGATAATAGACACATTTTGTGGGTTCAAGAAACCAATATACTAACATGCAGTACTAATCTGTGAAAAAAAACAACTAAATGTGGTAACAATTTTCTGAAATCGAACTTACTTCAGAATGAAGCCACCAAATGCATTGCCCAAAGCACAGAGCTTCCCCAGGAAGAAGCAACTTTCAGTGTCCATTTCCCTTCAAAGAATCCTGCTCAACAAGCAGTCAAATGCCAACAAATGAAAATGCATGTGAATGCGTCAGATCTGAAACAATAATAGCCAGCAAACTGAAACACATGGATTTTTTTACCAGTTTTATCAAGTACATGGTAGCAAGTTACAATATAAATTATACAACACTTTATACGTTTACGGCATATTCCCTTTTAAAAAATCTGCCTACATATATATATCAAACTTCAACATAATTGAGAAACAATTTAGTGTTTATATGTCTATGTGTACAATGGGCTACAGCTATAAGACGACCACAAATCAGATTTAAACAAATGAATGTTGTCTGCTTCATGCCTCATTTGCTTGGTGCATGAGTTCGAGGATGCTAGAAGCTTTCCTCTTTGCACGATCTGTTCCAGTTTCTGACAGCTCCTTGAGTGCATCCTCCACTCCAGCTGCCTTTGCAGCCAATGTCTGCTCAGTATCAGCAGAACAGAGCAACCATAGAATGGCTGCAGCGTTCTCCCTATTGCGAGGAGACCCTGTTTTGATAACCTCAACAAGTGGAGGAATTGGTTCTGACCGCGCAATTACAATCTTGCCTTCTGGGTTGCCTGCAAGAATTGACAGAAGACTAAGTGCCTCGTCAATCATTCCCCCTGTAGGATCCACCAAGAAGTTCATCAGATGGATGACGATTCCAGCTTTCACTGCCCGGACCTTGTTTCCCTGATATATGCACAGGTTAAAAATTGCCGTCGCAGCATCTTTCTTGCCTCTTGGGCTCCCATCGCACAGAAGGTTGATGAGTGGAGGGATTGCACCAGCGGCGCCAATAGTTACCTTGTTCTCATCAACAACTGATAAGCTGAATAGTGTGGCTGCTGCATTCTCTCTGGTTTCCATGCTCCCAGTTTTCAGCACTTCCACTATCTTAGGGATAGCATGAGAGTCCACGATGCTTGCCTTGTTGTTCTCATGAATGGAGAGGTTCAGGAGTGCTGTCACTGCATGTTCCTGTGTTCGTGGATCTGAAGAGGAGAGCAGATTGACCAGCAAGGGGATGGCTCCTGCCTCAGCGATGCATATCCGGTTGTTGACATTTCTCTTGGCAAGCAGTCGTATCTCACCTGCAGCTGCCCGCTGCTCATCTTGGTTCCCACTCCTGAGCCTGTTCATCAGCGAGACTAGACCAGCATGGTCATAGTCGGAACTTTTTGCCGCCTTCTTATCACGGGAATTCTGTTTGTTCTTGGGAAGCTCAATACCATTAGCTTCGCACCATTGTGAGATGAGGCTTTTGAGGACAAAGTTTGGGGTGAGAGAAGTATGCGAGAGTGGCTGCTGCGTCTTAGGGCAGGTCTTGTGGCCAGAATCAAGCCACTTTTGGATGCAGGATCGCTCATATGTCTGAAAAAAAGAAGACACAATTGCTTTTTAAATTTTTTGGACTGAAAAAATGTATGTGGTGGAAAGAATATACTACAAGAAACATGTACCTGGCCGCTGGACACAATGACAGGGTCCTGCATGAGCTCGAGGGATATGGGGCACCTAAACTCGTCTGGGATGATAGGAGACCTATGCTTAATGGAGGCAGACCTAGTGGTGAGGGCATCGTTGGCATGATCTTCAGTGACGACGCAGTCTTTGAGCTTCTTGAGCAGGGAAGACATTTGGTCGACACAGCCATCAGGTTCTCCGGCAGTGGAAATGACCATGTTATGAAGGGCGATGGACTCGTTCTTCATGTCAGCCATGGTGTGCAGCTGCAGCTTGTGAGAGATCCTGGTGAGAAGGGCGGGGTCGGAAGGGTTGTCGGTAAGAGCCCAAGCAAGATCCATGGAAAGCTGTGTATCCGGGGGATCCGTCCTTGTGGAGGCTCGTTGGAACTGGGAGTGGACGAGCGCGACCTGATGAGGAGAAAACATACATTCAAACATTCCATTCCAAGTCCAAGTCCAGGAAGGAGTTGGGGGCTGCATAATATAGTGAGTACCTGCTCTTGGACCTCTTGGGGCATGTGGAAGGTGTTGTAGGGCAAGGCATCCAAGGCGAGGTGAATCTGCCTGTTGACGCCTGCAAATTCGTCCAGGAACGCATCCCCTCGCATGGCCTGCATCCATCCATCATATAGTATATAGTATATAGATTGATGGTTGAGAATTGAAATCAGCAGCAGGAAGAGCAGGAGGAGAATTGACAAGAGACCTGGTCGATCTTACTGCCGTCGCGGGTCTTGCGGAGGAGGTCTCGCGCGGCCCCGAGGGCGTCGGCGAGGGGAGTACTCGAGGAGGAGGAGGAGGAGGCGGGGAGGTGGTCGAGCAGCGGGGCGAGGAGGCGGACGCGGCGGGAGAGGTCGGCGCAGGGGCGGCGCAGGGGCCCACGCGGCTCCGGGAGCGCCGCGATCTCGTCGGCCACCCGCTTCGGCATCGCAACGCCGATTTCCCCTTTTTCCGATCTCGCCTCTCCTCACACTCAAGATCAACCTCAACCTCCTCTCCTCTCCTTGTGAACGCGGGCGGACAGCAAGCCAAGCCAACCCAAGACGACGACCGGTGGTCAGGTCAACCAAACCGAGTCTCAGCTGCTCGGTGGCCCTCTCCCACTCCCATTTCATTTTGCATCCAAGGATGGGAGCGTACCTTTCTACCTTTTCAATTCATACGTCCAAATTTATAGCTACATTTCCAAACAAATACAGTAATAAAATCTACTATTATCTCTTTACCAGAATATAAAAAGTTTTATTATTATTATTATTATGAATGTCTACATACATACACCCTCTGTCCCAAAATATAAACATTTTTAGAATAGTCTAAGTCAAACATTTTTAATTTTAACTATTAATAAAAAATAAAAAAGATCAATAATGTAAAATTAATGTTACTAGATTAATCATTAAACAAACTATCGTAGTATGTAACTATTTATATTTAAAACATATTACTATCTATTACTTTCATAGATATTGTTGCTCAAAGTAGTATCTTCGAGGCTATGTTGAAGTCAAAAAATACTTATATTTTGAGACGATGATAGTTTAAGTTAAAAGTGATCATAGTGATAATAATAAAATATAATAACACCTATACTGGACATGCCTGCAGTGCCAATAATCAGACACATCATCCATCAATTCATTACTTGCATCGTCTCCTTTGGCATTAACTTATATCCTCTTCACCTTACAAATCAAGCTCATCAAGTGATTGCAGATGACAACTGATCAAACACATAGTAGTACTAGGGATAGTCAATGGGCATAGACAGACAGCTACTCCTACAAATTAAGGTGGTGTTTAGATCCAGTGACTAAACTTTAGCCTCTATCATATCGAATGAATTTGGAGTATTCTATCATATCGGATGAATTTGGAGTATTAAACATAGACTACTTATAAAACTAATTATATAAATGAGTGCTAATTCGTGTGACAAATTTTTAAAGCCTAGTTAATCTATAATTAACGCATGTTTACTGTAGCATCACATAGCCTAATCATGTATTAATTAGGCTCAATAAATTCGTCTCGCGAATTAATTCAAGATTATGGATGAATTTTATTAATAGTCTACGTTTAATATTTATAGTCCAAATATCCGATGTGACAGTAACTTAAAACTTTTACTCACATATAAACAGGGTCTAACATCATCCATAGCAAAACTAGAGGTCGGAGGAAGGGAGGGACGATCACCTGTCAGTCTGTCCGTCCATTCTACAATCGATCTAGTACTAGTACACAGCAAAGCAACACATATGCATCACACCTGATCAGACTTCTCAAATCACTCCCTACCCAAACCCAGGCATACCTAGCTCCCCAAATTAAAAATCATAATCCGCTCTTTCCAACCTCCACAGCGTGTTCTTGCGTCGGTCTTAATACAGTAGTACATCGTTATGCTTCATCTCTCGGTTTCCGTCTTCTCAGAAATGTTCCGATTGGGCTCACTCATTGCAGCACCAGCACCATCACTCCCTCTTGATATAGCACCGTCATTACTTTCAGAAGTAGCTGCTGCTTCTGAAATATGACACAGCAGAATCAAGTTAATTAGCTTGACCAGAAATTCGTAAGCGATTACTTTCAGATACAACGTAAGTAAAAACGATACTACAAGGGAGTGTCCCCTGAAACAGGCTTACGATTTACACAAATTCAGAGCAAAAACAAGTGCAGTCACTAGGACCTTTAACAACTACCCCAGCAATCAACACATGCTCACATAAGCCACTGGCAGTGTTGCTTCCATTTTGTTCTAGGACTACTATATGCTTACAGGAGCATAGAGTCCTGAGAACTTGGCAAAGACAAACCAGAATTTTACACAGTTGGAAAATGTCATACAACATAAGACAATCTGCACAATTTATCTTATGAATACTGAACATGTGTACCTAATTGAAGAACTGGCACAAAGAAAATGTCACAACCTTTTTGCTGTGATGGAGGAGGTTCTTGAGTATTCCAAGCAGCAGCTGCAGATGCAGCTAGTTGTTCTTCAATTACTTTCATGAGTTCTTCGCTGGTGTAAGGTGCAGCCTCAGGCTTATCATCCGAGCCTTTTGTGTTTCAAGGAACAAAAAAACAAGGGAAGACAACATTACATTCACGGGTCTTAAGCTCAAATCACGGGAAAAAAATGTGTGCTTGCTCAAGACTAGGAAAATGTCAAGACCCTTGTTTGAATGCCACCTTAGTTTTTAACAGCGTTGAATGAGAAGCAGGATATGAGTCTAGGACTGAAGGAAATGTAAATAGATAAGTGGAGCTAACCAGCAACAACCCAGGGGTCCAAACACTGCAAATGTATCAAGGTGCAATTGTGATTTTTTACTGACATACATGAATTTCTAATGTGGATTTCAAGACGAGTGCTTTAAATTAATTGGGTATGACTTCCCCCTGAATAACTTCAGGAGCAGTTTATTTGGAGTACTAATGCTGAGGGTTTAGTGAAGAATTAGCTAGAATAGGAAGCCGGACAACAGCAAAAATATGATGTCTAGGCTTGCTGGGAAAGAGTTTACCTCTGCTAGTCCTTTGAGACCAAAGACTAACAGAGCAACCACTCCAATAACCAGAGCTTCGGGAGCTCCAACTCCAAATAAAGAAGCGTAAACACCAGTTCCACGACTTGTTCTTTTGCTCTCTACATTGAAGAAGTCAAAGAAACACAAACGCAGTGAGATGCCTAATTTGGCAAAGAATTATGGAACAGCACGATATGAATACAGGCATAGTAAATATAGTAAAGGGAATATCCTTCATCCAGCTATGTAAAGCAGGAAGGTAGATGGGCAGTTATATCGGCGAAGACAAATTAGATGGGTAAGAAATCCTGATCTCTTCCTTTCCTAGTCTTTAGCTTTCCTGTTTTTCATACAAAGATGGTAGTGTGTTGACGTCTAATTCCAGTCCAAGAGAAAATTTGTAGATGAGGTTAGTGAAATCGAACTGCCGAGACACGTAGGAATGGTAGTTATGGAAACGAAAGAAGAAGTGGGTAGAGTTGAATTGAGATGAAACTAAACAGTGTAGAATGGCGAGCAGCCAGGTGATGCGAGGGACATGATCCCAGGCATTTTGCCGAGCATATGGTGGGCATTTTGCCGAACAATGACAAAATGTTGAATGCCGCCCAATTTGTGCACTGTATAGAGCTTGTGACAAGAGTTGCTATTACGGGTATTTTCATCTAAGATATGATGAATACTTTTGACGGATAATAACACAAAGAAGGAGTGCAATTAAAAGGCAACTAGATACTATGAGTCGCAATGAATGAAGGGAAGAAATGAATCCAAACAATAAACTCAGGAAGGCTCGCTTAGTATCATACAATCAATCAATCAATGAATCGTTTGTTGGTTGTGGTGTAGTAGTAGGAGAGTGCCCGTACGACGGCGGCGGCGGAGATGGCGGCCGGAGACGAAGGATAGACCGACCGCGCAGTAGGGCTGGGCGAGGGTGAGCCTCCGCCTCCTCCACTGTGAGGAAAGGGAAGGGGAAGGAGGAGTGCACGTGGCGACGCACGGAGGAGGTCGGAGTAGCAGGCCGGCGATGGCCATCGCCGGCGGTGGGCTTGGAATTCGATTCGATTCGTAGGGTATATGCCGCTCACTCGCAATCGCAAGTCGCACCGCACCTCAACAACACAAGAGGGAGGTGAACGAGAAGGAGATATTGCGGGACCCACCATATAAATCAATAAAAATAAATATCCTTATGGTACTAGTTTATTTTCTACTTGGAAAAAGTACATCAAAGGGCCCACAACTTGTCATCGAATTACAAAATCGTCCCTCATCCGCAAAACCAGATATATAACATCCCTTAACTTACAAAACCGTTCGCTTTACATCCTTCAGTGATTTTGATCCGATTTTGTTCTACGTGGCGGGTGAGTCAGCGTAGAACCCACGTGGCCCCACATGTCAAGGACGCGTGGACCAGCCATGAACGAGCAGAACCTTTCAACGCGGCTGGTAAGTAATTTGCCAGCACGTTGTCATCTGCGCCAGTAGCGTAGAGAATTGTGGAGTAGACTTGCAGGAATTCCTCTAGGTCTGTACTTCCGTCATATTTCTCGATCGCTCCTGGTCGAAACTTTTCGGGCCATCGTACATCTCATAATGTGGGCGTGAACGCTCTGCACCCACCTCCTGGAGCGAAAGGTGGCCTGCGGTTGTGATGTCGTCGAGGAGGTCTGTCCGATGAAGAAGACGACGAAGATGAGGACGAGGGATCGCTCGGGTCGGGAGCTCGGCTTCTCGAACAGTGGTCGCGTCTTCAATCTCGACTAGATGCGGGAGATCGGGAATTGCGTTCCCGTCCATCGTCGTCGCCTTGCCACTGATGCTGTCGCCCTGAACTTGACCATTGGCTCCCTGATCTCGCTGATTGTTGTCACCATCGTCACGATGGTTGTTATCGTTGTTGTCTCGGCGGTCGCTACGGGCCTGCCGATCTCGATCTTTGTTAGGGCGGCCTCCTCGATCATTGTTCCCTCCTTGGCGTGAGGGGAGACGGTGGCAGTGTCAACGGTGAGCGGTGTTCTCTTCTCGTCGAGAGGGAGAACGACGCCGATGACGATCAGTGTCGTTCCGATCTCGTCTTTCCCTCCGCCAGTCGTCCAGATGTTCGCGAAGGTCGCGATTCTCACGACGCGGTGGAGTTGGATCTCGGGCTGCCCGTGGCGATTGAGCACGGGGAGGACGTTCTCCAATAGGGTTTTCCGCTTCTGCGTTCCCGTTAGCTGGTTCACCGTTTCCTCGTGGTGGATCTTGCGGTGGAGGCTCAGTCGCTGTGTCCGCGAACACGCTATTGAGATTGGTCACAGTCTCTCGTAATCACGTTGCCCGCTGATCAACGTCAGGGTTTAGGGCAAGGTCAAAGGGGCTTTATCTCAATATCGCATCGAGGTTCCACAGTTGTTGGGCAGGCGTTCTGGCTGCTGCGGACGCACTTGTCTCAGCGACATTGATCACGTTTACATCTCGTAATCTTCCAAAAGGTGTAGCACGAATGGCTCGTTAGGGTTGACACCGACAAAACCCACGAACCGATCTAAAGTCATTGCTACGTCTCGTTCCTCGGCAACGCACTGAGATTGAATTCGTGGTTGTTTGATGTGAGGACGTGGCGGCTTGAATGTCCTAAGGAAGATCTTGCAACTTGTGAGATCGTGAGATCTTGATTTATGGACCGGGCAATAGGTGAAGCCCGTTGGTGAAGTGCGTTGAATCCCACGCTCCCAGCAGGCGTAGAGTTCGGCCTTCACATGGAGTATCACCAGGCAATCTTCCAGAGTATGCTTGGATGTCTTATGGACGAGACACCAAGATCTCAGATTCTGGATAGGCATCCTTGTCGGCTCTGGGTTTCTGCGCGAAGGACATAACTCAGCCGCTTGAGGATTCCTTCCAGGTGTTGGGGCCGTTGATGTTCCGTTCTCCACTTGTGTGGGAGGAACTGTTGGCGGGACGTCGTTTCTCGAAGTCGTAGCCATGTTGTTCTCATTCCCGATAGTAACTGGGTCAGTCGAGATTGGTGTAACGGTGTAGACTGGAAGATAATAGATCCGACTTGAGTCCACACCAGCGATGTCGAGGTAGAAGCTCCTTGATTGATGCCGGTGTTGGTACTGTTGTCGAGATGGCTTGAAGTCATATTAGCGGAACCTTGAGCACCAAGTCCCACTACCCGGCGCGCCATTGTCGACGAGTGATACTCGTAGACCGGATGATTAGGGTATTGGGGTACGTTGGAACGAGGATCGACGAGATCGTAGTCGATGTATTCGACGAGATCTCCCGGTGACTTAGCTCCGTGTACTCCGGCTTCGTAAGCTATGGCGAGTGTGTTGGCGATGATATTTGATGCCTTGCACCCCTCCCCGGGGGTCCCTTTTATATCGTGCATCATCTTGATCTCCAAGACTCGGAGACATCGGATCTTGTACGATATAACAGAAACTCTATCCCCTCCGAGCAGGACTTTGGAAATCGCTAGACTCGTAGAGATATTTTCCATAATTTGTAACAGATTCCTACGGCGTACACAGGAACAATCCGCGTATGTGAAGGTATGCCATATCCGCATATTTCATAAGTCGTAGGATAGGAGGTATACCTTATCCATAATCATGACAAAACCCTAAACCCTAAATCCTGAACCCTGAACCCTAAACCCTAAACCCTAAAACCCTGATACCCTACACCCTAAGGCAACAATTAGGGTTTAGGGTTTAGGTTTTTGAATGAAAACCGTCATAAAATACACACTTGGCACTAGGAGGATGAAGATGCTCATTGGATGCTTGGAAGAACTTCATAAAATGGACACTTGCACTAGGAGGATGAAGATGCTCATTGGATGCTTGGAAGAAACTCTATCCTCCAAGGCACCTCCACCTATAAATACCCCTCTCATCATTCATTCTCACACAAGATGTAGAGCTAAATTACAAGAGGCTCTAAGTATACTTTAGGTTCTTATTTGTTCTATAATATACTTAGAATTAGGGAGAGGGGCAACAAAATAGTCATCCTACTTTAAATTAACACCACCTAAAGCATGCAGGGAAATGCCCTAATTTCAAAACTAAAGCATTTTGTATGTCTGGTTCTGCTGGTATACAAAAACAGTGTAAAACCCTACTACCCACCACCTAATATAATCTCCACTCAAAACATGCTTCTAAATGGCGTCAAATGGCTAACTGAAATGAGAAAGAATAATTCATCATAATGTTAGCAAAAACAAATTGTGAATTTGGCAAAACTTTGTGAAAATTTGACTATTTGAGTCTTATTATTTCGTGGCGGAGATGGATCCCTTGGTATGTCTTCCTGAAGGAGTGTATGTAAGAAGCTGCAGTAGTGTACGCCCCGTCACTAGCGACTAACATGCCAATAACTCTTGTTGCCTTTGAGTACTAGTGAGCCTGACATGCCCTTCATTGAGACCATTTTTAGATTAAGATTGGTGATATTAACGTCCTTGTGTAAACCAACGTAGTCTGTCTCACTTCACACAAAACAAACATATACAGAACATAAAGCCCGATAATTCAATCGAACGAAGAAAGCATAAATATTCTGAATTAATGTACCCGACCCCGATTACACTGTCTCTATTGAAGAATGATGGCTCAAAGTTCCCGACCCCGATTACACCGTCTCTATTGAAGAATGATGGTTCAAAGTTCCCGGAGTCTAGGAATCCTAAGCAGTGCAACGTACAGTTTATCGCCGGGCTGTTAGTTGTTGGACACCGTTCAGAAGCATACTCCGCACGTACAGTTTATCGCTGGGCTCCATATCCTGAACCACGTGGTCGATCGGCTGTGAGGACGATCGAGGCCCGTCATCGCTTCTGATCACAAAAATTTTGTGAAATATAGAAAATTATATGTTATGCTCAAAGTATATTTAATAATGAATCAAATGCTAGCAAAATAATTCATAATTACATTTTTTTTGAATAAGACAAAGGGCATCATGCATTGGCAAAAACTAAATAAAAGCAAATACATATAGCATGCATTGGTTGGTTTGTATCAAGTAAATACACAATTAAATGCTTCTTGGTCTTTCCATAAAAGATGAATGTGCCTTATATTTTGGAACGGAGGGAGTAGCATATATGTCTAGTCTAACACTAGACACTTTTGTTCATTTGAAACTAGCAAGTGTGCAATGCCATCGACAGTGAGGCATTGACTTAGTTCTTTTAAGATGCCGTTGCACTTATCATACTCCTAGGAAAGGAGGGGTTATGTCAGGCTCAACGACCTGCTCAATTAAATGACACAATGAGTACTTTTTAAGTAGTGTGGTGGCAGATCATACAAGATAGAGCCGTGGCCGGCAGCGCGCCGGCCAGCGGGTGTGTAGAAATTGAGAGGAGGTTAGTAGGTAAGACTGTCAATTACATAAATTACAGATGGTGACACAAATGTCTCACCTTTAAATACTAAATTAATTGCGAACATATCGCATAATGTGTTTAAATAAAAGGTCAATATGAGGCTGCCATACTAAGCTGCAAAATCTAGTCAGGCATTGTTAGAATTAATACGTGGGCTAAGGTCTATATGAAGATTATTTCTAGAGAATCACAAAAGCTTACCTCATGAGAAGCACACATGTTAACCTTCATATTACTAGTTCTAGGAGAGTACTCCCTAGCCACTTGAGTAAGAAAGAAGTAGAGGAACACACGTGTGGGCTCGCTCGCCTCACCTCGCCTGGGCACGGGCCGGGGGACGCGCGCACAAGACATGCGCGTGAATGGTCCGTCAAAATTGGTTCTCGTGCCTGCGCAGATGCGGATTTCTTTTACAATTTAGTTTTGCTGCACCCAAAAATATTTCTAGAGTTTGTTTCGGAAACATATCGTGCGTGAGATGGTGCGTAACCTATCCCGCAGCATGACAGCGCCGGCTCGTCGCCGTCGTCGTCCAGGCACAGCACTCCACGGCATATGGTCGGCTTCCGGAACTCCCTCTTCGGCATCCTCTCATCGTCACAAGTGAACGGTCACGACGGAGGAGAAGGGCCAGATACGTCTTTTTGGTTGCCAAATACATGTATAGCGATTAGAAAAGAGAAGAAATACATAGAATAGTATGCAAATCAAGTGTCACATGTTTGGAGACCTATTTTTACAAGTCGATGTTAGGAATGGCAAATCTACAAAACACAACGTTTGGAGTCCCAAATATACAATTTTTCTCCTACAACTTCATCGGCCACGACGCGGTGCTGGTGTCGGCGTAGCCCTCGTGTTATTCGGATCTCAGCTTCTGCAAATAGGGCACACTGTGTAAAACGGTTTACCTAGATATTCTCTTTTGCAGCAATCACAATGCAGATAAGATTGGATGGACACACTTGTTGTGTGACAGGATGCCCAAGGCTAAAAACCCTATGTCTGCATTTGTGCGTAGAGAGCTAAAAAGAAGGACGTGCACATACGTACGGATTCTAATTTTGGGATTGACCACTACATAAGCAAATAATGGTTCAACACTTCCTAACGAAATCGTGACCAAATGATGACAGACCACACTAGTGCAGGAAGCGACCGCCAGCACATAGAAGACGAACTCTCTGCACGAACGATGGTTGCTAAAGACGTCGTGGTCAGTGATGATGTAGGGAATCAAGATAGTGCATCAATGACTTGCTCCATGGTCATTGGATTGACACAAGCATTCATCTCCACATCGGTGATGCTGGATATATCCTAAAGAAAATGAGAAAGAATGATTCATCATAATAAATTGTGAATTTGGCAAAACGTTGTGAAAATTTGACTATTTGAGTCTTATTATTTCGTGGCGGAGATGGATCCCGTGGTATGTCTTAAGCACTGTATCGTACAAAGCTGCAGTAGTGTACGCCCCGTCACCAGCGACTAACATGCCAATAACCACCAGCGACTAACATGCCAATAACTAGGGATGAAAATGGAGCGTATATGGATGGATAATGCTCATACCATATTCGTTTTCATATTTTTTTTACCGGATACGAAAACGAATACGGATAGCTCGAATACGGAAACAAATTCGGATTATCTCGAATACGAATAATAATCGAATATGATCGGACACGAATACGGAAACAATTTTTTCTCGGAACACGAAAACCAACTCAACTTCTAATAGAAACAAATATCAACATATATAATTAGCTCATTTTATATAAAATGAGGTATAATTTATAAATATTTTTTAAAATTTAAATAATATTAATAGTATGGACTAGTGTTAAGAGATTAAACTACTATTAAAATCTATAAAGGTATATTGAAGGTTATAGAGTTAGAAAGAAATGGGGTATGTCTCATGGGTCCTGCGGATATCCGAATAGCACTGTTCGCCAGATATCCGAATTATTATCCGTATCCAACGGAAACCCTGATACCATATTCGTATTCGTATCCGTATCCGAACTATCCAACAATTATCCGATCTGAAAGGTATCCTTATCCGTTTTTGTTCGGAGCGGACGGAAACTATCCGCTCCGTTTTCATCCCTACCAATAACTCAATAACTCATGTTGCCTTAAGCACTGGCGAGCCTGACATGTCATTCATTGAAACCATTTCCAGATTAAGATTGGTGATCCTCGTGTAAACCAACATAGTCTGTCTCACTTAACACAAAACAAACATATAAAGAGCCTAGTAATTCGATCAAACTCGCATAAGACCAGATTGAAACAATAGTCAATACTTACACGACATTGCCCGGTGACAAATCAGGAATGCGCTTGCATACCATTTTGACAAGCGCATTCCTGATTTGTCACCAGGGAACAGTTCCCGACCCCGATTACACCGTCACCATTAATGCACCAGGAAACAGTTCCCCACCATTAATGCACCAGGGAACAGTTCCCCGACCCCGATTACACCGTCACCATTAATGCTGGTTCAAAGGTCTCGGAGTCCAGAAACCAATGCAACATCCGACGTGCTGGTGGACAACATATGCAGTTAGCTGTCGGACGCCGTTCAGAAGCATGCTCTGCACATACAGTTTATCGAACCCTAAACCCTAAACCCTAATATTAGGGTTAGGACCCCCGCATTTAAATTATGCATCAAACAGAAAATCCATAATATAAACAACACAACAAGGATTGCTCACCGAGCGAGGGAAGTTGCCTGCGTTGCGTGGTGGATCGAGGGGTTAGGCCGTTGCTCACCGAGCGAGGGAAGTTGCCTGCGTTGCGTGGTGGATCGAGGGGTTAGGCCGTTAGGGTTTTGGAAGAGGGGTGGAGTGGATCATTGGAGTTGGAGGGGAAGAAGGAAGACAAAAGCATATGTGTGTCCTGTCGTGTCATACTGTCGACTGTGGTGTGAAGAAGAAAAAGTAAGAAAGATGAGTCATACAGATTGGTACTAGGTAGACTGGGCTGCATTTGATGGGTGCTGCTAGGTGACCGCTTTGACGAAAACTCAAAAAAATTAGTTGTATATGTGAACTTATGTTTCTTATCACTGATCCCAAGTTTAACACTAGTCAAAATGAGCAATACACGCATTGTCTCTATTTCCTCAAATTTGTTTGTGTACAGGATAACTTCTCTATTTTCTCCTCCACATCTTTATCTAATCTAAGCCTATCTTGGGACTAGCGCTTAGAGCCTTCCTCCTTTTTATTTGTCACCGTTGACTCATACTATTGCAACTTTAACCACTAATAATTTTGAGTTGATTAGATTATGATAAATGAAAGTTTAGTACTTAATATGTAATACATTTTGATAATCTGACATCTATTTGAGCATTTAGAAAACTTTTGAAGAGAAGATGAATGATCCAGGTCTAAATATAAACCATGCTTGGTGCCAAATATAAAGGAACGGAAGAAGTATCATACTTGCTCTTAGAGTTTATCCTACTCCTTAATTGCCCTTTTCAATATTTTTATTTAATAATAAAGTGTGAAAATATATCTGCCATTGCGTTATTATGAGAAACTTTTGCAAGGACACCAGCCGCACAATTAGCGTGTGCCTCCCCGCTAGTTGTCAGTTGTCACTAACAAGAGAAACGACCACAGGTGATGAACATGAACATGTCTACACGGATCCGTCTCAGGTCAGGTGTCTCAAAAATGAGAAGTCCTCACTCGAAACAAAGGTAATACGGAGTATGTAGTTCCTCCTCTAACCCCTTTTTTTTGCATCTCCAGGGTAACCAACTGCGCGATTTGCATCATTGTTAATGGGATTGTGGCACAGGATCTCCATATTCCTCCTCTTTACAGGACCTCACATAATGGAGTTGCCGTCTTAGATGCAATATCTGTGTCAACAGACAAAATGTTATTCTAAACTAGTGCAACAAATGTTTTTGACATCTATAATTTGATGAAAAGAGAAGTGGATGAACAATTTATCTTCCTTCATGGAAATATGAATTTAACTCCGGCATGGTATGAATGCTCATCCACAAGGGAGAAAAAAAGGGAAACATGGACAAATCTGATTGGAAACAGCATTCTATTCGATACTTCCTTAACTGAAGTAAAAGAAAAAGGTTTCAATATCATCTCCAGAAAAATGTTTGTTTCAGTTTTGCATGTGAAGGTACAATTCACACATGTGCAATAAAATGCGGCGCCCAGATCATTTTGCTAGATGTTGGATTTATATGTTAACGTTATTCTATTCAAAAAGGTACTCAGAAGTAAAAACTTTAGTATCGCAGAGCCCCATGACCTCTTCAAGGAATACTCATAAACTTAACTTCATTAATGTATGTAAAGCATATGCTTCCTTTTCCTCCTTTTCTCTTTTATTATGCTCATCAGTGACTACTACTCTCGTCTCCCCTAAACATTGGGTTAACTATTCTGTCTTGTGGTGGAAGGTGGAAACGATAATTTCGTCTAGTCAAGTTCCTTTAAAGTAGGCCCTATACAACTGATCTTTTGGCACAAAACTAGACGTGATTTACATCTTATTTTATCTTGTGGTGGAAGGTGGAAACGATAATTTCGTCTGACAAGGTTCCTTTAAAGTAGATCTGTTTGGCACAAAACTAGGCATGATTTACATCCTATTTTATCTAGAAAACAAATCTTGCTAGGGAGTAGGGAGCAAGGGATGTTTGGATTAATACAACAAACCTCTCGTTTAAGATCATCATGAAGAATGTCTGTTGAAATAAGACTCTGGAATTCAGCTTTCAGCCTCTCGTCTTTAATGCCCACCCATGTGCTAGGATGTAAAGCCAGCAATAGAACAGTTAAAATATCTGTTCTAGATGGATATTTGACAACCTCGTTGCTTGAATTTGAATTGCACACGCTTGTTTCCAATGTGGATATCGGTAGAAGCATATCAACACTTTGTTCATTGACTCCTGAAACCGCTGTGCCTGTAACGACAGTCTTAGGCCCATCACCATCCACTTGTACACATTTGAAGCAAGTTTCTCTGCAGCAGAACCCATCTTTTGATGAAAGATTCCCTGTTAGCAATGCGGCCCCTTGACAGCACACAGAGGCTGCAATCCGGGTAAAGGAATCATCATCACTTGAATATGAGCAACTACAACATGGCTGCTTAGTGAATTGCAGTTCACGGACTAATCTAAAAAGCTCAGTATCACGGACTTGCTGTAGTATCATTTCCTGCAAGTGCACACAGTGTAAGGTGTGTTAAAAGAGACAAAAAGAAAATTCTGATCCAGAATCCCAGATTGAAAAGAAAAGGTTGAAGATGACCTTCAAAATAAGCCTTTCTTCCTCCTCTTTGCTTAATCCTGATCCTCCTTCCTCTTGTCTCCTAACTTCAATAACCCATTTGATCAAATTTCCAGCATTGGCAGGAAGGGATTTCACTAAGCGGGACAGAAGTGCTGGAACATTGTCTACACTCTCATCCTTAAGAAGATCGGGTACATCTTCCATGCAATACTTCGCCATGCTTTTCCAGCTTTCATCTCTGCAACTCTGCACAAAAGCTAAAGGAATGATATAAAGGAAATTATATCAATGTACCCACTTGAATTCGATATACCAAGCATTGGCATGTTTACCACTGTGTAGAGCAATGAAGGAGCTGCAGTGTGCCTTGAGATAAGCATGAACCTTCAAATATCAAGATGGCAGTATCTTAAACTGGCATGAATAAAAAGGCAAAGACAAGTACAGATAGTTTGGCAATTGAGTGTAAAACTGAAATGATACTCAATTTTGTATCTATAGGAAATAACGCAAATGTAATTTCTCCCCTATAATGTTTTGCAGCAAAGGTAAATATCATGGTATCCACATCTCTACTATTATAAAAATTGAAGATGTTTTTGCCGGTATTTTGGTACGCCATCCGTGTTTGAGTCGGTTTTAAGTTCGTTTGCTTTTGGAATACATATCCGTGTTTGAGTCGGATTTTAAGTTCGTTTGCTTTCGAAAATACGAAAAGAGTCGTATAAGAAATTTTGTAAAAAAAAACTTGCATACTAACTTGAGATAAATATCGGACTCCCACAGTGAATTTCACCCTAGCTAAACCGTATAATAATAATAAGATTGAAATAGCATCCACCCGTTGCAACGCACGGGCATCTTTTCTAGTAATCATAATTTACCAACCATTGGATCACTGTGATGTAAACAACCATTTGATGTATGGGGATGAAACAAATGAACAAAAAAATATGCTGCACAAAGGAAGAACCGCGGAGACAGTTCACAGTTGTTGTCTCCTCATAAACAGGTATGGAGTTGACAGTATGGAGGTTGGATGCGGAAGAAATGGTGTTAGATGTGAGTCATGTGACCAAGCTAAATTGCCAAGTTCGGAAGTTCCTGATCCCAATAACAATAAAGCCATAAAGTCAAGTTTTTATTGCTGTCTGGATCTCCCAAAATGCCAACATGCACTTGAGTCTGAATAACTGGATAGATACGGAGGAGGAAACTGGAGCAAGCAAAACTTCCTAACATTGTTTCTCCAACCCTCTAACTCTGTCTACCAATGAATGGCATATGCTCTTTCATCTGGTGAGTCCAGTGAATCACAACAATCCTGTTTTTCCTTGCATATTGCTTTTCTTCGCACTTTTCAATTCTCATTTTCCTATTATTTCCTTCAATTCTGTACTGTTTTTTTACAGATATGTTGTTTTAGTTGTGTTCATGAAATGTATTTGGTCAGGACATTCTGAAAGTAATAGCAAAACAAAGGAGAGATGAGCTACTGAAGTGGAAATGCAATAGATCAGGTATAAAATATTTGCTGATGAAATGAGTCAATGCTTGCTGCCCACGAGATGTTAAAGGTATTATGTTGTTTTTCTTTTAGATGGGTTTTAATATGTAGTTTGTAGTTTACTTTATTTCACAGCATATAAATCCTTTAGTTTGGCAAGAAAAACTAACTTAAAGTCCTTATATTATTACTGTGATGGATCTAAATGATATCTACAGCTATAAATAATATAAATATCTTAATCAGAATACACTTATGCTATCAGCAATAAATAAACAATATCAGATATCAATGTGATTGTCGATGTTTTTTTACACAGTATGAGTTCAGCAAAGAAACATGTATCTGCCCTTTTGATTTTCTTAGGAACATTTCACAGGAACTAAAAGTTGCTCTTTTAAGTAAACTTATAAGATAAGATCAAATAACAGCATTTGCATATTTTTGTACCATGCTTACTTTTATATGCTGACTATTTTAAAATTGTATATTATTCTTTTGACTAGCTTAATACCTGTGTGTTGCAACTTGCAACGGTTTCAAATAATTACATCATACGTTCTAAACTTATAATTTCAAATAATTACAGTGAAAATTAATTTGTGTTTACAAGGCAACTTTGCCAAGCCTACCTCTCCACATCATCATTCAAGCAGCAAGTGGGCTAGCTGTATCATTTAGCTGCTTATAGTTTTTTTTTTTAAGGGAAAACACTGTACAAAGTTTTAAACACAATATACAGTAACTGCAGAGCACCCGAAAAAAAGGGATTTCCAGGTGGCGGCAATAGGAAGGTTGATCTGTCTAAGCCGCTGAGTCCAGAGCCCTGCATCCTCTATGCAGGCACGAAGTAGACGATGAACTGAGGGAGGCAGGTAGTTGAAGATGATTTCATTCCTGTGAAGCCAAAATCTCCAGAAGCAGAGTAACAGGAAGGTGCCTTGGAGACGGTTTGGGAGTTATCCGGAGGGGGTGACCTGATGTATACGGATGCAATTGATGTGCGGTTTGGAGAGACTTGTATCAGATTCCAGAAGGCCGAAGCAAAGGGGCAGTGGATGAAAATATGGTCTGCGTCTTCGAGTGGATGGGTGCAGATTGAAGTGAGTACTTTAGTGTGCATGTCTATATCAGTGCAGTCACTGTGCAGTACAAGAATTCCATGTATCCCAATAAATAAGGAAAAGGTACATATTTGGACCCTCAATTCTTAATGTGGTTTAATTTCCACTCCTCAAATCCAGCACCAGATAAAACTCATCCCTCAACTATCAAAACCATGCAAATGATGTCCCTGGTAGGTATATTGGTGGTTTTGTCATATGTGGCATCCTACTGGACTGCGTACATGGAAAATAAGTCAGCAAAAAATAAGGAACATGATGGGGCCATTCGGATTATCCATGTATGCATATGATTTTCATCTCTTTTCTTAATATTTGTTTTTCTATTATAACGGAAGAGGCATGACTAACATGAGTGTCTAATTGATAGGCAGATATCATGGCAAAAAAAGTGATGATGTGGGAAGCCACCTCACTAAAAAAACACTTGCAAAACAAGCATAGGGACAGTATTTGCATCGTTTTGATATGATGGACAAGTAATATCAGGTATTAGAGTCGAGACGCAAAGGCAAATCACACGACAAGTTGAGAAACCAAATAGACTTTTCCGTCATATAACAACAGCAAATTTGTTATTCTTCCCACAGGCCACAGCTTCTAAAGTATATTCTACTTAACCCTCCTATAGCAATTATATTATTCCACGCAGTTTTATTAGAAAAGCACTGTCATCTCCACAGCAACACGTGGAAGATACACCTAGTGTGATGTTTAAGTTCAATGCTACAAGTTGCTATTTTCCACAATACCAAATGCAAGTGATGTAACATGTATATTCATCTAAACCTAAGCGCTAAACCACCCAAAAAAAGGACACCCCATCAGATTTAAGCAATCTCTGCCAATTAGAAAGAAAAACTGGGCAATCAAACTGAAGAGATCATAACTAATGCTCCCTGCAATTAGATGGCTGCCCAAAAAAGGAAGTAACAGGCCCTACAACTACTTGCGAACCACAACAATTACTGCAGCAAAGAAAACATAAATGTACCATCAGTAAGGAGGCTTTCTTAAAGAAATGGGAGTTTAATTGCACAAAGGATTGAATAAGATATAACAGTGCCCCAGTTGCTTCATCAAGAGTAATCGTTGCTAACAAACCAAAGGCCCTGTTTGGGGCAGCTCAAAGAATCTCCAGCTCCCAACAGTGCAGATTCTCATCAGAGAATCAGTAGCTCCATTATTCAGAAATTGAACTACTTACTCTATTTCACATTATAAGACGTACAGGGTTTTGAATAGGTTCATGCCTGAATCTATATATGTGCTTCATATATGTGTCTAAATTCAAATGAATGTTAGTGAATCTAGACGAGAGATGCCAAAACGTCTTATAATATGGAACGGAGGGAGTAGTAGGTAGAAGCTGAGAATTCTCAAGCTACTACCTCTGTTCCTAAAAGGATGACGACCTCAAAATCTTAAATTATTACTAAAAACAGTAATAGGACTTTATATGCGAAGCTGATATTGGTAGATTAATCATGAAAAAAATGATATGGTTATAATTTTTAAAAGATGTATAGTTAAAAACAGTAATGGCGTGAGACATGTGCAATTTGAGAAGGGAGGCAGTACATTCTAGTATGAAAGATAGGAGAGGAGGAAGATGGGTAGAGAAGAGACCCCCTGAGTAGACCAGTTGCGTCATCAGTTGTATTCATGGCTTCCCAAAGCAGTGGGAGTGGAACCCAGTGAGGAGGGTATTTGAAGCGGGCGACATCCAGGATAAGCGCCATGTCTTGGCCGGCATGGTAGCCGCCGATTGGAGAGAAATGGCCGGTTCCAGTCTGAAATGCAATGCAATGATAAATTGGTTGGTTATTAAGACCTTGAAATGAAGAAGAGAAGGATTAACAAAAACAACCTGTTTGAAAGGCTTCCTGTGGTAGGATGCGATGAGATGGCAGTCCTGGGAGGAGGCAGAGCGGACGAGATGGTGGCGGAAGTCGTGGATGGTGGACTGGTCGGCGCGGAAGGAGCGGACATTGGCACCGGCGCAGTGCGCGAGGCAGGCGAGTTTGGCGAAGGTGATGCCCTCCGCCTTCACCTTGTCGAGGGGCTCGCAGCAGTCAAGCATGGACTCGTCGAACCACCTCCAGGGGCCCTTCCATTGGCGGCCCGGGTCGATGGCGAGGGCGTTGAGGACGACGGAGAGGGAGGCGAGGCCGCAGAAGGCCGGCTCCGACTGCGTCTGGAACACGGAGATGAGGTTGAAGAAGCCTTGCAAGGTCCCGCTCTCCAGGGCCTCCGAGAACAGCCGCTTCCCCTCCTCCGACGCGAACTCCACAGCCGGCGGCGAAGGAAGGACACGCCGGTACAGGGATGCCATCGCTGCCATCGCCGCTCTCCTTCCTGCCGCCCGGCACAGATTCGGTCGTCGCCGGCGATCGGATGCGTGCTTCTCTCTCTTTTGGGGGGGCTCTCGGCTTTGGCTGAAGCTGATTGATAGATTTGACGCGTCTTGCTTTCCTCTTCTTGCACTCGACTGAAAGTAAAATCTTATTTCAAAATGTATTCTATCGTATCCTTACACATCACCGACGCTTTGGCCGAGTGGTTAAGGCGTGTGCCTGCTAAGTACATGGGGTTTCCCCGCGAGAGTTCGAATCTCTCAGGCGTCGATTATTTTTTTCCTTTGGTACATATATACAAATTTGACATAGAATCACTTTTTTCTTTTGCGGGGAAGAAAATTTATTGCTTATTGGAGAAGTTCTCACAGACTAGCTGTGATATCTGATTGCAATTTCCTTCCAACCAAAAACCAGTGCAAAACTCCACCCTAGCCTTGTTTGCTAAGAAATGACTAACGGCATTCTAACTACGGCTAACTTTCCTGATAACAACCTCCCTATCTCTCAGAAGAAGGTCCTTAGCCTCCTGAACAATGCAGATAGGAGTGAAAACGGAGCGGATTTGGACGGATAGCGGTCATAGCATATCCTAAACCATATTTTTTAAACGGATTCGGAGTGGGTGTGGATAGTGTACGGATGCGGAGCGGATTGTTTCGGATGTCGGAAATGGTGCGGAGTCGGTTCGGAAACGGAATAAATTTATCGGATGCTATGTGTGTATGCAATCAATACAACATCGAGTTAGCAATGCAAGGAACTATAATACAATAATCAATAAACGACCCATCGTAATAATTATAGGCTTAAGTGCTAAACAACATGAATACATAATGTCCATAATGTAAAAATACAGCTACGCAAGAGTGACATAAGACGGTGAAAGCCTCAGACTAAAAAATCTAGGTTCATTGATGAATTAGGCCATTGGATGAACCAACTTATGTTATATGCAATAGATAGAGTGGTTACATGTGTTGATAATTTCGGATTATCCGAAAAAATCCTATCGGATAATCCGCATCCGCATCCATATCCGCCGGATTTCTAAAAGCCCATACCATATCCTCATTTCGGACGGATTCGGGGCGGAGCGGATCGGATATTATCCGCTCCGTTTTCACCCCTAAATGCAGGCCAACTCTAAACGGTCCTTCTCTCTGCAGTACAGGTGTTGAACCACCGAGATACAGCCCGTTTCAACAAGAATCGGAAGAAGCGTCCTTTGAATCGCCGCAGTCAGCCCCATCACACATGCACGAAGTTCAGATTCTAGCGCCCCATTACAGCGCTCAAGTGGTTTGCATGACGCAAAAATTGTTTTCCCCGTGCTATCCCGGAGGATTGCACCGATACCACCCCCCCCCCCCCCCCAATGCTGCAATCAAAGGAACCATCGATGTTAAGTTTCATCCATCCCAGTACATGTCTTTCCCAACTTGGCTGAATAATCCTGAGAGCCGAGGTGACTACAGTACCCTTTGTAGCACTTGCAATACATTTTCCTTTTGACAGGTCTGCACCAGGATTTTGTCGGATCTGGAACAGTGCATCAACATAACTTACAATGAACCTCTTTGAGGGCCCCTTTGAATCAAAGGATTTTTATATGAATTTCATAGGATTCAAATCTTATAGGAAATCTTCCTATTTGGCCATTTGATTCAATGGATTGAAGCTTTCCAAATCCTACGAAATTCCTATGGAATGATACATTGCATGTGGATTTTGGAGGAAATTTAGTAAGAGCTTCAACCTCTTGGAAAATTTCCTTTGAGTCTATCTCTCTCATCAGATTCCTAGTTTTTCCTGCGCTCCAATCAAACGACCATTCCCTATGTTTTTCCTGTGTTTTGCAATCCTCTGTTTTACACTTCAATTCCTATCAGAATCCTGTGTTTTTCCTATCCCTCCATTTTTTCAACCCTGCGATTCAAAGGGGCCCTGAGACTTCTATTGGTGGGGCTGCTTTACCATGCATGATTTCATTTCGCACATGCCAATTCCTCCATAGAAACATTAGGACTGACATGCTCTCAATGCAGTTAAATAACCAGCTAGGACGTTTTTTTTACCTAGTATGTTGTAATTGTAATAATTTGGACCAAACCTTTTCACTTTGGTCCAAGTGTATTGTCACATCTTTTTACCTAGATGCAATTTGAACCAAACCTTTTCACTTTGGTCTAGTTTTATTTATAAATTGTTTTACATTGCACCTCCTCTCTTTAATTTTCTTCTCCAAGGATAAGGGTTGCTAAAAGCCAAGTAGATATGAGCAGGGTGGCCATGAGTAGGACCAAACAAGGTCGAGCCCCTGCCCATGATATTTTGTTCTACTCATTGACTCAAAATGAGATAGCTTACTTGTAGCTTAATTTTGAGTTGAATAAGAATTATTTGATGTGAGGTACGTAAAACAAAGCAGGTGCTAGTAACAAGTCAACAAAAACAAATGGATGGATCAGGATCGCAGGCTCGCAGGTGTACGTATCGACGATCGAGGATGCTCAGGAGTAGAAGGAAGGGAGCGGTTGGATGCGCGGCGTTGGGAGGAGGAGGAGCGGGTGCTTGCGGGCGGACACGAGCCCCGCCGCCTCCTCCATGTCAAGCGGCAGCGGCTGCGACGGCGGCGGCGCCCAGTCAAAGCACTGCACAAGCGCGGCCAGGAACGCCGGGACGGCCTGCATGGCGAGGCCCATACCGGGGCAGGCGCGGCGGCCGCTCCCGAAGGGCATGAGCTGCGGGTGCTGGCCCTTGGGGTCGACGGTGGCGCCGGCGCCGTCGGGAAGGAAGCGGTCGGGGCGGAAGTGGAGCGGTTGGTCCCAGTAGGTGGCGTCGCGGCCAATGGAGAAGATGTTGAAGAAGACCTGGGTGTCGGTGGGGATGGTGTAGCCGCGCACCTGGACGGGCTCCACAGTGACGCGCTGCGCAAACACCGCGGGGGGGCGGAGGCGCAACGTCTCCTTGAGCACCGCCTGCAGGTAGGGCAGCCTGGCCACGTCCTGCTCTCCCACCAGACGCGACCTGCCCACCACCGCGTCCAGCTCGCCCCGCAGCTTCGCCATGCACTCCGGGTGGTTAACCAGCTCCGCCAGCATCCACTCCACGGTGGTGGCCGTCGTGTCCGACCCGGCGGTGAAGATGTCCTGCATTATATATATATATATATAATTAACATTCTTTTCTACTGGAGCACTGGAGCTGGAGGAATATATACTATATATATATATATATATATATATAGGAGGAGTATTTGAAGATATATAGTGTACTGACGAGGACGAAGGCCTTGATGTTGTCCCTGGTGAGCTTGACCTCCGCGGTGTCGTCCTCCGCCGCGTCCATGAGCATGTCCAGCAGGTCCTTGCTGCTACTCTCCCGCCGGCCCAGCCTTAGGCTCCGCCTCCGCGCCTCCTCCTTGGCCTCGATGATGGTCTCCAGCAGCGCGTCGAACCTGGCGTGCACCTCGTTGGTCCTCCGCCCGATCCCCTGCAGGTCCCAGCCCCGGCACACCGCCACGAAGTCCTCCGCGTTGAACGCCCCCACCAGCTCCGCCACCTGCTTGGCGCAGTCCCTCGCCGCCTCCGCCATCTCGCCAGGCAGAGCGCTCGCCACCATCCTCATGATGCTGTTGTTCGCCATGCGGACCAGCTCGTGGCTCATGTCGACGCCCTCGCCCCTCTCCGCCGCCGACTGCGCCGCGCGCAGCACGTCCGCCAGCTCCGCGGCACGGACGGGGCGGAGCAGCTCCACGGTGCGCGGGCCCAGCAGCTCAGACATGCACAGCCGCTTCACGAACCGCCAGTAGGCCCCGTAGGGCGCGAACGCGAACCCGGCCTTGCCGTACGCCAGCTGTCGCGTCACCGCCGTGGGCGGCCGCTCTGGGATGCTGGCCTCGAACTTGAGGAAGTCGCGCGCCACGTCGGCCGAGCCGATCACGACGCAGTGCGTGGAGGGCCCGAGGCGGAGGTAGACGAGGGGCCCGTGGCGGGCGAGGATGCGGTCGAAGGCGCGGTGGGGTGGCGGCCGGATGAGGTGGAGGTGGCCGATGATGGGCAGCGCCATGGGACTCGGGGGCAGCCGACCGCGCTTGCTGCTTCTGCTTCCAGCTGACCTCATCACCGCCAACACCACGGTCACGAGCAAGGCAACAAGAACGGCAGCGCCGCCCCCACCGACGACGCCTTCCTCCATTTTTTTGGGGTCAGGCAGGCTGTTTCTGCTTTTTCGGTCGGTACTCCCTTAGCTAGCTCTCTCTCTCTTTATGTAGGAGTACTTCTTGTTATTAGCACCAGTACGTCTCCTCTCTCAATCTACACCGTTCATGTTACCTACCACTACTATTATATATATACTCCTGCACCCCAATTCAATCGCATTGTGTCAAATAATTAAAGAAAAAAAAAGAGATAAGATGGTCCCGTGCAATGGCATTACGTACTAGTACTACTACAGTCAATTAAGATGATGCATTAACGACGACATCGTCGTTGATTCAATACAGCAAGTACTTTTTGGGTAGGTACAATGTGCGGCCAGAATTCACACCCCCGGCCCCCCGTCACTTTCGCTACGTAGTGCCATAGTATAAGTCCAAATACTCCGTTCATCCTAAAATAGAAGTATTTTTAGACTTTGATATAGTTTTTAAAATGCTATTTTGATCAATAATATTCATAAAACTAAGATGTTTTAAATAAAAGAGTTGCATATTATGATAGTTTGGTTAATGATAAATCTAGCAACATCAATTTACATGTTTAATTTTTTTATTAATAGACTAAGTAAAAATGGTTGAGTTGAAAAGAGAAGATTGAAAAGATACGTAGAACAAGTTTAGAGAAATTGAGAAGAGGAAATAGAAATACAAACAAGTTTGTATCATCTCAAAATACAAACAAGTTTAGAATTCACTTCCGAAATCTGTGGAAGCCTGGATTGCATGCCTACTTTCAAGCCTTGGAGCTTACACCAATTATATGTAATTCAAAATTTTGAAAGAAGAAAAATGAAGATAAAAGGTAAAATTATTTACATGTAGTATGTCACGTGTGGGCTCTTCTTTACCAGTACATACCGAGCACTTGATAGTGTGTGTGTTTGGCTCGAGACTTGTGAGGCCTGTACCGACCGCACGATTGTGTAATTAATTGCCTGACAGGTGTCACAGAAAATGAACGTCCTCTGAGTCAGAAATGGATGCGTGTCTGCTTCTCCTTCATTGATACTACCATCAACATTTGTCACTATCTAATAGCATCTCCAACGGACTACCTAAAATAGACTCTTCAAATACCCATATAGCTAGTTAGCCAATTGATTTGGTCAGTCAAACTCATTGTGGACTCCAACAGCCTCTCCATCTAAAATCTCTATTCCGAACCTATAACATTGGGACCTATATGTCAGCCTCTATTATCACTCCTTAATCTTTTTTCCCCTCTTCCTCTAGATTTTCTCCCCCCTCCTCTTCCTCAACACTGACAAATGGAAACGACGATGGCTACCACAGTGGATGGGGATGGTGGCGACGGCGAATGGCAAGGCGGCGACGGCAAGGCGGCGGAGGCCGCACGAATCCACGCCGCGCCGCCCGAATCCATGTCGCCACTGGTGGGGACGGAGGCAACGGAGGTCGGCCGCCGCTGGATCCAGATGACAGCAACGGCAACCTCGGGGACGACTGGCGACGGTGCACACGACGACGACAGCGGCTGGCGACCTCGACAACGATGGTGGCGCTCTGGCGTAGGTTCAAGATGCTCGTCGTCGTGCTCTCCGCCGCCGGCTCCCCAACAACCCCGCCACGGCCCCCTCCTCGCCGGCGGCAGCGGCCCAGTGCCCGCGGTCGAGGAGCTTCGCCGTACCATCCTGGAGATGCAAGCGGCGCACAGAAGTTGTGGACTCCCGTTTTTATAACAGGAATCAATCGTGTAAACAGTACCATTTCCCTGGATCAAGTAGTCTGGTACACATGAGTTCTTAGCTGAAATACCAAATGCACATACACGAGAGTCTAGTGCGAATTATTACATCATAAGCCCGCAGGCATAGTCTTAGATCATCGGACCGAGCGGTCCGGAATACATTCCAAAAGCAGAAGTAGATAAGGCAGCGGCACGCCATTGCCACTTGCAACGACCGTAACTAAGACCTACTGAGCGCCATCGTCTTCATCACCCTCCTGGTAGTAAGCGTAGGGATCCTCCGAAGCTTCATCTCCGACCTCTGATTAAGTTTGTATATTGCAAGGGTGAGTACCAACCGTACTCAGCAAGCCACCACAGCAACAATGCACATGATAGAGAGTATTCAAGGTGTGGCTATGGTTCATTTGCGTAAAGCAAGTTTTGTAATTCTTTTCACAAGCCTAAAACCTAGCATAGACTGATCAAATTTTAGTACCAGTGTTCACATTAAACAACGGCGGTTCTGTCCAGCATCCAATGTGATCCCAAGGATGGCTTCCCGCCATTGAGTCGTCATGATTTTCTGAGGACGTCCACCTTCCCTCCTCTCAGGAAGTGGCTCCACCAGCATAAAAGTCATCATGCAATATCCCATCCCACACAAGTTAAGAGTTTAGAGTCTAGCCAAGTGTAATACACGTCCCGGTGCTCAATAACCGCGAGCACGGCTATTCGAATAGATTTGCTTTACTCACACTGCAGTGGATGTACACTTTACCCGCACTCCGCGACTACCCAACACATGAGCCTCGTCCCAACACATGAGACGCGTCACGACAAAGCTTTTTGATAACCTCGCATTGGCAGTACCCGCTCCATGAACTTAAATCCTCATGCACTCTAGGTGTCCATGTTTCTAGCAGTGAGAGGAGTTCTGGCGCTCCCGGGAAAGAGAAGTCTCACACACATATTAAATTATAGTTCAAGTTAAGTTCTCTCTCTCACACACTCATGGCAGTCCTACCAATGGCGACACTGATGTAGGGCACGCCTCTCGACCCTACCTCAACGGCTGTCCCACCGTAGCGCACCTGCCTCACTCAGGGGTGAACCATCTATGCAGGGATACTGCCTCCGCTCGGCTATCTACTCCGCTAGGTCTATACCCATACGAGAAGTGCGGTTGTACGGGGGTCGTTTCATTCTTAACTTCATGGCTCGGTCCTTAATTGACCGGGGACGGTACTAGCCTTTTTCAGATACCACCCAAATCCTCCGTCCGCCCCAGTCGAAAACAGTTGTTTAGTTTTATTTCTCCTTTCACAAATCATGTCATCAATATCATGGCAATGTGGCGCTCATGTCTCCACATGCCGCATCTCAATTACCTTCCCAAAGGTAATTTCCCAAGTATAAAGCATTTTGATAAATATGAGTATGCATGATTCTAGAATAGCATTTCTAAGCAATTGTCATAGTTGACTAGGGACTCATACGTAAACATGGTTACGAAGGAATAAGGGGTAAACAATAATCAAGGCATGGCATAATCACAAGTAGGATGTTTATCATTGCATGCAATTTTATTTGTAAACAAAACAATTTCGCAATTGGGATCAACATGTTCAAGGAATAGTGATGACTTGCCTCGCTCGTAGTCCTGCGGGTCTTGACCCTCGCTCGGATCCGCAACTCCCTCGGGCTCTAAAATTACGTGCGAAGAAATGATTTGAACTCAATTAGAATTCAAATAAAATCCAAATAAACTCAAATAAAAGTCGAGCGCGAATCGATCTTTCTATATTGACTACAAAGTTTGCAAAAACCACGCTATTCCAATTTTAAGGTCATTTAATCCTAAGTCATTTTGTGATTTAGAAGTGTCTCTATTAACATTCAACGAAGAATACAATTCTTAGTAACTAAATCCGATTATCTACCGCGAGTGAGTTACTTATAGAGATTACCAAAATAATCTATAATTATATTAAATTTTACAATTCTATGACTATAATCAACCTATAATTAAATTCTAATTATTTTAAATTTTCTAAGCTTCCTTAATCTCCCTCTAATTTCTATTTATTTTTCCTTTTCTTTTTCTCTCCTCTTTTCTTTCTTTTCCTTTTCTCCCTCCTTTTCTTTCTTTTCTTTTCCTCTTCTTTCTTTTCTCTCCTCTTTCTTTCTTTCCTTTTTCCTCCCTCCTTTTCTTTCTTTTCTCTTTCTTCTCCCTCCCGGCTTCTCCCTTCCTCTCTCTCTCGGCTCATGCTACCCGGGGCGGCGACGGCGGCGGACGAGGGGAGGGGCGGCGGCTTACCGACGGCGGCGGCGGCGACGGCGGCGCAAGGCGAGGCGACGCTCGGAGCGGCACACGGCGCGGCGCGGCGGCACGAGGGTGGCGGTGCAGTGGCACGAGAGCGGCGGCGCGGTGGAGAGGGAAGAGGGGAGGAGGAGGGAAATGGAGTGGGGGGAAATAGAGAGGGGGTGGGGTATTTATAGGGAAGAGGGAGAGAAGGAGAGGGGGAGGGGCGGCGGCTTAATGGCGACGCGACGGCGGCGCACGGGCGGCGACGCAACGGCAGCGTGGGGCTCGGGGCGGCGACGCGACGGGCGGCGACGCGACGGGCGGCGGGGCGGGGCTCAAGACGGGCGACGCGACGGGTGGCGTGGGGCTCGACGTGGCGACGACGACGGCGCGGGGCATCGGCGACGGTGACGGCGCGCGGCGATGGGACGGCGACGCGGCGGCGCGGGGCTCGAGACGGGCGACGGCGACGGCGCGCGGCGACGGGACGGGTGATGCGACGGCGGGACGGGCGACGCGACGGCGACGGCGGAGCGGGGCTCGAGACGACGGCGACGCGCGCGGCGCGGCAGCGGGAGCGGTGATGCGGCACGGCAGCGGCGGCACGGGACTCGAAGCGGCGACGGTGACGCTACGGTGACGGCGACAGTGATGGCGACGGCGCGCGGCACGGGGCGCGAGGCGGCGAGCGCGCGGCGCGAGGCGACGGGACGGCGACGCGGTGGCGCGGGGCTCGAGACGCGGGGCGACGGCGCGCGGCGGTAGGCGGCGATGGCGACGGCGACGCGCGACAGGCGGCAGCGGCTCGCGACGGGCGGGCGACGCGGCGCACGCGGCAGGGAGGGGCGGGGCTAGGGAACCTCGTCGAGCACCTAGAGTGCAATGAACAGTGCTAGCTCTATTTAACCCTAATTTAACCCATATTTTATTTTTATATATAACTTTCTTGAATTTAATTAGAGTTAATTCTTATTCCATCGCACTTGAATTTATTTGATACTAATATGGTCGCGATAATATTTTTATTTATTACCAACCTCACCTAATCTTTGTTTTAAATTATATTTTAATTATTTATTTTGCCAGTTTAATTTTTAGGGTTTATACCTAATTAATTATTCTTTATTCGCGATCAACAAACTCCGAAATCAAATCCAAATAAAATAGGCGAATAAAACCGTCATGATGCAATTCATTTAAAAAGTTTTTGAGGGTCCGTAATTTTAGAGTTCTGATTTTGTTGGTCGAATTTTCAGGGTGTTACAGAAGTTGGTGCTTGCGGCGGTGCACGGCGCCTGCATTGGCGGCGGCGGCGAGGTCTTGGCCGCCTGCGCCATCCGAGCCGAAGGAGGGGGGGATCTATGTGGGGCCCACGGTTGGCCAGTGATTTCTGGCTGGCCAAATTTGGCTAGTGGAGGAGGGGTTTTGGCCAGCAGGATGGCTTAGCTATCCAGTTGGAGAGGCTGTTGGAGCACCTTTTTAGGCTAAAATGGCTAAAATTTGGCTTGAAGAGTGGAATGGAGAGGCTGTTAAAGATGCTCTGAGGCTGTTGAAGATGCTCTAACTTACAGAAGTAGTACCTCCGTATTGAAATATAAGTAGTACAGTATATTTTAAGCTATAAATCTGAACATATAATTATCTAAATTCATAATATCTTCTCGTGATTTGTATTTATCTTAATGGTTACGAAAAAGGTTAAAAAAGAACCACATATTTTTTTCTTTCAAAATTTTGAAGTATATAAAATTTATGTTGGGCTTGTTTGGTTCTTTAACCTACCAATTTATTGGTAATGCCAAAGTCTAGGTAAACTTAGGCACTACCAAATTATTGGTAGAGTAAAATTATTTAGCAAACATTTGGATTGCTACCAATATAAAACCAAATTCTCATAGTACATTGAAGAAACTTATAAAATATAATAAATAGGAAAGATGCACTACCAAATATTTGGCCACGATCCAAACTAACACAAAAACTATTACATTTGCCAATAAATTGGTAGGGCATGTTTGTTTATCAAACCAAAACGGCCCATTATCTCAGAGGCTTGAAAGTATGCATGCAACCCACACCTTCTAGGCTTCCACATATTTTCGGAAGTGGATTCTAAACTCAAAAAATATATCTACTTATTATTTGCATGGAATTTAATTGATTGTAAAAAAAAATCAACATAATAGATTAATACTTTTAGAAACATAGTACAAACGCACAAACGACGTCTTGCTATCGACAGGTACATCGTCTACTACTGAAATAATAATTAGCCTAAACAATTAGTCTAGGACTTAGACTCGGGTGGGCTGGTTCCACCACAAGAACCTAACCAATTGAATTATACTCACTTTACAAATAGATCATTCCACAAACATAGAAGTTAAAAATCCAGTTACCACAAGTTATAAAAGAAAACACGTAACTAGTTAATGTATATTCGTAGTTAAAGTTATAAATGAAGAAGATGAAAATGTGACGGCAATGATATGTTTCTAATTTTGTAAAAATTTCAGTGACACAATTACGAATAAACAAATTATAATGATATTTATCTGAAATAACATACTTGTAATGGCATGAATAAATTAACCCTGCCCTTAAAACATTGGTTGTTAGGTATGGCAAGATAAAAGTGAAACACTTTTTTTGTTTTGAAAGAATATAAAGTGGTTCTCAAAAAAAAAGTGAAAGACAGAGAGGTCGGAGAAGGGAAAAGTGGCGATGAAACAAGGGAAAGTGGAGATGACGCCGGCGGTCGCCGCCGCGGCGGTTCTGCCGGTGGGGTTCCGTTTCCGGCCGACGGACGAGGAGCTGGTGAGGCACTATCTGAAGGGAAAGATCGCTGGGCGGAGCCACCCTGACCTCCTCCTCATCCCGGACGTGGACCTCTCCACCTGCGAGCCCTGGGATCTCCCGGCCATGTCCGTTATCAAGTCCGACGACCCCGAGTGGTTCTTCTTCGCCCCCCGCGACCGCAAGTATCCCGGCGGCCACCGCTCCAACCGCTCCACCGCCGCCGGCTACTGGAAGGCCACCGGCAAGGACCGCCTCATCCGCTCCCGCCCCGCCGGCCCCCTCATCGGCATCAAGAAGACCCTCGTCTTCCACCGCGGCAGAGCTCCGCGGGGCCTCCGCACCGCCTGGATCATGCACGAGTACCGCACCACTGAGCCTCACTTCCAATCAGGCAAAAACGTAAGCACGACCAAATATATACTGTCTACTCCATACTCTAAATATAAATAGCTGAGCAAATCAAATGTGTCTATTTGCTTTAATTTGTCAGGGTAGCTTCGTTCTGTATCGCCTGTTTAACAAGCACGAACAAGATGATACCCATACCCCGGCCTCCAATTTGGACCAACAATTGTCCACGTCTTCTCAAGGCAATCCCCAAAATGGCACACCTGCTGTCCAACCGGCCCTCGCCTCAATAATGAAGGATCATCAGACCTTACCATCATCTGGTTTCAGCCAACTGACTGAAATACAAGATGCTAGTACATCTGTCCATGACAAAGAGCAAACTGTAGCCCATGTGAGTTTCTTATTAATTCTCCTGCATTACTGGTCCCCATGGCATTTATATGATAATAAATTTCTTTTCTTTTTTTTCTTTTGTGTGTGTGTAAAACTTAGGACGATGCTTTTCTGGACGTGTTATCTCAACTTCCAGACCTAGAGCCTGAGCAAAGATACAATGGATTCCCTAATATCACCTCTCCAATTCGCCCTTACAGCGATCACCCTTTTGTCGGCAATCTGGGTGAGCAAGATCTTTCAGCGCATTTTGGCAGTACCTTGTCTGAGCAGGACCTGCAAAGTTTGTTGTTTAGTCCAAATTACACCAAAATGGATAAGCACCCCACTGGAAACGTAGAGTCTAATCCTACCGCGTCGTCCAACAATCCAAACAATAACACATTACTCATGGATAGTTGGAGGAAGAATGATTCATATCAGATGCTTCTAATTCAGGTTAGAATATTCTAGAATTTACTCTTACACATTTTGACTAATCTCATGAGAACATTTTCTTCCCTTCTATTTCCTGTTCTAAACAAAGCGTGCAGACAACACAGATGCTACTTGCTGTTCTTCTTCAATCAATGCACCACAAACAGAAACAAGTGATGCTAATCTTGAAGCAAGAGCCCAGAGTAGCAGCATGGTCTACAGTGGAGTAGCCGAGGGCTCCCCCTTGTGCAACCAAGATCAACTACACTCCGCATTCAATCCTCACATGGAGTCACAAAAGAGTGGAGCCTTCTGTTGGGCTGGATTGTGGACCCCTTATCCCCAGCATTGGTTCGATACTATCGTAGAACCGGGCAGGAGTGGCATGACATTTTCAGATGCCTTGAAAGAACAAGGTCAGGAACAGGCACCTTCAATGAAGCACTTGACAGCTCAAGATCTCGTTGATCCACAACAAGGAACTGCTGCAAGAAGGATCCGCCTTGTATGCTCTGTTGAGAGGGCATCAGTCTCTCAACCTGTATCCTCACATTTGCAGAGTGAATATGAAGCTGGATCATGCTGTAACACTCGCAATTCATCTAATAACAAGAAGGAAAGTGTCAGGAGTGAAGATGAAGCTGGATCATGTTGTAACACTGGAAGTTCATCTAATAACCACAGCGAGGAAAATGACGATGCAGCCTCCCAGATTATGGTACTACTACAGTTTATTGTAAGTCTATTTACTCATAGTAGTATAGTTTTGATTAAAATGGTCTTGATCAGGATGGAGAACCAATGCATATTCAGTGCAAAGAGGATACCCCTATTCAAGTGGATCATTCAGTGGAAGTTATGGACAAGCTCCAAGGCTTCTCCTTTCATGGTAAGCAATCTTTGTTAAATTCGTAATTAGAACTTGAGACATTGAAATTTATATCTTCCACCTGGCAAAAAGAAATTTATATCTTCCTACATATACCTCATGAAGGGTCCTGGACTTTTTCTTTCTTGCTAGTGTAAAGTGGTAGTCATCGTTAATAAATATTAGTGGTGTATTTACCAAGCTAGCAAGGGTATGACATGCATTCGCCCCTAGATCTCAAGTACAATTAGCTAATTTGAAAAAGGTCAATATTGGCTTGAGATGTCATTAATGCTAAGTGTAAGAACTTGAGTTTTCTATATATTGAAAAAATATATAGTACTCCCTCCGTTCCACATTATAGGATGTTTTGGCCTCTCCATCGCTCTTCTAGATTCACTACTATTCATATGAATTTGAACATATATATGTAACACATACATCGACCTATGCATGAACCTATTCAAAACCCAAAACGTCTTATAATGTGAAAGTATGGGATTTTGTCCACGAACAGTAGGTCTTCGTCTCTTATGCGGTATAGTTTAGAGGATGGGATCGTGTGGAACATTTGTGAAACAGACTACTGGAGCCAATGTTGTTTGCAGGGCTGTTGTGGCTGAGTTATTTTTTTCTCTCTGACGATGTAGCTGATCTCCTTCAATTTCCCACGTGCAGAAGAGATGTTGGTACATGCTAATCAGCCCCGTGGAACTAATCTAAAGCAGAGGCTGTTGAGAGTGGAGTCTAGAAATAGCAATGAGAATAATGTACCTTCGTTGGAGACACGAGAACAGCAGCATGCACCTCATATTCAGAAATGGACTAGCTCTGTTGTGCGACTAGGGTGGGGGTGGCAGTGGCCGGCTCTCTTTGTGATGGCCGGCTCTCTGCTTTTGTTGGTTGGTGTGTGGAAATCTCTGAATCACACTACCTGACTAATGTAAATAAATGGTCGCTTAGCTTAAGCTTGGGAGCCTCATATATACTACTACATATGTTCTTTGGAAAGTACTGCAGGTAACTGGTTCATATAAAGAAGTTGCAAGAGTTCATTAGCTAGCCATGATGTGCTTATTGCTAGTGTGGTTGTTGTTATATCACTAGTGCATCTATCTTTTCCTCCATTGTCTTTATCATGTCGATCCATCCATTCTCAAGAGCTCGCTCGCATGAATAAGGTTGCCAACCAAAGATGCTGCGTGCAACGGGGAACTGGAGAACTCTACTCTACTAGAAATAAGTTCACCTTAGGTTCTTAATTTTGACGTCAAGTTTGAATCACGTCCTTAAACTACATTATCAGATATAACGTATCCCCAATGAAAACAAGATCACGAAGCAGTTTTGGACCTAGTTCGCACTGATGTGACAACAGAAGAAAACATTAAAAAAAATAAAAAACATGTGGGATCCACATATCAGTTGAACATCTTCTTTCCTATCCCTGACGAAGGTGTAAACCGGCGGGTCATCGGTGCGTGCATCCTCGTTGTCCTAGCATAGCTTCATGAGCATGGAGGTGGGCATGTGCGGGGAGGAACAGGAAGAGCGTCGAGAGAGTGCATACGTCGTCGTCGAGCCAAGAGAGCGCGGCGACAACGAGCAGCGGGTTGTCAGTGCATACAATGAGGCATGGGACGTTGCAGGGGCAGACGGGCGGGCCGGTGGCGAGGCAGGAGTTGTGCGAGCGAAGGCGGGCGAGGTCTGCGGTGATATCTACGGTGGCAATGTTGTAGTTGTTGCTAGAGTCAGATGAGAGGAGGCAACGATGCAACTTAGAGACAGGGAGCTCGCCGTCGAGGCACACCAGTCTGCTCGTCATTGGCGCAAGATCACGAGCAGTCGTCGCCGTCGTCGCGCTGCTCACGTAACAAGATAATTGAGTCATTGAGGAGCATCGCTGGTGACCCAAGCCTGCAAAAGAGGGGAAGAAAGAGAGGCGCCACCGTCGCTTGAGGATAAGACCTAGGCTCGCCACCACTATCGTCGGCCATTGAGAAGCGGGGAGTCATCGCCATCGCGTCCATGGCTAACCGTCGTCGAACTCTTTGTTGGCCGCCCTTTCCTGTCGACCGCCACCGCGTAGCTCCTCCCCCGTTGCTCGTTGCCCTCAATTGGGAAGGAGAGGGGAGAAAGGGAGGGATGCACGCCGACCCGGAAGAGTCGAGGAGATAGAGATGAGAGAGGCTGAGGTGGAGGAAGTGGGTCCCACTGTTTTTTATCTTCTTATTTGGCTAACATATGTAGCTCACATATTTTTATTTTTTTTAATCTTGCTTCTAGTGCCATGTGGGACGAGGACTAGTCAAACTACCCATGTAAGCACCACTCAGCCAAAACCAATCATCCAAACCATAACCTCGTTTGCATTGGTTTAAAAAATGAGAAATGCTTTATATTTGGTATTGTGTTTAAGGATACGAGCCAAACTATGTAAATTGAAGTTATTTTTACTCGGAAAAAGTACACCAAAGGTCCCTCAACTTGTCATCGGGATACAAAAACATTCTCGAACAGCAAAACCAGATATATGGGGTCCCTTAACTATACAAAACCGGTCACCCGAGGTCATTTGGTGGTTTTAACCCCGGTTTTAGTCTACGTGGCGGCTGAGTCAGCGTGGGACCCATGTGGGCCCACATGTCATGATGCCACGTCAGCCGGCCTCTCCCTTCCTCTCCTTTCCTTCTTCTCCCTCTCACTCCTCTCTCTGGACTGGGCAGGCTGGCCGGCGATGCGGCGGCGGTGACGCGGCGGCAGAGACACGGGAGAAGGGGAGGGCGGCGGCAAGGCGAGGCGGCGTCGGCGGGCGAGTGCGGTGACAGAGAGGCGGCAGCATCGACGGCAGCTGCGACGCGGGAGGGGAGGCCGGCACCGACCCAGAATCGGAAGCTAAAGGCGACGGCGTGGGCGAGCGTGGAGGCAGAGGGGCTCTTCGCTGTTGGACACCGCACTGGAAGTTGTCATCACCGACCGGCGCCCACCCTGGAGGGCCTCACCACTAGAGACCGGTGCTCGAGCCCGTCGACCGGCGCTCGAGCCCGTCGACCGGCGCGCTGGCCATCCTCCGCGACTGCGAGCCTGATGGCTCGGGCTCCGCCCCGCTTCCTCCACGCGCCGGCCACCACCGCGCCGTGGGCGGCGGCCAACGTCGACCTCGCCACACATAGGTCCCTACAAGCCGGCGCACGAGGGGCTCGACGTGGTCCTCGCAACGTCCAAGGCCGCCTCCGGTGGTTCCCCAGCCATCCCGCCTCCGGCAACGGCGCCACAATTTCCGCCGCCGAGGGCTACGACGGCGAGGACCGCGTTAGCACGTTCCCCGACGACCTCCTCGTCGCCCGCATCCCCGTCAAGGACGGGACTCGCACCGCCGCACTCGCCTTCCGCTGGCGACGCGTCTGGAGCTCCACGCCGCTCATCCTCCGTGGCGAGCCCTTTGTGCGTCGGCGTGGAGGGCCATAAGGGCGGCGAGGTCGACGATGGCTGCCGTCCACGGCGCGGTGGTGGCCGGCTTGTGGAGGAAGCGAGGCGGCGGCGGCGCTGGTCGCCGATCTCCTCTCTGCCGGCGGGCTGTCGGTGTCGTAGCCGTTGGCCGTGCCCTCGTCGGTCACCCGGACCCCTTCCACGTCGTGCACCGGTTCGAGCTCGCCGAGTCCTCAACCATCTGCTCGCCTGCAAGCCTCGCCGCTCGCGCTCAATTGGCAGAGAGAGAGAGGAGGAACCGAGGAAGAGAAGAGGGGGGGGAGAGGCCGACTGACGTGGCATCCTGACATGTGGGGCCCACGTGGGTCCCACGCTGACTCAGCCGCCACGTAGACTAAAACCATAGTCAAAATCACCGAAGGACCTCGAGTGACTGGTTTTGTATAGTTAAGGGACCCATATATCTGGTTTTGCGGTTCGAGGACGTTTTCGTATCCCGATAACAAGTTGAGGGACCTTAGGTGTACTTTTTCCTTTTTTACTCTTCTAATAGGAAAGATGGGTGGATTTGAGCGAGAAGAAAAGGCCCACGTTTTCATTCCGGCCCAGAAAGCAGCTGCTGAGCTGGGTGGGCATCACGAATCGATGGGGGAAGCTAAGCTAGGGCAGTGTGGGGGTGGGCCCACCTAATCCGGGTGAGCCAATGGGCTGCGGCCACGAGGTCGATAAGATGGCGCGCGACGACGCTGGCCACCCAACCTCTCAATCCCAACCCGAGCTCAGATCATTGGATTGGTTTATAGCAACCACTACACCGGCGCCGCTGCTGCTGAACCATAGGAGTACTACGCAGACGCAGACGCAGACGCAGACCAAGAAGAAATACAATACACTAGCTACCATGGCCGCTCTTTCCTCTGCCGCCGTCACCATCCCTTCCATGGCCCCCTCCGCTCCCGGGCGGAGGAGGATGAGATCTTCGCTGGTCGTGCGCGCCTCGCTCGGCAAGGCAGCCGGCGCGGCCGCAGTGGCCGTGGCCGCCAGCGCCATGCTCGCGGGCGGCGCCATGGCGCAGGAGGTGCTTCTCGGCGCCAATGGCGGCGTGCTGGTGTTCGAGCCGAACGACTTCACCGTCAAGTCCGGCGAGACCATCACGTTCAAGAACAACGCCGGCTTCCCTCACAACGTGGTGTTCGACGAGGACGCGGTTCCGAGCGGCGTCGACGTGTCCAAGATATCGCAGGAGGAGTACCTCAACGCCCCCGGCGAGACCTTCTCCGTCACGCTCACCGTCCCCGGCACATACGGCTTCTACTGCGAGCCGCACGCCGGAGCTGGGATGGTCGGCAAGGTCACCGTCAACTAATTATTCTTTCTTCTCAATCTAAATATGCCTCCTACGGCTCTATCCTATATATATATATATCGATTTGTCCATCGCGAATATACTACGTACCGATGATCTGTTCCTCAGTTTTCTCTTGTGTGTATGCAAGTGTGTATCAATTATCAATAGCAATGAGACGAACAATTCAACGATATATTATCTATGTTGATGATTTGTGTCATATACATATCATATCTCGTCTTCCGGTTTCGCCCGGAATTCGATTGGTCCATGCGTGGAACATTATATTAAATTTGCGAGCCAACTATTGAATGAATGCGTGTCGTCCGTGCTTCTACTAGATCAAAGTATAGCAAGTACTCCCCCCGTTTCACAATGTAAGTCATTTTAGCATTTCCCACATTCATATTTTTTTATTCATATATTGATGTTGAATAAAAAAATAAAAAAATATAAATGTGGGAAATGCTAAAATGACTTACATTGTGAAACAGAGAAAGTATTTTACAAATAAGTCCAATTAATTATATTCCTATAAAAACAATCCAAACACAAGAACAATTAATGTTTGCAGGCAAAGGGCACAACCGCGTGCACAACAGCACAAGCACAGCACAGGCAGTTCCCGTACTATACTTAATACAAAATTTAAGTTGTAGTAAAAAGTTAGCGGCAAACCGGCAACAACCGCTTCCGTAGCATAGTGGTAGTGCGTTCGCTTCGTAAGCGAAAGGTCGCGAGTTCGATCCTCGCCGGGAGCTCCTATTTCTTTTTCGGTTCTCCAAATAAAACATCCTTTTTTTGTTTTGGGGGGGGGGGGGGGGGGTGTGATTGAGTACATGACCTTAAATCATAAATTGTATAGAAGCAAAACAAAAAATTATATAGAAACCAGAAACAAATGGAGGTGCCGGGAATCGAACCCCGTGCACCTCGCATGCGAAGCGAGCGCTCTACCATATGAGCTACACCCCGTCTTGTTAAAGAATGCTACTAATTATTCAAATTGTATTATGACTCGAGTTTATAGAATTAATTTTATTAAACCTAGCATTAAATATATATATATATATATATATATATATATATATATATATATATATATATATATATATATATATATGATAATATATTTATTTTGGTTGAAATATTAAACCCTATAAACTTGATTATGAAAAAAACAACGACTTATCTCTAGTATTATAAACATTGAAGATGTTTTTGCCGGTATTTTGGTACGTCATCCGTGTATGAGTTGGTTTTTAAGTTCGTTTGCTTTTGGAAATACATATCCGTTTTTGAGTCGGTTTTTAAGATTGTTCACTTTTGGTAATACAGAAGAAATCATATAAGAAATCTCTTTAAAAAAACTCGCATGCTAACTTAAGACGATTGGACTCCTAACTGCAGCTTATGATTTTCTAAAAATATATATATATCCAAGCGAACTCTCACAGTGAATTTCATCTTAACTAAATCATATAAGAATAATAAGATTAAAATAGACTTCGTCCGTTGCAACGCATGGGCATTTTTCTAGTAACAATAATAGGATTAAAATAGCTCTCATCGTTGCCAGGCATGGGCAGTTTTTTAAGTAATATGAAATATATAGAATACTTTTCTAAAGCTGCCCGTTAGGCCAGGAGCACGTGGCATCCCTAACTTCGCAAATAAATTCCGAATATCTACGGAGAAAAAAAAACTAAAGACAAAAACCAAGGAAGAGTTGTTCGGCCCCTTCCCTTCAAATATATATGACTGGAGACGGAGAAACATCGGACGCGAGGAGAAAGCGAGACTCGATCGGGTTTGATTTTTGTATAACTAGGTGATACCCCGCGCTTTGCTGCGGGATTCACGGATAAATATATGTTAAATATTGTAGAAATGATGATAGTTGAAATGTTGAGAAAATAATGTGAGGAAGATGATTTGACATATACTTGTTGATCTCTATAATATAATATTGTAGATGATGTATCATGCTTGCATGGGATTAAAATAGGCTAGAATAGTAATTGCTAGTGGGTGATGATGTGGCATGCTTGCATGTTAAGCTTTAGCTTCTAATAATTTAGTGGGTACCAACTATATAGAAAGTATAGATATACCCTTGTCGTTCTCTCTCTCGCACCATGGCGCTATTTATTTGTGCGCCCCAATGCTTGGGCCAGCCAGCCCCACAATCACTAGCTAGTACTCTCTCCGTCCAAAAAAAAACGAATCTAAAACTAGATGTGACACATTATAGTACAATGAATCTAGACAAAGGTATGTCCAGATTTATAGTACTAGATATGTCACATCCAGTATTAGATTAGTTTTTTATGGGATGAAAGGAGTAGCAACGTTAAAATTACATGTTCATAAAAGAAATTATAGCACATCGAAAAATTAGTTCAGCTAAAAAGATAATGACAGATCTTTTATAAATAAAATACGTTCTACCTCTTTTAAAATAAATTGCCTTTTTAGTTAAATCAAAGTAACTTACAAGTGAAACATAAATTCAAATCCATTATCATTCATCATCTAAATAATCCACTGTCATTTTTAATTTCTTTATACAAGTTCATATTTTGAAATTAAATACTAAACACATTATAATCCATTTAACATTGATTCATTCTTTAAAATTAGAAACATGTAAAAAGGTTCATTCAATTGTAAAGGCCCGTTAATTTTTGTAAAGTCCACATTGCATCAAACCAAGGCACTAAAACGAATGAGCAAATGAACGCTCGCTGCACTTGGACTTGGCCAAAGATCGACTTCTTTCTTGATTGATTCCAGCGCTCCATGCCAAACTAGCGCCAAGGACGAGAGAATGGTTTTCTGAGTATAACCAAATCAGCGTCCAAGGTCTTATCCCCATTACCCAAACCCCGAATCCAAGTTGTATGAGCCCTCCGACGGGAGCTTAGACCAAATTGAGAGAACTACCAGTACAAAAGTTGATGCGTCGAAGAGAGCACGTACGCGATCCGATCGCTATTAAAAAAGAGGACGCTCATCGTGCACTGGTTGTTTAGCTCGCCAACGCCAGCAATCAGAGGAAAGCTTTCAGATCTCCCAGATATGTATATATGACAAGTAACATATAGTACTTAAAATGTATAACATCCCCACCACCATCCTTTCTTTTTTTTCACCACCAGTCTATGTCCATGTCACCAAGAAAAGGGCCCCCATAGAAAATTCTCTACACCACCAGAGGACCCCAAAACCAGCAATAGTAAATCCATGCCACAATTAAGGAAGGGGGAAAAAATCCAACATTTCTTCTCGTCATTGATAGGTGAATAGAACGGAATAGGCTAGCTTCATTGCCGCGGCGCACCTCTTCTCCAAACAATGTCCCTCGCCCCTGCAAGCAAAACCATCAACACTGCATCAGGAAAGGGATTGGGGTGCTTAAGCTTACTATAATAGTTTTGCAAAACAAAATAGAAAAAATTTACTTATGCCCAATTTACAACAGGAGGGCAACTTATAGCAAGAAAGCTAAAATCAGAGGCACATTCATCTGTGTATACTGATGCACGTGCTCCCTCTCCCTGCATTGTTAGCCAGCCCTTGTACCAAAATTAATACTCCGTTTGAAAATATAGTGTTCTCGCGGAATAGATTCTAAGTTCTGCAAAGGAGACGCACAGAACTTTCATCAGGCCCAGCCGCCCAGACTCCTAAACTAGTCCACTTAGCATGTATTTTCCCATTTCTTGTGTCACAAAAATTAGCAGTCATTCACCATACTTCAAGAGGGTGCAAAACACATCAGACTAATTAGATCCCTCAACGATTAGGTTGTTTTGTATAATACATTAAATAATCAATAGAGTGGAAAAGGCAGCAGGCTATATGGGGCGGAAGTTTCAGTTTCTGAACTTGATATGAAAAATGAGCGTGGATAGCAGTAACAAATTGTCATCAGAGCGAGTGGTTCTGAAAAACATGGTTACCCACTAAAAATAATGCTTTAATTTGAGTATCTGATGCAGGGAAAATAAGATATCTTAACCCTGGGGTGAGATTGGGATTGGGAAATGAATAAAGGGTTAGGATTAAATGGAAGAGGGAGAATGAATGGTTAGGATTTAAAGATGTCTTTTAGTGGGTGGGAAATGATTTCCCTTTCCCATTAGCCAAACGGGGCCTGAATGCTTATCACAACCAAAGATAGGAAGCAACAGAAACTAGAATGACATTATGAAACGTATCCTGATAATAACAAAATGGTAAAGCTGGCTAATCAAATAAAGCTACAAAAACAAAGATCAAACTTTTTCAGACACTTACTTCTATCCACAGTAGATGTAGAGTGCATAAACCTAGCAACTTGGTTATTTGGTCAAACAAAGGATATTTTAGCACTTAACCATAAATAACAATAGCCAAAGCGCAAAGCCCATCCACACACTGATCATGCAATACAGCAAAGGTTGATGGTATATAATCAATAAATATTGACCTAATTCTTAATGTCTTAGAAAATCAGCGCACCTTTAGGCGTGCCGGTTATTTATAGCCCGTACATAATATAGAAAAAGTTTAATTTCCACAAGACCTTATAATGTATTTTAAATATTTTTGCAATGTTGAGATGGATCAAAGTAGCATAGTAATTTATATTTGTGAATAATTTTGTTGAGTTATGGATGTGTGTTTAACTTTGGCAAATGATTATATGCCATTAGGGAGAAACAAAGATATGTTTTCTCAAAACTGCAGCGAATTCATAAGACACAAAAATTTTGCAAATAAACCTTCCAAATTTGTAGTATTAGTGGAATATAAGTTCTGAAAAAGATTTCCGAGGCTTAAGAAGTTCGATCGAAGACATTTAATTTTTCTATTTTTTGTTTTTAGGCGTATTTTATAGACATACAGGATGTCTGTGTAGTTACCGTACTTGCTTCAATCTACAGCTTAACCTGTAGTATATCATACTCATAATTTCAGAAAACTATTTGTACCTCTTTATTTTATTTTTTCTACTTCTCTTTTCTTCTTTATCTGCCTACTCCTACCAAGCGGGCATGCCCACGAACCCACTTATAGTACAAATAAGCAGGTAATCCATAATACGCCGGATAACCCGCTTATTTATACTATAAGTGGGTTCGTGGGCCTGCCCGCTTGCACCCTTACTCCTACGTGTGTGACCACCATTCACCAGCCAGCAAGGCCCAAGCAATCTAAGGCCCAGCTAGATGCCAGCCTGTGTGTGAACCCGTATTGCTTCTTCCTTTTTCCCTTTTTCAGCAGCGTGACGTACGGATCTATCCAGACGGATCAAGACGTACAGATCTATCCAGACGGATCAAGAGCACGTATGTTCCTCCCACATCGAAAAAATTACTGCACCACGTGGTCCAATAAAAAGCTGGCAGAAGTATATCAAACTACTGTAGCCTACAGAGCACAAACTCCTTTCGAAATCATCGGTCAACAGTGCATTCCTTTTCAAGCTTGTCTAGCACAATACAGAATTTTAGTTTGACCAAACCAAGAAAGATAATATGAACCATCGGTCAACAATACATTCCTTTTCAAGCTTGTCTAGCACGATACAGAATTTAAGATTGACCAAACCAAGAAAGATAATATGAACCATTAGATCGGAATACATGAAAAGAACTCAGATTTCTTGATTAACCAGTTTAAGCACATACTACGTGTCTCATTACACACTACTGCCAATCAACTATTGATAGTTTAAACATGCAACCAATCATCTTGTGGCATACCAAATACATGTAAGCATTAACCACCAATTAAGTGTATGTTTGGCCAATCGACTGAAATAAATGAGGATACATGTGGGCCTTACTGAAGCATTTTCCTACCAGCCGACTCGCATAGCCACAGATTTATTCACAAGACTGACTCCCACCGCATGGCATGACGCATTCCCTAGGCGCAAGTTCCCAACTCTCAACCCACGGATGTTTAGCACATAAACGAAGAATGTTATAGATCGCGAAAACCTCTAATCTAAATCGAGCACACCAAACTGTCATTGAACAGATATCAGAAATGGATGACTTAAGGTTAAAAGAAGGGTCCCTTCTTTTTCAATCCATGTAGTAATATTAGAACACTAAAATGAATGGTTATATCTCGAAAACTAATATGGCTGTTGGTAGAGCATGTAAAAGTATCAACATTAGCGTAATCATCTTACAAAAAAAAATATAAAAGCTATAGAGTAACTTATACCTCCTCATCCCCTCTTTGTCCGATGCTCTTCAGTCAAGATCATCGTAGCCACGATGACCTCCAGTTGCATTGTTGTTGCCAGAACCGGAAGCATCAGTAGAACCACCAACAGGATCCTGATTGGTAGGATTGCTGCTCTCCGCCTGGCCGCCAAACGCAGCACGGAGAGGCCATGGCAGCGATATCCTGAACCTTCTCTCAGCCAGCCTAGGTGGTGGAGCTGGAGAGGGAGAGGCAGAGGCAGAGGCGGGTGCGGCGGGGCGGTGAGATCCAAGGGTTGGGTGGGCGTGGTGAGGGTCATCGGTGGGAAGCTCGAAGCGGCAAACGGGGCAGGAGCTGTGAAGGTCGAGCCAGGGGAGGATGCAATCCTTGTGGAAGACGTGTTTGCAGGGGAGCTGCTTGGCGGCAGCTCCGAGGTGGAAGTCGTCCATGCAGACGGCGCACTGGGCCCCTCCATCGGCGGCCATCATGTCGGCGGAGACGGCGACGTCAGGGAGCGCGGCGACGGCGGACTTGGCGGCAGGAGGGGTGCCGTAGCGGTTGGGGTCGTTCTCGGCGAGCTGCTGGATGAGCTGCTCGAGGCCAGAGCCGACGAAGTAGTCGCCGAGGCTGATCCCCCCGGGCCCGGCGGCGGCGCCCCCGAGGGGGAGGGAGGCGGAGGAGCCCTCGAGGACGATCTGGATGGTGGCGCCGCCAGAGAGGAGGCCGGTGAAGTGATCATGGAGGAAGTTGGAGGGGTCGAAGTGCCTGGCGGCTGGGGAGGGGGAGGGGGAGGGGGAGGGGGGCCCGAAGAAGGCCGCGAGGTCGCTAGGGTTGCGGAGGTCGAAGGATGGGGAGGCGAAGGGGAAGAAGGGGTGGTGTGGCAGGAAGGGGCTAGGGTTGGGGTTGGGGTTGGGGTTGATGTCCTCCCCAAGCTCCTCGACGAAGCCTCCACCGCAGAACGGGCAGAGGACGTCGGCGTCGGGGGAGGTGGGCGGCGGGATGGGGACGGTGCGGTCGCACTGGTGGCAGTAGAAGCGCTGAGCATGCGCCGGAGACGACGACATCGCACCGCAGGCGACGCCGCAGCAGCAGCCGCCGTCGAGACTCGAGAGAGAGAGATGGGAATGGGGATATGGGGGAGACCTAAATCTAACAATTCTCGACTCGACTCGAGGAGAAGAAGAAAGAAGAAGAAGAGTAAAGGAAAGAGGCGTGTACGTGTACGGGTCCACCTACTGTGACTGACAAGTGGGGCCACTGCAGTGTCAGGCAAGCGCTCTCTCCTTCTCCCAGAAGGCTCTCGAACCTCCCACCCCCCACAAGCCCCGCCCAAGTAAGTTTTCCCCAGGCCCAATTAGGCCCAACTGTTTGTCTTCTTTTCACCGTCTTCCTCCTCCCTTCTAAAAGGAAAAAGTACACCGAAGGTCCCTGAACTTGTCATCGAGTTACAAAAACGTCCTCAAACTGCAAAACCAGATATCCGACGTCTCTTAACTAATCAAAACCGGTTACGATAGATCCCTAGGCGGTTTTTATCCAGGTTTTGTTGGCGGCTGAATCAGCGTGGGACCCACGTGAACCCCACATGTCAGCATGCCACGTCAGCCTCTTCTCTATTTCCTCTCTTCTCTCACTTCCTCCTCTCTCTCTCTCTCTCACTCCTCTGTGGGGCTCTGGACGGCCGGCGGTGGGGAGGAGGTCGCCGGGGCATGGAGGTCCGACGGCCGGCCGGCGATGAGGGGGCGGCGACCCAGAAGGGAAGGGCGGCGGGCGGCGGGAGCACGGAGGAGCAACACCAGCGTCTTGTGCCGCGTCCACAACGGCGTGCCAGCGCCGGCGGCCGGCAAGCAACACCAGCGTCTTGTGCCGCGTCCACGGCGGCAGCCGCGACCGCGGCGTGCCAGCGCCAGCGGCCGGCGAGGTCGCGTTGGCGGTGCCGGACATTGCTGCTGCTGCTGCTGCCTCCCGGAACTCGATCGAGACACATCAAGGGATCCACCAGCTGGGATTTATCTACAGCCATCGCAGCCATTAAATCGGGAATCAAAGCTTGCAAATTTAGCATCCAGCAGAAACAGGCAAGAAATTAATCTCGTGCTACAAATGCCATCTCGTCATACTCATCTCTTCTTATCTCATCCAACTAAGAGGCCATAGAAAATCAGTGTCATTCTACTGGCAAATCACAATTAGGCAAAAAAAAATGCAAGAAGTTAATCTAGTACAGCTACCGCAGCTCGCAGAAGGGCACCGGCGAGGAGCTCGCCGGAGCGCCACTGCCGCCGCTTTGCCTCAGGGCCCTTATCAAGGGCTTGATCGCCGACCACGGCGAGGCCGCGCCGGCCGTGCACGCACACGCGGCCAAGCTCGGCCTCGACCACCGCCTCGCCGTCCGCGATGGGCTCGTCGAGCTCTACCTCGCGCGCGTCGAGCTCGCCTCCACGTGGGCGCTCTTCGACGGATTCCCCGCCGGCTGGCCGGGACGTCGTTTCTTGTACGGCCATGGCGGATGATAGCGGCGTGTGCATCGACACCGTCGCCGCCGCCGCGGCGTTCTCGGCGTGCGCGCAAATCGGGGACCTTGCGCTGGGTCGGGAGCTTTAGGAGGATGCCCGTGAAGAAGAACGTCCTCGTCCCGGCCGCCGCCGCCACGTCGCGGCCGGCCGTCGGACCTCCTCGCCCCGGCAACGACCTCCCCACCGCCGGGCGGCCTGCCCAATCCAGAGAGAAGAGTGGGAGAGAGAGAAGGGAGGAAAGGAGAGGAAGGGAGAGGCTGGTCGCTGACGTGGCATCCTGACGTATGGGGCCCACGTGGGTCCTACGCTGACTCAGTCGCCACATCAGACAAACCGGGGTCAAAACCGCTGAGGGATCTAGTTTACACTGGTTTTGTAAGTTAGGGGATACGTTGTATCCGGTTTTACGGTTGGGGGATGATTTTATAACACGAGGACAAGTTGAGGGACCTTCAGTGTACTTTTTCCCTTCTAAAATAGCACGATATGAAACACTACTAGTTTGAGGCCTTGTTCCTAAAGAAAGTCTCAATTCCTTTGAAATAAACACTATTCATACATTCGGTTTATAGGATTTAAAGGAAAGTTTTCTACGCCAATCCTCAAAAATGTATTAATTCCATAAGAATGAAAACTTCCACTCCATTCTCTTATGTTCAGCTCAGTGTATGAAAAATTCCTGTGGTCCAATCTTTTATTTTGCACGTGCATTTCTATAATATTTCTGTGTTTTTCCTATTTATATGATTTGGAAATCCTGTGAACCAAAGAGGCCCAGAATGTATGCTCAACTGTTTGAATGGTTGAATAGTGGAATTATTTGAGTGTACATATGACCTAATCTTTATACTATTATGAAATTGAAACATATATTGAAAAAAGTATTATAAGATATTCACATATAGTTTGTAAAAATCATATCTTTTAGGAGCTAGTAAAGAGTGTTTATTTAATCCAATTATTAGAAAAGAAAAGGGCCGTCTAAATTGAAGGAGCATGACACGAGGATGGGAAATTTTCCTAGCCAATTTGTTTTCTCAAAAACGGTATGGTTTATCTTACATCACAAGTTGATTCACTCTAATATTTGTTAGTAGAATTTATATTTGTTTCATTCTAATGAATCGTCGGAACTATATGATATATTTTGTCTTAAAAATCCTATATATATAAAAGGAGTAGACCGATTAAATGGTGTCTCTACAATTTTCAATTTCATTTCCGAAGTGCACGTAATCAATAGGAGAAAACAAAAGCGTACAGTTTTGACCCCCTAATTCCATACATGCAAAAGGTGTAAAATTAAACTCCAGAGTCCAGAACAAAGGATGGAGTAAATGCTGGTACTCCGCTACAATTCAGCTTTCGATGAGGGACGCCCAAAATTTGGAGCTAGAGCAGCACGTCCGGTTGGGAAGGTGGTTTCTTGAGCAAGATGAACAAGGCAACACGTGTAGAGCGGAAATCTGGGTGCCATTGCTGTTGCTCGATGCAGCCGACTTGGAAGTCCGCCATTGCTGCCTCCAAGAAGCACTCCAGTACAGCATCTGGATGCGAAATTAAATTGTCAAGTGGATTCCACTTGTACTAGGTTGGATATTAAGAATCTGAATGTACCATTGCGGAGTTCTGCTGCGAGGATGATGGTGGTGTGAGGGGCTGAGAGGTGCTTGAGGGTGAGCAGCAGATCATCCACTGCCTCCTCGCTGTAGATCACGTCCGACCCAAGCACTGAAATTCCAATTCATTTCTTCTTACTACTAACTAACTGGAGTACTCCAGTAATTAATTTCTATCAATTATTAGTGAGAAGATAGTAATACAAAAGTAAGGAAGAATGACCGTAATCTAGAGGTGGGTTGAGCAAGTCCGGGTGAGGATCATCAGCCCAGACGAGTTGGGCGACCCGAGCAGAGCCCCTTGCGTCGTCCCCGACGTTGAGGTCGATATTCTTCCTGAGGAGCTTGAGGCGGTCAGGGAGGTCGGTGAGCAGCACGTGGGCTCCGAGGAGCGCGGCGACGCAGCCAGCAAGGCCGCAGCCCGCTCCCAGCTCGAGCGCCCGCGCGGCCCGGAGGGTAAGGAGGCCCGAGTCGACGGCGTGCTCGAGGAACTTGGCGAGGACGACGCCGCTGTCCCACACAACGGCGCCGGTGACGCCGGGCGTGGACATGGAGGACGGGGACTGGAGCAGGGAGAGACGGCGGCCGCAGGCGTCGAGGGTGAGGGAGTGCGCGCCGTGGCGGACGAAGGCGTTGTGGCGCTGCGCTGCCGGCTGGCCGAGGGCCCAGAGCAGCATCGTCTCGCCCGCGGCGCCGCCGTCCCCGTCCCCGACCGGGCGGACGGGGCCGGAGTACGCGCCCATGCCCAGCCGAGGGGGATCCATCTCCATCTCTCGCTCTCGGCGGCGGCGGCGGACGGACTTGTACCTGTTGTTGCTGTTGGCGTGAGATCGAGACGGGATGGGCTTTAAGATGGGCCGGCCTGCCTGCCCTATCTTCTTCCTGTTAAGTAAGACCCCAATAGCAAGCAACACGCGCCGGCACGACATTCAATTTTGCCTATGAAATAAACTAACAGGAGCAAGCTCTGTAATATTTTACACTCAAGAGATGACTTCTCCCGAATTCCATGTCAATACCACTACTTACTGCATTCCTTCAAAACTTTTACTTAAGCTAGCATGTATATCCACAAATACAATATGCTCTTTCCCATCAAAACTTGACAGCCACATCAAACAGGCCCTTCCAAATCTTGCAATAATGCCAACCCAAGAAACAGACCAAAAGTCTAACTCCAAACAGAACAGGGTCAGCACTGCATTAAACCTGCAGTTTCTGATGTTTGAGGTCTGTACATCAAAAATAGCTGCATTTCTCAGCGGCATAGCAGCCACACTGAAAATGCTGAAAGCCAATTTTTTTTTTAAAAAAAGATAAACAAAATTAAGCAAAATGCATTGCCTCCATCATCCAGCATATCTCCAAACTGAAGGATAAGAATTTTGGTCGACCAATATCATGCCGCCTCGAGTTACTTTTATCTTTCATCTTTTCTCCCCCTTTCTTCTGTGTGCTATCATCATCCTTTAGCCCATGCTTCATCATCTTATGTACAGTTGTCAGCAGAGCTTCAAAACACAAATCTGTCTGACTGCATACATGCACAGCACAAGGCTTCAAACCAATATTATGACGAAGGAATAGCCTTGTACAGATTTGACGTTCCATGGAATATAGTCAGGTGTGCCCCATTAAGATAAGCATCCGACTGCAACCAGGTGGAGAGTTAAAATTAGATTTAAATTTCTCGTCATCACTAAAAACTGTGCAGATTAACACAAACCTGTTCCTGAGGAATTTTAGTGAAGCCAAATTTGTTCATCCAGATGCCTTCAGCTTCCTGGGCGGCTGGAAGCATGAAGTGTTTGATCTTCAGAGAAATAAGCATCCTCTCTATGCACGAGAACAAAGCTTGGAAGTAGCCCTGTTTGGAGCAACAAATTATTAGAAAGAAACATGGAACAAAAAGAGCATATTTCTTCTTTACACAAGTGCATTCGTTGCCAGATAATAACACAAGAATGAAGCATAATATAAAGAACAAATTTAGACAACTCACCAGTCCTTGAAGGTCTTTACTTGTAGCAACTAGTGGCAGTTCGGCCACTTCACCTCCCATGACTCGCAACAATGCAGCTGACACAACAGAAGTGCTGCAACATTCAAGTTTGTATCAACAACAATGAACACAAAAGTTTTGGCCAAATCTTAATCATCATAAAGAATTCTTACCCTAAAGTTAACACTGCACAGTACATTCCACTATAATCTTGGCCAGGCATTCCATCCTTGGGTCTCCTCCTGGGAGATTAGAGGAAATGGGAAATTTCTTACACATAGACAGAGGGACAATGCATTGGGAGAAATATGGAAGGATAGTTCTCTTACCCATTGACCATCTCAGGAATTAGATCCCTCCCGCTCTGAACTTCAATGATTGGATCAAAAGATTGCTGCAATAGATAGATACTTGGTGAGAAGAACCACCAGTTGCAAAAACTCAATATAAAACCTTGCTAGAAATTATGCATGGACTGGACTTGAAGGCTCATCAATGTTGGCAAAAATTCTTAAGACTTACAAAGGTTTTTTTTTAAAAAACAAAAAACTCAGTGGATCATACCGAGCAAGTCATTGGTTAATAGACATGGCTGGTACGTGCTTGTAACTACTGAGGACCTAACCCCACCCCAAATCCACTTCATAAACTGGCTAGCAAATGTTCAGACTGTAGACATGGAACTTCATGTCTACACATATGAGAAAAACATGAATTACTTACATGAATAATTGGGACTGCAGCAGAGAGCAATAAGTCACCATCTTCAGAAGCCTTTCTACCAGCAAGTAATCGCCATCTCAGATCTGTATTAGTGTCCATGCTTAACCCTTTCATCTCATGTTTCTTCCTTATGATATCAATATCTGACTCAGCCAAAATCAAAGCTCCATCAGAGATTATCTTGTCCAAGGAAGAACGAATCTCTGAGCAACTATTACAACAGAACCACTCCCCTTCTGGTAATTCCTGTAGAAAAGAAAACAGGCAATGTTAGCTTTTCACACATGAAGAACAAGGGTGATCAAACAAAAAAGATTTCATGCTAACCTTCAGGTCAACTTGCCACTGGCTCCGCAAACACCCAACATGATACTCTTTCTCACACTGGATAGTGACGAAAAAAACCATGTTAGTGAAGAATTAGAATAATTCAATAAATGCAGGGGCACCAAATATTTTAAAAAAGTGTTAAAATAAAAATACCATCCAATAAAAAAAACAAAGGCAAGCTTTAATATCAGGAACTTAAACAGGAACTATCAAGATGGCATATAAGGCATACTTGGTCACAGAGTATCACAGTGCGCTCATCAAATACTGAATTGTTAAAATCTTTCTGCCTGCAGAAACAAATTCTTACCATTAATAATATCACGGGGGTACAATGTAGAAAGTGAAAAGAAGATAAACATCAGAAACAAAATAGCTAGCAATTTTGAGGTGTTGTACTGGATAACAAGAAACTTCAAGAAAGATACAAAGAGCTTTTATAATATTTGTTTTGACTTTACTCATTACATTAGTTAGTTGGGTGCCATTCGGTTGGGCCCGTGATTTTAACGTTGGAATTTTTAAAAGGAAATAAGAAATCCAATATGCACATAGTGTTGACTCTGTTGGTCCCATCATGGGATCAGATTCAACTGCAGCTGTATTCATGAACATGGATGAGTGAGTTCAAATCCATTCCTCCAACAACCCAAGGTGACTTGAGCTATCTTTCAGTCCTCCAAAAGATGGGTAGGTACATTACTTAGTATAATTTTGCTGTCTAGATCAGAGCATTTGTTCAGAGTCATTTAGACCATTGTTTGCTCTTCTTATTAGCCCAATGAGTTTTCAGCTCCAGTCATACTTATGCTTATGCCACTGGAAAATTACCAAAAGATTTTCCCAGTCCATAAGTAGTCTGTCACTGTTTTCATGCTGCTCGGGTACCATTCTCCATGGACCAAAAAAAAAGTGATGTACTACTACTTGCTAGTAGATTGTTAATTCAATACCATCGAATACTGCATTACTCCTTACAGCCTATTGATCAAAATTACGCTTGCATATTATGAATTACAACAAGTTTAAAACGTATTCTAGCTATAACTGCAGAATGGAAGTATGAATTGAGAAAAAATATTAAAAGAAAAAGAAAAGTAAGAATACTTACTTGCATAGGGCACACCCACCAAGGTCATCAGAGATTGGGACAATCCGTATAGCTCTCTTCATTATCTGTTCAATAGAATCAACTCCAGCTTGCCTTCCAGCAGCTTTAGCATTTTTATTTTCTGCTAAAGCCTTTTCCTTTTGAACAAGGTTGCTGCAATTATCACAATACCACTCTGAGGGGACTCCAGACAGCCCTACACAGGCTGCAGATTTTACAAAAAGAAGGTCAAGTGTTGGACTGATCGTTAAAGAAAAAACATCACCCAAGTAAAACATAGCCATTCTTAAACATTATTTGCAATTAATTCTGGAATATGGGAGACTCTACCTGGGTGAAATGACCTTGGGCACATTTTGCAAGGGAAAATATCTCCCCCTTGACCACATTCTCTGCACAAATCATCTGTTTCGCGTTCAGATAATTCCATGTCCTTTGATATTTTCATTGACAGCTCATGTAATGATACTCCATTTGATGTAAAAATATTGTCATACCTGGTAGAAACATAGTATAATAAGGGCAACCGAAATAGAAGTTGCTCACACAAGCTAAGTACAGGAAATAACAAAGACTTACGGCTTGCGTCTTGTTCCCTCACCCGCATGAGCCTCAAATGCTGACGGGCTAACCTGGATACTCATCATATACAAAAAGTTAATTATTTCATGGAGTATGATAGAAGTAAATTATATATCATAAATAAGAAAGGAGCGCACCACTCGGTTGCAGTGATTACAGTAGATTCTTTGATCCTTGATATACCCATCAACTTTCCTCTGCATAATGCAACTGCAAATTATTAACCAAAGTTGCAAAATGGTGTAGTTAACATAACCAGTGAGCAGCTCTGAGTATAACAACCTGACCATCAACATAGTAAGCTACTTCAGTACCATCAAGCAGAACTTTAAAGACCAATTTGTGTAGCCCGGTGTCCCTGAAGAAAGTACCAAGAAATGACCAATTAATTTCGTGTTCATGCCTCATATAGTCACATGATAAGAAAGAAGAAAAAAAAAACAACAGTACAGAAATACCAACTTTGTAGTTACTTTTCCAGCACTTCCACCTTTTGTATTTAATGGTGTCTTCTTCAACAAAAAATCCTTGGAGCTTGGTATCAGGCTAAAGCCCCCAAAACAACATGGAGCAAAAAAAAAAAGATGATTTATAAATGCAACAGCATAAGTTTGAACATTACAAAACTGTTAACATCTGAATAAGTCAAAACAATGAAATTTGCATACAATTAAAAACATCCCGGGCAGCAAAATAAAAATAGTTTGTTACTCTTGTGAGTTAAGGATGTAAGTCATATATCTTGAACAAAATTATCTAACCAAAGGAAAGATTTTGCATTTTCAAACAAATCAATATCTCATAGTTATTAGGCAAAACACATCTAACATATTATGGTGCTTGGACTGCTTACCTGGAATTGCTCTTACAAGCATAAGATGGGGAAGGGGGATCTTGATGTTGTTTTGGCTCAAGGCAACGTTGACACAAAAAGCTTCCAAAGATTTCAGTTTGTGATGAAGAAAGATGTTCTGCAGCATTAGAAGACGTAAATAAATGTACCAAGGAAAACTATCAGTCAAAAAACAAACGCATGAAACCCTCACCATTGCAGTTTAGGCAATTAACATAGCTTCTCTTCGCAATTGGATCAATGGAAGAACGTATTGTTTTCTCCAGAGATTCCAAGGGAGAACTCTCACATGCACGCAGCACATCCCGCAAACTATTACCGTTCCCCAAGTATATGTGGTCAGCAGGATGTTTTTTGTTGCTCCCAGCATGTTGTTCAAAGAAATAAGAACAAACATCCTGTGAAATTTAGGTGGATAATGTAAACAATTTGTAATGTGTAGCGATTTATCGATTAAGGAGTACTAACCTTGGAACCATTACAGGATAAACAAAAGCAACGGATATTGCAGCCTGTAATCACTCCTTTCAGCACAGCCTTCTGCAACTTGCAAACAAAATATAATTTAATTGCATTGAGCTACAAAAGTATGCTAGAACATAATCCACAGTGAATCACTCAAAGATACTCCCATCAATAACACCCCCCCCCCAAAAAAAAAGAAGAAAAGACGCAGATATAGTTTTAATATTCTTGGCTAGATGTATCATTCGTAGAGAGTAGCATTTTAGGGGCTACCTGGCTTAGTGCAACTCAAATAATAGCACACCATGTCCACAAGAAGTGTACCATGAAAAGCAAAGCAAAAGATCAAGGGTGTGTGTTGGCCTGGCAATTGTTCTTAGAATATATCACAAGATCGATTGGGAGCTGACCCTGGGAGGTCCCGATTATAACAGAATAGGTGATTAAAGCTATTTTCATGGATAAGACCTAGCTGATGAGTAAACATATTATAAGTGCATACATGTACTGTCACGTCAAAGACAAAATTCCTAAATACCACAGTAGACTAAAGATAAAGTTCCATGAGTAATCTTAACATTGCTTGGCTAAAAACTTACAAGATAGTATAATAAAAACTAGCATGGTGGCCATCACAATAATTAATAAGGAACTCGCTATAATGGACTGAAAATGAAAAGCTGTTGGTAAAAGTCATAAAACATAAGTATTATCCTCACGTACCTTGCTACTGGGGATGATGTACCTGACTGGCATTCCCTCGAGCAGGCCAGTGTTGAGCAACTCTCTAATGTTGCTTGGGTGCTTTGTGAGGCAGGCGACCTTCTTAGACATCTTCATCTCCATCTTCTTCACTGACCGAGAAGAGTCTGATGTGCTGTCAATTGCCTCCTTGGATTGAAGCAAATTGTTGGTAGAGCGCGCCTCAACCTTTACCTTGAGAAGAGACCTTGTGAACCTCCTCTGTGGCTTCCCTGGGGCAAGAGCCAAATCAACAGAGGCCTCGTTGTTGTCCTCCGATATCATGGAGACAGCAGGGTCTTGACTTTTGCTAGCTGTGGGCTCTTCCTCTGGTTTGTTCTTGAGCAGCGATCGTGTGAAGCGCCTCGCAGGCTTGAGGCCAGCAGTAGAGGCTGGTGTTGCAGTGCTCTCGGCAAGCAAAGAAGGATCGGTTAAGGCATTGTCCAGGACCTGGTGTTGCAGGTTTTGTTCAAATGATTCATGGGAAACATCCCTCCCATTGGCTGCAGTTACAGTAGGCGGTTCCTGCAATTCCATGGCCATGTCTGGCTTTGCAGTCTCAGCAGCGACAGCATTGAGCCCAATTGGTTTGACAATCTCAGCAGCAGCATTGACCTCTGTCGGTTGTGCGGGCACAGCGGTTGCAGCAGCATTGAGCTCCGTTGATTCGGCAGGCACAGCAGCAGCAGCAGCAGCATCAAGCTCCATTGGTAGAGCAGACGCGGCGGCGGCAACAGCATTGAGCTCCGTTGGTTGTGCATGGGGTGGTTGTGGAGGCCTGGCGACAGCAGCAGAAACATTGAGCTCCGTTGGTATTGGATGAGCATCAGATCCACGAGGGGGTGACTGTAGCGTGGGTGTATCCTGGTGAGATCCATCGTCCCCCTCCTTGTCCTTGTCCTTGTCGTTGAGGAGGTGTATGGGCTTGGGCGCCTCGGCGTCCATAGGAGGCGTGTGAGGGGAGACGAGAAGATCCTTGTCGGGGGCGGGGGCGGGGGCGGGGTCGTGGTCGGGGGGCTTGTCCGGTCTCCTCCGCCTCTTGGGGGCAGGGGCGGGGGCGGAGGAGGAGGAGGAGGAGGAGGAGGAGGAGGAGAGGGGGCGGCCGGAGCGGGTGCGGCCGGGGGAGGTGGACATGGCGGAGAGCGACTGGAGTGCGAAGGCAAGCTCGCGCTTCATGGCTCGCGGCGCCGGAGATGGGGAGGCGGGCATGGGATGGGATGGGATCCCTTATTGTTGGTGGAGATCGAAATCTAGAGGAGGAGGCGGGCGCACGCGCACCTGCTCTGAGATCGGGATCGGATTTGATAGGGTTTGGAGAGGAGGAGATCGGAGGAGATGGGAGGAGGAACCGAGGAGGAGGAGGCGGCGGCGGCGGAGCAACGAAGCAGGCCTCTGCGCCCCCCTGACCCCTGCCCTCCCCAATACCATTTGGGTTTCCACCCCCACATCTTACCATTACTGTATCGTACTACTTTCCGTTTTCTTTTCTTTCTTTTCTTTTTTTTCCCTCTTCCTCGCTCCAGAAGAAGACGGAGAATTTGGAGATGCAGCTTTTTTTTTTTCAAAAAAGAAAGAAAAGTAAATGTGGATGGGCCAGATCCAGATTGATGATTGATTGTTTTTAGACGGAAAAAGTTCGCTGGAGCTCCCTCGTCTTATCGTCAAATTTTAAAATCGTCCTGAATTGAAATACTACATATCTCTAATATTATAAAACGGGATTACATTGGGTCCCAATACAGTGTTGAGCGTGTTTTTGGTTGACGTGGCACTAGAAACAAGAAGAACATGCGGGACCCCCGTATCATTGAAACAAATATTCTACCTTATCTCTCTCCTCATATCTTCGATCTCTGCGGTAGCAAATGTGGTGGAGGTGCGCAAACAATCGAGGACAAGGAAATGATGTCTGCCATGCTCGATGGCGATGGCGGAGGCACGCCTCTTCACATCACACCACGAACTGGAAGGGGTGACGACCAATGGATAGTGCCGCCACGGCCTCGCACAAGGCGCGTGGGGACAACAGCCTCGTGGGTCTTGAGCGCCATGAGGGATTTGAAGGTGAAGACGTATGCAATAGCTAGGTCCTCGTCAAGTGATACGGAGCAGGCCACGAAGGAAGAAGGCATAGGGATGTACCTGCCCATGGCAGAGAGCCAGAGACGATGAACCGCATCATGGAGAGGTCGGATTGTGATGCGAAGGGGAAAAAGTGGAGGTGAAGGACAAGCATCGTGTTGACGTCGGATGTCGCGGCGGCAGGGTTGCATGAGGGCGCCATGGCATTGTTCAGCGACGCATTGTACTTGTCCACCACGCACGAGAGTGAGGGCAACATCAACTAGGGCGCCTACATGCGCATCCCCAGCCCGCGAATCAGCCTCACGCCGCAAGCTAGCGCGACGCTGCGGCCGCCATCGCACACAGGTCGCTCGACTGCCGCTCTAGGGCCGTTCGCGTTATCGCTCAATCGTTGCGTCGTGTCGGTCAAGCCCCCTCATTGTGGCCACCAATGCCGCGCTTCCTCTCGTAACTTTTCTTTCTCCCCACTAGAGCTACTGGAAGCTAGCGTGTGAGCAGGAGGAGCGGCCACCTACACCAGTATCGGTGCGGATGTCTTGGAGCGGCAGGTGCATGGAGGCGACGAGCGGCTTGACGCCCTCAGCGGTGTTGGCTGGAGCAGAAGCGGGATGTTGACCTTCTCATCCTTGGTGGCATTTCGCCATCTGTCGAGGTTGATGCGGGTAGAGCACTTAGAGTTTGATCCACGCCGGCGACATTCTCTTCCCTCAAGTCCCCCACAAACTCATCGAAGAGATGGAGAGAAGGAGAAGAGGGAGGAGAATAAAGGGAGAGAGAAGAGGGGAGGAGAAGATGATAGGTGGGTCATGTTATTTTTTTAAAACCAATTCATTGAAAGAGTTTTGCGTGGGTCCCATATAAGATGCCACCTCACCTAACAAGAGCAAGTCAAAACTACCCCATAGGTACCAAACCGTCCTCAATGCTATCTAATGTGCCCGATGGATCAGTGATCTCAAAGTGAACTTTTTCTTTTTTAGACAGGCTGGCAATATGGCCCGGTCCATGTTTGGGCCGATCACTCTAAAACTGGGGCCCATATGGCCTACTAGAGGCCCAGAAGAGTGAGTAGAAAAGGAAAAAGTACACCGAAGGTCCCTCAACTTGTCATCAAATTACCCCTAACCGTAAAATCAGATATATATCATCCCTTAACTTATAAAACCATTCGCTTTACATCCTTCAGTGGTTTTGACCCCGATTTTATCCTACGTGGCGGGCGAGTCAGCGTGGGACCCACGTGGGCCCCACATTTCAGGACACCACATCATCAGGCTCTCTCTCCCCTCCTCTCTCTCTCACACTCATCTCCCTGGGCTAGTAAAATCTGTTTATTCACAGAGTAATTCATCTCTCGCCACTAAAGAACGGCTACAGTAGGACGACGCCGGCGATGCGGATGGGGGAGGGAGGTGGAGGGGAGGAGGAGGTCCATCGATGTGCGACGTGGTGGGCGATTTTGCGCTGGCGCTTGTTGACGACCAAATTTGGTAGTACCATAAGCCGGATTCAGAGCTAGGGTCAAGGCCGATTTGGATAAATTATGTTTGAGAAGGCAGAGCACACATCGGCTACGAGCAGCATTGGCTACGAGCAGCATCGGCTGCTGCACGAATCAGCTACAAGTGGTATCAGCTGCCACATATCGGCTAGCACCAAATCTGATGGAGTGAAGCCGATACGACCAGGGGGAAAAATACGGTCCCACATTTATCATCAAGATTAGTCAAAGCACTTCATAGCCATTGCCACACAAGGATCGAGGTCCGAAGAAAGGGGCAATTGTATTTATTAATTAGGATGTTTTTTCAGTTTCCTTAAAGATATGTTTGGTAAGAGTCCACCTAATGGGCTTGTTCGTATTTTAAATTGTAATAGAGATAAGAGTCGTGTCCAGCAAGGACAAGCTATGTACTTCGGATATAAATAAGACCTGACATCTTGAAATCAAGGGACGACAGTTCAATAATACTTCTGCGCATCACCACCCTTTTCTATTTTACGAGTCTTTGCTTTCGAGTTGGGTTGCATCGGGTTTGATCTTCGACGAAGAGGTAAAGCTTGTTATGGCGGATTGCGTTCTCGGGATTCGTGCTTACATCTTTATGACACTCTAATCCTGTCTACGTGAATTGCTGAGTTATCATATATACCGCATAATCTAGATTGATTCCGTCACCTAAACTTCATCGGCTAGCCTCTATCATCGAAACGGCCGATAGGTTTAGGCGTCAATGTCAAGCTAGACTATGTGGTGTATCTACCATCTTGAATGAGTTTTCATCGATTTACTTAGATCTTATGTTTCTTTTTATGCTTAATGTTGCAACCGTTAGGTTCGATCTGTTAAGTATTGTCTTGAAACGTCTTATCTAGCTCTTCCTTTGAATGCTAATACATATAGCATCGGAGTTTCAGCCGATCTTACTTGATTTAGCCGTCCTGTTTCCCTACTTGGTTCTGGACTGTCTAAACCTACCCTTTATATTAAGATCTCATCCGTTTAAAGTATATTAAGCTTCCTATCAGTCTACTAGTTCACCCTGCTTGTTAGATTGATCTTAGTTTTGTATATTTCATCTGCGCTGATATCCTAGTATACAGTAGTATCGGAGTACTAGCCGATACACGTTATGTTTGCTCTATCGGCTATGCTGTGAACCTACATAATCTGTACTTTGGGGCACACTTAGTTGTTGAGTGATTTATACTGTCTCGGCATAACGCCCGATCTATCCCAATCACCCGATCTAAGTGTGTTTCAATGGATAGATTATGTATCGTTGACATCTACAGCTGATCGAGTAGATCTAATGATCCTACGTTTATTCTGACCTTGCCGGTCCGATGCAAGTCACATCGGCATGGCCCTGAATGATACGTCATCGGCAATCCAGCTGATCGGCTATCGTTGATGGATTTAACTTTTTCCTTTTTCTTTCTTTTCGGTTCCAGGATCAAACCCTGGCACGCTCAGAACCCGAAGACAATTTCTTTGGACCTGCACTAGAGTTAAGCAAATCTCTCAGTCCAGTGCGTGTTTTTCGCGTCAACACACCTCTTGGCACACCTAGTGGGACTGACTTTCGTAAAATCTTCTTCATGGCAAGCCTCAAGAAAGGAGAGGTTGACCCAGAGAACGTCATCCCAATAACGATGGACAAGCTGACCCCGGAGCAGAAGGCAGAATTTGAAAAGATGAAAGACGACTTGCAAAACCGATTTCTGCATTCGTTCGCACCGACTCGCTCCGGCACCATGGTTCAGAAATATAAGGTAGTTCTGTCGAACAAGGATGACGTAGAAACCAGTTCCGGCAAAGATGACAAAGCCAAAGGTGACAATCAAGAGGAAGATCTTGAGGCATTCAAATGTATGCAGGACCAGGCTGATTACTCTGTCACGGTCTCTCCCACCGCTGTGACTCACCCGCTGGGTGCTTCACCATCTGAGGGCTTCGGGGGCGGCGAGTTCGAGCTTGAGCTGTGGTGCCTACCGCGCAAGAGGTGGGGGCGGGATCCGGGACGGGTTCCTGCTCGGGGAGGGGATCCTCGCGACCAATGGAGATGTCACCGCCGTTGGCGGAGGAGGGCACGAAGGGGGCGAGGAGGAGGGACGACGCGATCCAGATGACGACGCCGGGCGCAAAGGGGGTGTGGTGCTGCTCCGCCTCGCCATCGCCCCACTCTGCCCGCCGCCGTGCTCGATCTCCCCTGTGCTCCTGCCGCCGCCTCCCTCCCCTTCTCCCATGTCGCCGCCGCCGCGTCACCGGCCGGCCGTCGGTCCTCATCGTCCCGGCGACCTCCTCCCCATCGCCAGTCAGCCTGCCCAAGGAGATGAGTGAGAGAGAGAGAGGAGGTGGAAGGGAGAGGAGGGGAAAGAGAGCCTGATGACGTGGCCACCCCACTCAATCTCTTCGTGGGAAGACTTATGGCAGTAGTTCGTCGCCAATTTCCAGGGAAGATATAAGCGCCACGTGCACGCTCTAACTCACAACCCAGTTGAATCGTTGAGGGACTATATCCGACTCTTTAATGAGTGCAGGAATACGATCCCTGAAATCTCCGACGCTTTTGTCATCCACGCGTTTAAGTCAGGCGTCCGAGATCGATACACCACCCAGGAACTAGTGACACGACGGATCACATCTGCTCGCAAGCTATTTGAAATTATCGACAGATGCGCTCATGCAGATGACGCCCTAAGATGAAAGGAAGGAAAAAGTAAGGTGGGCGAGGAGAAAAAGCCAGCTGTCACGTCCTGATAAATTCATCCCGTTTTAAAAATCATTCTCTAAAATGGAACGATATAATTAATTAAAATTCGATAGAAAATGGCAAACATTAAAATGC